CCGCCACTGCTTTCTCAACGGCCTCGAGCCGGGGCTGCCCTCATTGCATACATAGTGCGCCTTTCCCTGCTTTTCTAGTGACCTAGCGTTCCGCACTGCCGTTTGGCCAGCCCATGCTCCCGTACCGTTGCGTTTCTCCCCAATGCGCCATGCCACTTTGCCAGTCATACACACGTTTCGATGCGTGCCCTGTCAGCTGCTTGCGTTGCATGTCGCCTTGCTCCACCCCTGTTTTATTGCTTTCTCTGCTTTCGCCCGGTTCCCGTCCCGTTTTGGCGGGGAGTCTATGTTGCAAGCTAGTTCTTGCTTTACCAGACTTTAAGCCCACACAAGCAAGCAAGGGCAGGACTGTGTACTCGAAGAGTCCCCATCTAGTTTTAAAGGCAGTCATTGGTATGCTGTCCTCTTTCATTCTGATCTGGTTGTAGCCGGCTCGCAGGTCTATAGATGTAAAGATGCTGCCCTTGATCTGGTCCAATAACTCATCGATGCGAGGTAGGGCGGTCCGGTTCTTGACGGTCAAAGCATTAACAGCCCTGAAATCGATGCACATTCTCATAGTGCCATCCTTCTTCTTCACAAACAGGACTGGACTGCCCCAGGGTGAAGTGCTGGGTCTAATGAATCCTTTCTTGAGTCCATCTTCAATCTGTCGGTGGCATTCAGCCTGTTCCTCGTAAGACAGACGGTAATATTTTTGCTCTTCAGCCGTTTCACATGCTGGTCAATCAGCTCTTGTTCTTGAGGAGAAAATGTGCTTGGGGTACGGTCGGTACCGTCCGGAAAACCTGGTGCCGCTGTCGGGAAAGACTCATTGGTGTCGTCCCCTTCAGAGATATCTGGTGGCTCCTCTTCTGGTTGTGCCCGTACCACAGCAAGAAACAGCTTAGCGCCGCGTTGCATGCTGTGGCATACTTGTAGTGCCGTGAGGTACTTAGTCTGGTGCAGTTTCGGTGGGTCTTGAGGCCGTAGGGTGATCAGCTGCCCATTTTGGCTAAGGGTAATGTGCCTGTTTCTCCAATCAATGGTAGGGTTGTGTGCATGTAGCCAGGGTGCTCCCAGGATCACGTCGTTGCCTTCCAGTGGTAACACGTAGGCCTCTATTTTGGTCAGGAAGGCCCCAATGCGCAGGCTGGTGTGGATGGTCTCTTGAATGGGGTACGGAGTGCCATCAGCCAGCTGCACAGTAGGCCCATGTATCTGGTAGGTAGTCATCTTGTTTTTCTGGACAAACTTGCTAGAAATGAAGTTGTAAGATGCTCCAGAGTCGATCAGCAGGGTGGCGTCGCATCTCCCGACTTTGGAACGGAAGTGCAAAAGTCCTGCCGCCGTCTTGCTATTATCGATGGTGACTGCTAGTTGAGGAGGCAGTGGTTCTCCAGTCTGTTCCCTGTTCGCCACAAAGCTGCGAATAGCAGCTAGTGAGGGAACTGCATGTGGCTTCACCGCCGGGCTGGGTTGCCCTGCTGCCGCCGCTCCGGACACTGCAGTGCCATGTGGCCGGTCTTGCGGCAGTAGAAGCACTTGCCCTCTCGCAGCAGCTGCTGTCTCAGCTCTGGTGTCAACTTGGGCCGATCTGGCTGTCTCCTGTTGCCTGGAGAGAAGCTGGATGGCTGCTGCCTGTCCCAGCGGTTGCCGCTTGCAGGGTTGTGCCGGTTGTGCATGACCGCCCCCAGTTCCATTGGCTGTGGCCCGGGGGTCTGCCCAAAAGGTTTGGACTGCCTGTAGCGATCATACATCAGGGCATCAAACCGCTCTGCCATCTCGACTGCAGCCTCGAAAGTGGCTGGTGCACGCATCCGGACATCCTGCTGGGTCCTCTGCTTCAGGCCGCGAATGAAGCGATCCTTGATCTCAGCATCTTGTATGCCAGGAATGAGCAATGCCGTGTTGCGTATGGCCGTGACATAGCTCCGGACACTTCCGGTCTGCTGCAGAATTGCCAGCCGGTCGCGTGCAGTCTCAGCCGGATTGATGGGCTGGAACATTAGCCGCATTTGTTGACAGAACAAATTCCACGTTGCGGGTACATTGTTTGGGATAAGACTGCGCCACCAAGCCAAAGCCGCCTCTCGTAGGTAGGGTATAGTCTTTTCAATCCGCTGCACATCGTCGATCACGCCGCATGAGTTGAGATAACTGTGTACTATGAACAGCCATTGATCTACGTCTTCTTTGTCTCTGTGGCCGTTGAACAGTGGAGGGACGGGTGTCTTGGCTTGCGGTAGTGCCGCCGCCGCCGGAGCAGGTGGTGGCTGCGCCGCAAATGCCGCCGCCACTTGGTTGTTGATCATGTCCCACATCACTTGTGCCAGCGCCGGGTCAATGCCGCCTGGGCCGCCGCCGCCGCCGCCAGGTTGTGCGCCGGGTGGTGCGCCGTTCATCGCCGCCGCCGCCGCTTGCGCCGCCGCCGCTTGCGCCGGGTCCATGTTCTCTGGTGTGTGGGTTCTTGTGACTGTGTTGCGCTGTGTGGGCTTGCTCACTCAACAATGAGGCAGGCAGGAGCAGGCACAGCAGTTAGTGACCGGTCAAGTGTCGTAACTGTCCTTTGACCGAGCTCGAGGTGGTCGAGGTCGGTTTCTGATCAAGCGCAAGCACAGCCCCACTGCGGGCACCAGTTTGTAAGAGCAGGCAGCGGGTCTAGTCGAAGTCTAGTAGCAGCCGGAGCCCGGCTGCGGCCAGTCAAGTCAAGTCAGTTACAAAGAAGAGAGAAAGGCCCCGGAATGACCCGCATTCCGGTTATATAGTCGCACAAAGGTAGTGCTGTAGTGCTGCCAGCCAGGCATGGCTGGTGACTAGTCGATCGATCAAGGCATGATAAGCGCAATCAATCATGCAGTTGTGAGTAGAATGAAGTAGCGAGAGTGTAAGACTCAGTTGCTGTCTCGCAGCTGGCACAGCAGGGTGCCGCCTGCTGCTGCCGCTGCTGCAGCGCAGAAACATGTAATGAGCAACGTGCAAAGATTTGAGACGCGTCATCTCACAATTTTCAACAATTTTCTGCTCCTTTTTCAATTCTGCCGTTAGATCATGGTTGCTGCTTCGGTTCACGATCGAAGGACCTTGGGGGCGCGCGCTGCACCACTGACCTGAAGGCGGTAGCCTCTCGTGAGTGGGCCCCGGCACGATCAGGCCAGCACTAGCCCTGCAAAACAGCGACATATGAGCGTGACATGGGGTCTATAGGCCTCGATTCTGCAGCGTTCTCGCTCAAACAAGTCCCCACCCCTTCGTTATGATGTCTGGCACCCCAGCAAAGCGGCGGCCAGGGCATTCATACGCTTTGAGTGAACATCCCTGGGCTGGTAGCCACGGGCCTGGGGTGTCACGGTGTCACGCTGGGTGACAGGAGCCCTCCCGCGCCCTGCCTGGCTCGCGTGCTGCGCCCAAGTCACCTCCTGGCTTGCAATTGGACCTGTTTAGCCACTGCAAGGCCTCCACACGGTCCATGTGGTGGCGTGGTGGGGGCCGTGGTGGCCATTCCTGGCCATGCTGGCAAGTTGCTGTGCAAGTGCTGCCACAGGCCTGGTGCTTCCTCATACGGACCCAGGGAACATCAGTGATGCCGTCTGAGGCGGCAGGAGGGGCGCAGGCGGTAGCAGGATGCTTGGCTGGGGGGCCGCTGTCAACGGCCAGCCGGCGCCGCCGCCCTCGTGCCGCCCCACCCTGGCCTTCACCCAGCTGCACCCCCACAATCCCCTTTTTTGTTGGCCCAAGTGTTCCATTGGTGCTGACAGGATGTCAGGGAAGCAGTGGGGTGGTTGATGGCGGTCAAATGTTGCGTCTTGGGGTGCTCATTGCCGCCCACGGGCGGGGAGGCGTGTGTGGGCACTCGCGGCGCATGCCATGGAGTGTGTCATTGGTTTCCCTGGGGATTACCTCCCCACAGACCCCTCACTGCCATTATTAGTAACTTTGGTACCTCCTGGAGGCAAGAGAGGGCGCTCAACCTGCCCTGGTAGAGGCTGCCTGCCATGAGCGCCGCGAGGCCCTCATCAGACCTCAGCAATCCGAATAAGGACAGGCTCCTGCAGGACGCTTGGGTGGGGCTGTCAACGTGGGCCCAGTGTTGCCGCCGCTGCGCCTCCTGCGGCACCTCCGGGGCCACACTGCCGCCGCGCATGTGCAGATCTTGCTTGTGTGCTTGTGTGGGTTTAAAGTCTGGTACAGCAAGAACTAGCTTGCAACATAGACTCCCCGCCGAAACGGGACGGGGACCGGGCGAAAGCAAAGAAAGCAATAAAACAGGGGTGGAGCAAGGCGACATGCAACGCAAGCAGCTGACAGGGCACGCAGCGACACGTGTGTATGACTGGCAAAGTGGCATGGCGCATTTTGGAGAAACGCAACGGTACGGGAGCTTGGGCTGGCCAAACGGCAGTGCGGAACGCTAGGTCACTAGAAAAGCAGGGAAAGGCGCACTATCTATGCAATGAGGGCAGCCCCGGCTCGGGGCCGTTGAGAAAGCAGTGGGCGGGAGGGGGCGAGGCCCCGGTGTGGGCGGACCCCATCGAGGGGGGATGGGGCGCGCAAGCGGCCAGATGGGGCGGGGCGCGGGCGGCAGTGGAGTCCTGCGGCTGGGTGGGATATAGGGCAATGAGCGTTGAGCAGTGTGCGATGAGCAATGAGCAATGAGCAGTGAGCAGCCCCTCCCGAAACAAAGTGAAGCGCAGGACGGGGTCCGGTGGATGGGAGGCAAGGAAGCGCGGGGGGTTGCCACGTGCGCTACCGCCGCCGCCGCAGGCAGCACCCCTGCGGCGGCGGCAGCGGCAGCAAGCCGTGGACCCAAACGTCGTGCCGCCGCCGCCGCAGGCAGCAGCCCTGCGACGGCGGCGGCAGCAAGCCGTGGACCGAAACGCCGTGCCGCCGAGTCCCGTGGCTGTGGCCGTGGGCTTCTGGCAGGAAACTACGGCCGCAGGTCGGCGGCACGGGGGCGTCGCAGCGTGCCGCCGCCGCCGCCGCGCTGCCCCCCGGGCACGGCGGCGGCGGCAGCAAGCTTGGGCCCAAACGCCGTGCCGCCGAGTCCCGTGGCTGCGGCCGTAGACTGTGGGCCGGAAACTGCGGCCGCAGCTCGGCAGCACGTGGTTCTGTTCAAATCTGCATTTAATGATCAATTGCTGCATGCTTCACCCATCCTTTTACATTGCTCTGTTCGAAGGACTGTTCTAGTTGAAACCAGACTGCAAGCTCACACAAGGCTGGCACTTCCTGTAACTTGCAGCACGCATGCTTGTATGCCACACCAACAGATTCCTCGTGTACGTGCCTGCCACATCCTCATGATGCCGTTTGGTTGCTTGCAAGATATCAGCTGATGAGGGCCCAGGCCACCTCACGCCTGGCCCCGTTGGAACTGCTGCAGCAGCGCCGCCGCCTCGGATGCGCTCCCGTACGCGGGCTTGCCGGTGCAGTCGGCCAGGACCTACATGTGTGTGTTTATGTTAAGGGGCAAAGGAGGGTCAGGAAGGGGTGGGCTGGGTCACGAATGGACAGTGGCAATGGCGTCATTCAGCATGAGCAGAACAGCACGCCTGTGCTTGTGGCAGCAGGCCGGCCAGCACGTGGTGGGTGTGGCCTGGGCCCAGCGCATCTGGCGGCGCAACCAAGGAGCAACAACAGGGGTTTTGACAACAGCTGCAGCCTGCCCGCCACGCACCTTGCCCAGCCCAGCCCCAAACGTGGTACTGGTGCGGTACAGCGCAACGGTCAGCGTGTCCTGCAGCGCGTACGCGGCAGCATCCACAGATGGAGAGCTGTAGCAGCCTGCAAGCAAGCGTGGGCGGTAGTGGAGATGAGTGGTGCGGGTGGGGCGGGCTCCCAACATCGTTCAGGCACAGGAGGACAGGCAGCTTGATGGCTGTGATGATTGTGCAGGCTATGAACAGACTTCCTCCGGCGCGGGTGTGCTTCGAAGCAGCCCAGCTCTCAGGGACCTCACCTGCCCAGGCCGCCGCGTCGCCATTGCCCCTCCAGGGGCCCAGGCTGAGCTGGCGGGGCACCAGACTGGCGGTGACGCGCATCAGCTGCTGGGTGGCGCCCAGCGCACCTAGCAGGCACAGCAGCACATCGCCCAGTCCGGGCTGCAGCAGCAGGAGCGGCAGAGAAGGCAGCAGATTGGCTGTCAGTCAGGTGGAGCGCTAGTGCAAACAGTTGAAGCACCCACCCTCCCTCCCTCCCTCCTCCCAGTCGCAGGTCATGCCCACGCAGTGCGCTCTGCCGTCCCAGTGGCAGCAGCAGTCTGCCGCTCTAAGCCGCCACAGCCAGCCCAACCTGCGTCAGCTGCAGCACCCCAAAGCGGTCTTCCTTGAGCGAGGCGCATGCAAAGCCCGCCAGCGCCTGCGCCGCCTGCGCGGCGCGCGGGTACCCGCAGCGCACCGCCAGCAGCGCGTCCAGCTGCTGCTTGCTGCTGCCCAGCCCTCCCTGCACGCACACAGCGGGCAGCATGCGGGAGCACGTCGGAGAGCAAGCTGTGCTGCACACCCTGCAAACAGACGCACAACTGCCCAGCATCAGGTTGGGCTGCATGGCCAGGTGGCTCGAGGCCGGGTGGCATGCCTTGGAGGAGAGCGAGGAGGGCAGCACGTTCCACTTGTGACTCTGAGTGGCAGCCGAGGGCATGCCGGCCGCGCCTCCCGCCGGCTTCTGCTGCTGCAGCGCCGCCCCCACGGCCGCCGACACCGCATCCAGCTCAGCAATGCACGCCACTGCAGGAGGAAAGGTGGGCAAGCATGCAGTCAGGCTCTACAGTCTCTGCCAGCGGCGAAAACGTGGGCCGGCTGCTACGCCTGCGCCATGCGTGCATACGCAGCAGGTGCCGAGCAGCACGCAGAGTGCCTGCACAAGGCAGCAGCCTGCCCAGGCCAGCAGCTAGGGTCGTGGCCGAGGCGCTCACCAGCCACTGGCTTCCACCTGTCCCCGCTTTCGTCAGCAAACATGTCGGCCCGCCGCAGCGCCGCCCTGCCCACGTCGCCCGCCAGCAGGCTGCAGCGCAAATGTCGGGTAACGGTAATGGTAATGTGGGAAATAGGTCAGGTCAGAAAGCCACAAACAGGGCTCCCACCAGTCACGCGCCCTGGCAGGCTTGCAATCGTGACTGGCAACTAGAAACACTCCCTCCTGCCGCCACAGCTCACCTGGCATCGTGCAGCGCCAGGCCCTGCATCAGACCGCCCCGCTTGCCCGCCAGGCAGGCCACCATGGCGCGCAGCACATCTCGATCCGAGTAGTCATCTGGGCGCAAGCGCTCGGTAAACACCACCTCCAGAGCTGCGGAGCTCATAAGCCAGCAAAAGGTGCAGAGGGCACCGGCCAGCAGCGCCGCCGTGCCACCACCCAGCGTCAGCGGCGCTCCAGAGGCGCCGGGCGAGGCCTCCCCCAGCACATTGCTGCGCAGCAGTGAGGTGGTCACAGCGCAGGAAAAGGCGGCGGCAGCCAGCTGGGCCGCCTGCACCGCCGCCCTCGGCAGGCGCTGCTTCATTCGGAAGTAACGGTGGCGCTGCACCGATGGGAAGGCCAGAACGTCCTGGCTGCTGCAGCATCAAGCAGACAGGAGCAGGCAACTCAGTAGGCGGCACTTCAGCTGACAGTGAGGTGGCGTGCTGGCTACAGAGGCACAGGGAACATCCTGGCGAAGGTAGAGCAAGCAGGCATCCCTGCCCCCCAATCCCAGTGCACGGCAAATACCGCAGCAGCAGGCTGGCAGCAACGGTGCCGGCCCACCCACAAAGGCGAGGCCCCACCCACCAGTGGACCCAGTGCAGCAGGTAAGCCGTCGCCAGCCACAGGCTGTACTGCAGGGTCGACCTGGCACCTGCGTGGCAGAACGCCAGGCGGGCAGTGGCGTGGCTGGGCAGGAGGACTCGTGTCGGAAGTTTCTGGCAACACGCAGAAAAAAAGAAAGCACATGTCTATGCAGGCCGAACCAGAAACACAACTATGACTCACCTCCCATAGCGTTGCCCATAGCGGCGGCAAAGACGGAAAGGAAGAGAGCAGCGGAGAGAGCGTGTGTGGCGAAAAAGGCGGCGGTGCTTGCAGCATCTGCCACGCTGCCCAGCCGCGCCGCCAGCTTGCCGATCAGCATGGAGGCGGGAGCGCAGCGTGGCCAGTGCAGCAGCCTGTGCAGGTGCGCTGGGCGCGGCTCGCAGGCACGCAGCGCGGCCGCCGCACCAGCAAATGCGGGGGCTTGCGCCAGAACCAGCGCTGTTGCTGACAGCCAGGCGGACAGGCTGAATGAGCCGCCCACCAGGCGAGCAGGGGAGAACAGGGTGGCAGGGGACAGCATCAGCCCCAGGGCTCCCGAGGCGGCAACGGCGATGGCTGCCGCCCACACCGCCGCGCCAATGGCCTTCCACAACAGCACATCGTTGGCTAGCAGCCCATTCGCCATCGCCATGGCCGCGCTGCCTGCTAAGATCGCCGCAAACGCCTGCATCAAGAAGGGCGGCAGATGGTCGACGATGTGGGGCGCCGCCCAGTCTGCTGCCGCCGTCGCCACTGACAGTCTACAGGCACATCGGTGACGATGTGGCGCCTTCCCAGCAGGTGAAAATTACGACTGCGTTGCACGGGATTCAAGACCCGCTCACCGGCCTGCGCCTGCCCAAGTCGATCACGATGGGTCGGGTGCGGGACTGGTGGCTCCCCAAGAGGCTCTGTCAGGTGATGTGGGATCAATGGGAGCGCCAGCAGCGCGGTTGTGAGCAGAAGAAGGGCGCTTTCTTATTTGGAAAATGAGCTCGCCTGAAAAATGAGCTATTCTGGCCTGCAGGCGCGCATGCGTGCCATCAATGCCGCCATGCTATCCCACGAAGCAGTTGCAGACGGCTTGAGGACACCTGCTGGGCACCGCGTGCCGCCGCCCCAGACCGACGCCGCCCGACCACGCCCGACCGCTGCCTTTCTGATGTTTACAAGCAGGCTACGCTGCATGCATGTGGGAGGGTTTGGGTGCCGGTAAGGGACACAAGCTAACCAGTGGGGACTGGCCGCCGTCGCCGCGATGCGGCGGCAAGAAGTTAAGGAACGCACGCGCGCCCAACGGGGGGGGACCCTCGCCGGCGCGACATGCAAGCTGCTGCGAGAAGGAACTGCTGCTGTGCCGCTGCAGGCCGCTGCAAAGGCGTCACGCCAACGCCGTCACAGCCATCTGCTCACGGTCTGTGCTCTCAGGCCGGGGCCACACCCGGGAAGGCGTGCATCGCGGGTGGGTCTCGCCAGGCGCTCGCCAGCCCAGGCGTGCCGCCAGCCAAGCTGCTGCTGCGTGTGTCTACTGGGGCGCCTGCTGGCTGAACACGCGGGCCGCCCAGTAGACTCTCCAGGCCCCGGCCCGCTTACTGGGCGGCCTGCTCAAAGTTGACGTTCTCCACAAGCTCGGGCACATCTGCAGGTGCAGAGTAGAGAGCGTCAGGGAGGGCAAGAGGAGGGCGGTGAGCAGCAGCACGCTGTGAACATCAGGCCGGGCCGATGCCGTGCCTGACAGTCCACCAGCCCAGACACTCTGCCTCTGGTTCGAGGGAGGGAGCTCTCCACCAGGCCCCTAGTGCCCCAGGCACACGCGATTCGGGAGCTTCCCCAGGGGCTCACCGTCGTCGTCGTCCTCGGGCTCGTCGGCAGCCCCCTCCGGGTTGAACGCGGGCATGCCGCCGGCGCCGCCCATGCCTCCCATCATCTGCTGCAGGCCCGCCATGCCGCCCATGCCCGCCAGCATGGAGGCCATCACGTCCTGGGCGCCTGCGGGGGAGGAATGGGGGGGCGGGCAGGAAGGGGCGCTGAGAAAGCGGCCAGGGGTGAAGACACAAGCGGCACGGCGAGGAAAGCTCTGCGCTACCCCCTTCTCCCGTGTGGAGTCCGGGCCCAGCGGCACGAGGTGAGGGCGATGCACCGCAGCCTGGTCTGCCCCCGGCAGCCGCAAAACTGGCTGGAAGCGCCCGCACGGGAATGCTGCTCACAAGCTGGCAGCCGCGCCGAGGCCCCCAGCTGAGGCCAGCGGCAGCCTCTGCGGCACGGCAGGCACGACGGGCACACATAGCAGCCAGCTACAGCTGACACCACCACCACCAGCACCAGCGCCACTCACGCTTGGGCTGCGAGGCGCCCGACACGACGTAGGTGTTGGCGGCGATGGATGCCTGCACCTTGGGGTTGTTGAACTGCAGCGCGCTGCCGTCGTTGTTGATCAGCAGCACCTCCTCGATGCCCGGGATGGTGTTCACCCCCAGGCGCTTCAGCGTGCTCTGCAGCCGCTTGTCGTCGGTGGAGGTGGTCTTGTGCACCGCCTTCTTCTTTCTGCGGCGGCGGCGGCGCGAGCGGGGCGGGAGCGGTCCGCGCGTGAGGGCAGGCGGCCTCCAAAGCTGGTCCCTGGTCACGCTGGGCATGATGAATGAGTGGTGCTGCATGAGCTGCACAGGCTGCTGCTCAGGAAAGTGACTAGCACATGCTGGGGCCTGACCTCCTGACAGTGCCCTTGCCGCCGGTGCGGACGACGCCAGCCATCTTCATAAGCCGCTCCGCGTTCATCTGCGGGGCCAGGCGGGAGGGCAGGCGGTCAGTCCCGACCGCCCGAAGCTCACACAAGACCTCAGGCAGCCACCCCCGCCGCCCATAGCTCATCGAAGGCCACCCAGCCGGGCCTGGGCGCTTCCCGCCCGTTCATGATCATCTTCCAGGCATGGAGCGTCAATTGGGCACGCCCCAATGCGCTGCAGAGCGCAGTGGAGTCGGCATCACCCAGCATGCCTCCCCGCCCCGCCTCCCACCTTGGCTGTTTCCTGGCCCCCTCCCAGCAGCTGGCGCGAAAGGAACGAGCCAGGTGGCATGCGGAGTTTGTCCCCCCCTTCATCCCGGGCTCTGCGGAGCATGCGGTCGGTGACTTGGACCCCATGCAGACCCCCTTCTGCGTTCCCATGCATCTCCGCCTCCGTTGAGTCCATGGCACCCTCGTGTGATCGTTTCTTATTCATCTGGATAGGCCACCTGCCTCCCCAGCGCTGCCCTGGAAGTGTGCAAACCTGTGACGCCACCTCCGCCCCGCGGCGAACGCCCTAACCCACTGCCCTGCCCACCCAGCTTGCCCTGATCACCCTCGGCAGCCCAGCCCCGGCCCAATGCTGCCGCAAACGCCCCTGCTGGCGCTCCTCCGCCGCCTGGAGGCTCAGCAGATATGGCGAATGAGCTACAACGTGCTGCCTATGCAGCAGCAGTACTCCACCGCCGCGCAGGTGGAGCCCGCAGGTGCGCAAGGGTTGGGGTTTGCGCGCTCCGCGGCATGTCGTCATCGGCTCCGGCGCCCTCAGCTCCCGCGCCTTTCCCGCTGCTGACTGCAGATGCCGGCGCCGAGTGGGTGGACAACCCTGGCGTGAGCGCCCAGGATGCAGTCAAGATACTGGTGCACCAAATCCAGCAGAGCGGGCCCATCAGTGAGCTGCGCCGCCGTGCTGTGGAGAGGGACCCTGCCGCCTGCACCTGCGGCACCACAGCCTGCCTGGCTGCACACGCACGCGCATATACACCGCCTCGTGCACGACTGCCTGCGGCCCGGCAGAGCCCCGCAGCTGCTCCCAGCCGGGTGTGGCTGCCCGCCTACCAAACCCAACCCCGCCGCCTGCTCCCTGCCTCTGCCGCTCCTCTGCCGCAGAGCAGCGCCACCTGCAGCTGCTGTACCGCCGCTGCCAGACGCCCGATGATCTGGACAAGGCCCTGAAGCTGACCCGGCTCAACTACCTGGCACGCGGCGAGCTGCAGCAGCACAAGCCCTTCAGCCACAAGACCAGCCAGGTCCTCATCCACGTGAGCAGGGTCCGCTGCAGGGGTTGTCGCAGGCCCTGCGCGGCTGTGGTGGCGCCAGGGGGCGCTGCAGCCGGGCGCTGCAGCCGGGGCAGGGGGCAGCACGCTCCATCACACCAGGTCGCTGTATCCTCTCCGGCAGCCTGCCCACATCCCAAATGTGTGTGGTCGCCAGCGCTGGCTGACGGCGCCTGCCCTGCACCGCCCGCTGCTCCACCCCCCCTCCACTTCCCCCTGCAGCAAGCGCTGAATGTGGGTGCTCCCGAGGTGGCGCAGAAGGCGCTGCGCAACGCATCCGAGTTTGGTCTGAGCCACGACTCGTACAAGGAGTTCCACCCGCTCATGATCTATTACTCCAAGCAGGTAGGCCTCTCCTTTCTGTCTGTCTTTCTTTCTTTGTTTGGTTACATGTCTGCAGGGCAGCGCCCGCGGCGCCGCGAGGCAGCCACACGCGTGGCTGGCCAGCTGGCTGCCCCGGCTCGTTGCTGGCTCTTGACCCTGCACTTCCACATCGCATCACCGCCGGTGTGCTCACCCTGCTGCTTTCCCTCCCGGCGCGCCCCGGCGCCCGTCCCGCCGTGCTTGCAGGGCGCGCTGCAGCAGATGTTTGAGGTGTTTGAGTTCATGCGGGGGCACGGCCGCCGCCCGGGCCCCGAGACGTGTTACATCCTGGTGAAGGGATGTGTGGACCACGGCCGCCCAGACCTGGCAGAGGTGCGCCCCACACCCCTCGGCCCTGCTTATTTTAACTGCTGCGCAGTGCTCTTTGGGCTTGCTGCTGCTGCTGCTGTGTGTGTGTGTGTGTGTGTGTGTGGCTTGGAAGACCTCCAGCTGTGTTCCTGCGCCTCCTGCCTGTTTGCCACGCAGCTGCCGCCAGCGCCACTAGCCTGGGCACTGCTCTCTGCTCGGCCCTCGTGCTGTTCTGCCCCTCAGGCGCGATGCCCCCTGGCCCCCTGCGCACCTGCAGCTGACCATTCGCGAGTTTGAGCAGAACGGTGTGCGGGTACGGGACGGTACCAAGCTGTACCTGGATCAGAACCGGCACAAGGGCCTGATGATGCAGCCCCCAGCCAACCCCATGGACGCAGCAGCAGCAGCCGCGCACCCGGCCGCCACCGCCGCCGCGCAGCAGGCAATGATGGGCGGCGCGGCAGCGGCCGCTGTCCTGGCCGCCGGCCGCTGAGCGGCCGCTGAGCGGTCACCCGGCCGCGGCGCCTCGCGCCCGGCCGGGACTGCAGCGCTGCAGAAGTATGCGCTGCTTGCCGTGCTGCCTGAGACCGGCGCACATTTGCCCTGTGATGACTCAGTTATGTAGCAGTGCCTAGTGGCGGGGGCTGGCGCCATGCTACCGCAAGGCACGCCAGCCTCCCGCCCTGCCCCGTTTTCCCGCCCCATGTCCAGTCCAGTCGTGGGCGCTTGTTGTGGCCCCACCTCGCCCCGGCAGCCTATCCCCCCAAACCCTTTATTAGTCTAGAAGCCACGCTGCACAGCCCCGCCCCTTCTCCGCTTCGCTCTCTCGCCCCGGTACCCCGTTTGCACTGTTTCGCCCCTGCTGGGCCCAAAGCGCCATATGCCTGAGCCTGCATGGCTCGGCATTGGCGTGGGTTCTGCCACCTGTACCGGGGCACTTCAGAGTCTATGCTTGTCAGGGCCCGCCATTCGCAGGCTGGCCGGCTCATGCCGCCTCAACCCTGCGCCTTTTGCCTCCCGCCTGCTCTTTCTCTCCCCAAACTTGCCTACATCCCCTTACCGCCTGGACCTATTGTTTTTATAGAATGCCCCGCAGCCACATTGAACCCAACGTCCCTATGAACGAGCCGCCCTCCGTCTTGACTTTCGTCTCCGCGTTCATCCGGGCGGATGGATCCATTGGCCACCGTCCTGCTGACTCTCCTCAATCAGGGTATCCGCCCGGCCTGATGACGATGAGCGCAACACCACAGCAACTGCAATCCCCACCATTGCGCCTTTTGTAAATGCACAACATTGCACAGCGCACTCCATTCTCACACGCTGATTGGAACATCCGCGGGCGTACAGGAAGCTGGCGGCAGCGAGCGCGGCAACGGCGCCGGCGCCTAGCCTCTGGCTTTGCTGTGAGACAACATACGAATACGGCTGTGTGTTGTCACACTTACAGCATACCATGCCACGCGGAAGTCAAGGTGTCAGGAGGGAAGAGGCAGGCAGATGGTGAGGGCGAGGGAGAGGCGGGTAAAATAGATGATGCGGCAACAAAGCAGGACACCACAGAGCAGGAACAAATGGAAACAAAAGCCGGGGTATGGCATCGCTGGGCTTGCCGCAGCCAGGCCAGCAGCAGAGTGAGACCCGCCAGCGGTGACAGCACCAGCCGCTCACTCGGTGCACGCCGGGATGGCGCCACCAAAAGCAGCAGCAACCACCAAGGCCTTAAATCAGGTCGGCAACGTTCATGGGCATCTCATCTCTGCAGCAAAGCAAAGCAGAAGGCAACGCGCCAGCGTCGGCACATGGCTTGATCAGCAGCCAGCCAGCAAGGGCAGGAAGGGATGCGCTGCGAACCGCTGGCCCCGTCCCCACTAGCCCGGCACCCACGACACGGCGGCTAGGTGCACCGGGCGCACAGAACCGACACCGCCGGCAGAGGCAGTGCTCCAGCCCACTCACATCTGCGTGGAGTAGAACTGCTCAATGTCGCGCAGGATCTTGATGTCGTCGTTCTTCACAAAGTTGATGGCCACACCCTGCACAGCGTGGAGGCTCGTCGAGGTGGCTTGGTTGGTGGCACGCAGTGATTAGATGCGTCTTAAGGCCGGTGTGAGCCGCTCCCGCAGTTGGCCAGTCCAGCAGGAACCGGGCACACAGAGAGGGCGGGCCAGCGCCCTGCTGCCCTGCTAACACTGCCACGCTCTCCACGCCCATGCTCCCACCACCCCAGAGCCAGCCCTCGCTGCCCGGCCCAGCGGCCCGCGCACCTTGCGGCCAAAGCGACCCGAACGGCCGATGCGGTGGATGTAGAGCTCGCGGGAGTTGGGGAGGTCGTAGTTGATGACCAGCGACACCTGCGGTACAGGCAGTACATTATTGCAGTACATTATAGCAGTCCTGCGAGGCGATGCAGCCGCGCCGGCCACTGACCGCGCGATGCCCGCGCCAGGGCAGGTCGCGCCCACCAGCGCCGCCTCTCGCTGGGGCGCCCCCCGTGCCTCCCCTCCTCCCGCCGACTGCACACGCCACCGCAGCGCGCCTCTTGCCACGCACCTGCTGCACGTCCAGGCCGCGAGCCCACACGTCTGTGGTGATGAGCACGCGGGTGGCGCCCTTGCGGAACTCATCCATGATCGCCTCCCGCTCCTTCTGGGGCATGTCGCCGTGCATGGCCGACACGGTGAAGTTGTTCTGCCGCATCTTCTCCGTCAGCCAGTCCACCTGCGGCGGGAGGGGTGCGCGGGTGTGGTGGGTGGGTGGCAACAAGGTGGCGGGGTGTGTGGGGCCCAGGATGTGGAGCAGGGAGCTGGGCTGTGGAGGCAGCGCATTGGCGGCGCAGCAGCGGCAACACCACCTCCCTGGCCCCTGCCTTGCACGCCAGCAGCCATAGTACCAAGCAGCAGCCAGCAACCTGGCAGCCAGCATCCTGTCGGGCCCCCCAACGCACCCACCTTGCGCTTGGTGTTGCAGAAGATGACTGCCTGGGTGATGGTGAGCGTGTCGTACAGGTCGCACAGCGTGTCAAACTTCCACTCCTCGCGCTCCACCGCCACAAAGAACTGCTTGATGCCCTGCACACGCACACACCCGCGCGCAGCCACACAAGCAGCAGTCAGGCAGACGAATCAGGTACGCGGCCGTGTGCGCTGCAGGCGGAGCGTGCCAGGCTATGGGCGGGGCTGGCAGGGCGCAGCAGCTGCTTTCACGCCAGCTCGCCGCGCAGCGCGCTGCGCGGGGCGGGCACTGCCTGCATCTGGCACCCACTCGCGCGCACACGCATGCCGCCCCTCCATGTTCCCTCCCAACACACACACACACACACACACACGTGTCCACACACACACCCAACCACCCACGCACCTCCAGCGTCAGCTCATCGCGCTTGACCAGGATGCGCACCGGGTCGGTCATGAACTTGTGGGTCATCTCCAGCACCTCGTGGGGCAGCGTGGCAGACACAAGCACCACCTGCGGGGAGCGCGCGGTGGCAGAGGCGGGCGCGCAGGTGTTTGTGGGGGTGCTGCTGCTGCCAACCCCACCTCATCAACCCCACCTCGCATTAAGCCCACCACAACAGGCTCCCAGCCCCCACTTGCATGTCGGGCGGCAGGTGGCGGTAAACGCCACTCACCCCACCCTACCACCCCAGATTCTCCTCCCCGCCCTGTCGCACACCTGCGTCTCGGGCGGCAGGTAGCGGTAGATGTCGTAGATCTGCTCCTTGAACCCCTTGTTCAGCATCTCGTCAGCCTCATCCAGCACCAGCGTCTTGATGTTCCTGCGGGGCGGGGAGGCCAGGGCAGGCAGGGGCAGCGGCCGGGGTGGGTGTGCTGGGGTGCGTCGGTGTGCATGCACGCATCAGCGGGCGGCATCTCCTTGCAGCGGATGAGCCGGGTTGGTTTCCCGTGGCTGGGTTTGGCGCTGCTCCCTTACGGGGCACCACCACCACACACACACACACACACCTGGTCCTCAGGCTGCGCCGCTTGATCATGTCGAACACGCGGCCGGGGGTGCCGCTCACAATGTGCACGCCGTTCTCCAGCTTGCGGATGTCGTCGCCCACAGACTTGCCGCCGATGCACGCGTGCGCCTGCCACACACAGGCGGTCACCAGGCGGCGGCCGAGGCAGGGCGGGCAGGGAGCAGGATCAGCGGAGGGCAAGGGAGACGTGTGCGATGCATGCAGTGGTGCATGCTGCCTGCCAGCCTGCCCATTACTCCCCACAGCCCGCTGCGCGAATGGGGTTGCCAGCTAGCAACCCAGGCTGAGAAGAGCGTCGCATCTTGCCCCGCTGCTGCCGCTGCTGCCGCGCCACCTCTGTGCCAGCTGCTGCAGTGCCCGCTGCCTGCTACTGCCCGCACCTGCACCGCCATGTGGTCGCCTATTGCCAGGATATTCTTCTCTGTTTGCGTCGCCAGCTCGCGAGTGGGCGACAGCACTAGCGCCTGGACCCTGCAAGCCAGGTGAAGGGGGGGAGGCAGGCGGGCACCAGCCATCAGCGGACCGGCTACCATGGCTGCTCCTGCTCAGTGGCATGTTCCCGCCGCGAGCGCAGCGCCAATAGAGCAGCCTGGAGCGTGTACTCCCGTCCAGGGCGAGGTGCAGACGGGCTGGCTGCGGCGGCTGTGCCGCCACTCACTCCCGCAGCGTGGTGTCCAGCATCTGGCACAGCGTGATGGCGATGAGCGAGGTCTTGCCCGTGCCCGACTGCGCCTGCGCGATGACGTCGCGGCCCTGGGTGATGGGCAGCACCGCGCGCTGCTGGATGGCCGAGGGCTTCTCGAAGCCAAACTGGTAGATGCCGCGCAGCAGCTGCTCCCGCAGGCCCATGGCGTCAAAGCTGCTGACCACCTTGACGCCCTTGCTGGTCTCAAACTCCATGTCCACATCGCCCTCGGCGATGTTGGTCTTCCTGCAGGGGCCACCCGTGGCCGCAGCAAGTGAGCAGTGTGAGGCCGATCATCGGCTGCCGGCGGGCAGCGGCGCTGGCCCGCGCGGAGCGGCGGCGCGCTCTGTGCAGCAGCTGGGGCAGGCGGGGGAGGGCCATCAGGCCGCAGCAGTGGTGCACATCGGCGGCATGTTGCGCACCTGCCGCCGTCCGCCATTTTGCCTGTGTCAGACACAAAATACGGTTAGGCGGGGCAGCCCCAACACGCAGGCAGGGCGGACAGCAAGCGGGGCGGGGCGATCACGGTGGTGGTGGCCTCCCAGGAGGCTTTCGCACCCTGCTGACACTGTGGGATGGTGTGTGGGGATGTGGGAGCCGTGCACAGGCGGGCAGAGGGCCACAGGGAGCTTCAGTTCGACAGGCCAGCTCATCCTGGAAAGACGAAGGAATGGCCCGTTTTGCTGCGGCGATGGCGGCCCCGCACCTGCAGCGCCTCAATTCGCCCGGGGTTGGCAGCGGCTAGGGTGTCAGCTCCTCATCGACAGGGTCTCTGATCGGCCTCGGTCCTGGGGGCCTCCTGCCGCCTCCCGTCCGTGCCAGGGGCCGCCCCACCGCGAGGCGATGGCGGCCGTGGACCTGGAGGCGTACAAAGACCTTGACCGGGCCATCGAGCAGCTGCTGCAATGCAAGCCGCTGGGCGAGGGGGAAGTCAAGGAGCTCTGCGTCAAGGCCCAGAACGTGTTCGTGAATGAGAACAACGTGCAGCCCGTGGCGGCGCCCGTCACGGTGCGTGGATGACGATCAGCCCGTCGGCGAGCGGCGGGGGCAGAGGTGCCGGCCCCCCTTTCGCTGGGCTGCAAGCAGCGTGCTGCCCATGGGGGGCTTGCGGCAGGCAGGACGCCGCGTAGACAACATGGGGGTGTGATTGGCGCTGGAAGCGAGCGCCCTGGCCGACCGCCGCCGGGCACCTTACATCGCCCGCCGCCGCCGCTCCCATCTCGCCCTGTGTAGGTGTGCGGAGACATCCACGGCCAGTTCCAAGACCTGCTGGAGCTGTTTAGGATTGGAGGAAACTGCCCAGACTCAAACTATCTGTTCATGGGAGACTATGTGGATAGAGGCTACCACTCAGGTGGGTGCACAAGGGCTGGCGGTTGGCCACAATGCGTTGTGCGTACAGCCCAAGGCAGCACGGAGCAGCACCCTGGAGCTGGCAGCAACGCAGGGAAAGTTGCAGCAGCTGGGGGCATAGGAGGCTATGTGACGGCAGGGGCGGGGAGCAGTGTGAATGCACTCCAATTGCAGCGCATGGACAGACAGCTCCCTCACGCTGCTACCAGTCATGTGACTTGCGCATTGGACTGGGGCGCCACTGCGCCAGCTGCAGCAGGCCTGCGGCACTCTCGCAGCTGCTTATCCAGCTGGCTGTCCGCATCCTGAGGCACTCCTGGGCCCGCCGCCTGTCCTCGTGCAGTGGAGACGGTGACGCTGCTGGTGGCTCTCAAAGTGCGCTACCCGCAGCGAATAACCATCCTGCGCGGCAACCACGAGAGCCGGCAAATCACGCAAGTGTGAGTGCCACGCTCGCGCGCTCCGCCGCAGCGCAGCTGGCTTGTACGCAGCTGGCCGCAGCGCTGCTTGCCCCGACCTTTGCTTCTGCTACTTGCGTCAGCTCTCAACCCCACATCCACAGCTTCCCCAACAACGCACACATGTTAATTTCTCGGTTCCACTCTCCGATCCATCCGACTCTCCCCCCCGGACCACCTTAACCCTACCCCTTTACACCCCCCCACACACACACACGACACACACACCACCATTTACACCACCACCACCCCCCGCGCGCACACACACCCCACGCAGGTACGGCTTCTACGACGAGTGCCTGCGCAAGTACGGCAACGCCAACGTGTGGAAGTACTTCACAGACCTCTTTGACTACCTGCCCCTCACCGCGCACATCGAGAACCAGGTGCAGGGGGGTGCGCAGCCTGCGGGGCAGAGAGGAGCCAGGGCAGGACGGGCCTGCGGGGTGCAGGCGGCAGCTGGCGAGCTGGGGCTGCGGCTGGGCTGATGCAGGGTGCCTCCTGTTCTGTTGATGAACTGGAAGGGAGGTACTGCTGCTCGGCATGGTTTGCCCAACCACCGGTGCTCCCACCGCCTGCCCCCGCAGATCTTCTGCTTGCACGGCGGCCTGTCGCCCACGCTAGACACGCTAGACCACATCCGCGCGCTGGATCGCGTGCAGGTGGGCAGCCGGGGCAGGGTGGGATGCTGCTGAGGTCTGCACCTGTGCGTGTGGAGCTGCGCAGATCCGATCCAGGCTGGCAGCTGTCTATGTGTTGGGGTGCCGGCGCGCGCACCCATGCGGTACATGAGAGCATCCCTCTCCACCCCAGCATGTTTCCGTGTTCCGTTAGCTGCTTGGTCAACCCCCCCCACGTGTGCGTCCCCTGCGCCCCGTGTGGCTGTGCCGCCCTGCAGGAGGTGCCGCACGAGGGCCCTATGTGCGACCTGCTGTGGTCCGACCCAGACGACCGCTGCGGCTGGGGCATCTCGCCGCGCGGCGCAGGTGAGCGGGGCACGGCGCAGCACGTGGCGAAAGGGCTGCGCGGTGCATCGGCGCAGATCTCAAGCCAGGGCGGCGGCGGTTCCATCTGGCAGCACCAGAGGGCACCATGCCGCAGCCCAGCAGCCTGCGTATGCACCGCCCCTCACCATGCCCGTCCCTCCTCCCCTCCGCCCCGCAGGCTACACCTTTGGCCAGGACATCAGCGAGCAGTTCAACCACACCAACGGGCTCACGCTTGTCTCGCGCGCGCACCAGCTGGTGAGCGGGCTGCCTCCTGGCGAGTTCCCGTGGTGCTGGGCAGACGGGCGTGCCAAGTGTGGGCACAGGCGGCCCCTGCTGCTGCCCCCATGTTCCATTCATCCTGACCTGCCCCTGTCCTGCCGGGCTGCTGCTGCGTGTGGCGGCTGGTTGCAGGTCATGGAAGGCTACAACTGGTGCCACGAGCAGAACGTTGTGACCATCTTCAGTGCGCCAAACTACTGCTACAGGTGCGCGGGGGCGGGGCGGGGCCTCGGTTCCCTGCTGTTGTGAGGCGCCGCAGCAAGAAGCATGGGGGCTGTCAGTGTCTGGTGTGTGAGGGGTCACCTGAGCACAGCCTGCTCCTTCTCAGCAAGGCTGCCGATCGTGCAACTCTGAACTCCCACCACGCCCGGCGGCTGCACCCTCTCCCGCAGGTGCGGCAACATGGCGGCTATCATGGAGGTGGATGAACACATGAACAAGTCCTTCTCGCAGGCAAGCCAGCAGGCGGCTGGGCCTGGGAGGCTGCGGTTTGCCTGCGGGCTGCCGTGTGGTTGCACCACAAGCCCAGCGACCCGGCCGTGCGGCCCTGCCCCTGGCACACTTGTGGCGCGCACTGCGGTGAATCGTTACGCGCTGGGCCTGCCGCCGACAGCCTGTGAATCAACTCAGCGCGCATGCTGCCCCACCTCTCCGATTTGTGCGATGCAGTTCGACCCAGCGCCGCGCAGAGGGGAGCCGGAGGTGACACGCCGCACCCCAGACTACTTCCTCTGAGGGCGCCAGCGGCGCCCGCCGCCGCCTAGCAGCAGGAGCAGCAGCAGCTGCGGCAGCAGCAGCCAATTTGTCGCTGGGGAAGCAGTGCCAGCGCCAGCGCCAGCACCAGAAGCCCATTGTGTGCACAGCAGCAGTGGGCTGTGGCGCAGGTGCCAGCGGGACACAGGCGGCCAGTGGCGGGAAGCAAAAGGCCCCCCCGGCCCGGGGCGCCCTCCGCCTCCGCCCCGCATTTTTCTCGTCACCCATCCAGCACCTCCTGTTGTTGGTGTTTCCGGCATTGCACTCACTCACACCCACCCCGCATCCCTAATCCCTTCTTTTGCTACATAGCGCAGCACACAGCGCCCTCTTCCTTTGCTCCTCTGTTTGTGACTGCCTCTCCAGCTCAAATGCACAGCTGATGTGAACTTGCGCACGCCACCACACTGTATGCAACTAACACAGCAAGCCAGCGCAATGAGGGCAGCAGGCACTCACTCACAGGACCCAAGGAAGGGGGTCCCATCCCCCTGTCCTCCAGGCAGCTGGCGCGGCGGGAAACTTCACGCCGCCAGCTGGCGCTCTAGATGTTGGGCACGTCGCGGCTCGTTCTTCTTGCGCTTAAAGTTTCTGCCCCAATTTCCCACACCTTGTTTGACGTCTTCCACTCGTGTCCGCCTCCCGCAATGGCAGTCGGCGTGCACCCCGCCACCACACTGCAGCGCTTCAGCGGGGATGGTCCGTGCATTGCATCCCGCACTCCCCCGCTGCCGATCAAACTCGAAGAGCAGCAGCAGCCCAGCTGCGCCGCCGCCACTTTGGCCGCGGCGCCAGCGCCCTGCGAGCCCGCTCCACCGACGTCTCCTGATGGCAGCGACTTCAGGGTGGCAGACCTGGTGGACATGCACTGTGGCCCTTACGGAAGCACGCAGCAACAGAATGCTGCTGCACAGGTGCTGCATCCGGACTTCAGGTGAGTCGCTCTGGCGCACGCCGTGGCACACCACGGTCCGGCGCTGCACCTCCTTTGGAGGGCCCGGCTGCTAGTTGTTCACAAGTCTTGCACGCCTGTGGACGGTGCAGGAATTTTGGCGGGGGCAGAACATTCTACGGCAGGGTGACCACCATGAGGCTTACCCGGGACAGCAACACTCTGGTGAGCATCCCCCGCCACGCATGCATGTGCCGCCGGCATGCGGCGCATGCGCCTGTCGAAGCTGGGGCCAATTACGCGGTGCCCTGTAGCAGGATGGCTCTGCCCAGTGCACGGCACTGATTGGGGTTTCCTCCCCTGGCTGCAGCTGAGGACGGTCCTACAGGAGGATGGCACGGGGCGAGTGTTGGTGGTGGACAACGGAGCATCCATGCGGTGCGCCTGCCTGGGCGACGTCCTGGCGACTCTGGCACACAAGTCAGGTGGGTACATGTTGAATAGAGGATGTGCTGAGCAGCGCCGTAGCAGGACTGTAGTGTCGGCCGGTAAAAAGATCAGGTCAACCCTCATGCCCTACCTGCTCCACCCTTGGCTGCAGGCTGGGCTGGCATCGTCGTCAACGGCTGCGTCCGTGACGTTGCTCAAGTGGCGCGGTGAGCTTGCTGCACTCGAAGGCAGGCAGCACTGCGATGGGCCTTGTCGCGACGTGGCGGGCACTGCCTGGCAGGCCTCGGCCTGACCATGTAGCTGCTGGAGCCAATATGCCTGACCTCACAGGTAGCCTCCTGCCATGCATTGCCCACGTGCAGGATCCCAGTGGGCATCCAAGCGTTAGCCAGCAACCCCATGAAGCCTGGCAAGGGCGCTCCGGGCCTGGTGGATGCGCCGGTGGATGTCGGAGGGGTGACCATCCGCCCCGGCAACTGGCTGTTTGCGGATGAAGGTGGGTGGGCCTTGGGCGAGGTGTGCAGGCAGGCAGCGGCCCTTGTACTGCCACCTCCGCTGAACAGGCTCCCAGTGCGTCCCCAGTTGTGGTCATGCCCGATTCATGCGCCTGCCTGCCCGGCCTTGCAGACGGCATCCTGGTGTCCCCCGAGCAGCTGCCGCTGCCCAGCAAGGAGGAGGCGGCGCAGCTGGCTGCTGACTACCTTGCCCAGTGACCGCTGCTCTCCCGCCCCATGGAGCCTGGGCCAATTTTATTACATCTTGCCTGTTTAATTGACCATTACTCGACTTTTTGCCAGTTTGACGTAATTCCAAAAACCATAGAAATATATGTATCAAGTATAGCATCGGGCAGTGCTAGGCTGGTAGGGGCGCCATCGTCGCCGCTTGCTGCATACTGTCCCTGAGTGCCGCAAGCGAGTCTCGTGCCGCCAGCATGAGTCTCAGGTCGTGCTGCAGCTGCTGCTTCTCCCGCAGGGTAACCCTCAGCGCATCGTCCTTCTGCAGGGGACGGGCAGGGGCAGGCACCACGATGGGTCATGCTTGCATGCCACTTTCTGTTTGCCTGGCACACCATCCACATCCTTGCTGTGTATTTTCAACGTCAGCCCGGCTGTGCACTGCAGCCTTGCCTGAGCCAGCTGCCGCTGCAGCTCGGCGCCCAGCCGCCGCGCCTCGTCCAGCTGCCGGCACGCCGCCCCAAGGCGCTCCTCCAGCAGTGCTGTGCCGCCGCCAGCGGCTTGGTGCCTCGCCAGCAGCAGACGCAGCCCCGCAGCCTGCTCCTCTGCGGCTGCTGCAGCTTGCCGAGCAGCCGTGGTCTTCCGCTGCTGCAGGTCTAGCTGGGACTGCAGGTCTGCGCAGCAGAGCGCCAGGCTGAGGCGGGAGTCGGAGGGAGCTAGGCACTGCGCATGGCTGGGGCCTGCAGCGCTTGCTGCCACCTGAGCCGTTGACTGCAGAGGGCTGCCCTCTGCTGCATCTGGGCTGCGGAGGAAGGGCCCATCATTTGTTGCAGACAGCAGGTGCTGCCTGGCGGGGACATCTAGCGCCGCCGCTGCATTTCGGTCACGGCCCATCCAGGCCTGCTGGTGCTCCGCCTCCATCGCCCCGAAGCACTCGATCAGCACAGCAACCTTGGTCTCCAGAGCCTCCACACTCAGCGCCTTGCTGGCATTTCTGGCCGCCAAGGCCGCGTGCGCAGCCTGCGTGCGCTCCAGCTCCCGCACCGAGCTGGCCAGCTGCGCTGCATGCTGGGCGGCCTGCTGCTCCGCCTGCAGGGCAGCCACGGCGTGGGCCTGCTGAAGCTGGGCATGCTCCCGCGCAAGGCGCTCCAGCTGCACGCGGGCCTGCTCTGCCTCGGCCACGGCGGCATCGCGTGCCCGCCGCAGCAGCGCCTGCTCCTGGGCCACTGCCGCGTCACGCTCCCGGCGGAGCCTGGCCAGCTCGCATTGCAGGCCAACGGTGTCGCCGGTGGCGGTGGCGGCGCAAGGCGCACTGACTGCAGGCTTGGGCTGCAGCTCTTGGGCGTGCGGCTGGCCCTCTCCAACAGCTTCATGTTTTTCGTCGCTCATTGGTGGCGCTGCTTTAGGTAGGTAGTGCGGGGTGCAACTGTCGCATGTGCCAGGCATGTTTCGGCGTGTGTAGATATGCCAGGCTGCAGCTTGGTGTAAGGCGCGGCGCATCAATGTAGCGGCGCATTGAGCGCATTGCAGAGAGTCCACGTTTTCCTCGACCTTCCTCCAGTCTGGTCCACAGCCCAGCTGCAGCATCCCTGATCGCATCATGACACCAACGCCATGTCTCGGGCGCTCGCCAGCCGGCTGCTGCCCACTGCGTTCACCTCAGCCCGCCCGCTCTGGCAAGCAGCTCCCTGCAGCTGGTGCAGCAGCCGTGCGGCGCCAGACGATCTAGAACAGAAGCAGCCGCGCAGCAGGCGGGGTAAGCGTACTCGTGCCTGGCAGCTGGGCGACGGGATGGCGGCGGGGCCGGGCGCCGACATAGTGAAGGCCGGCAACACAGTGCTGCGAGAGGCAAGTGCAAGCCGTGTAGCCACCTGCGGTGCACCAGGAAGAGAGCCAGCATTTGCACGAACTTTCGTGCGGAGCAGGGTGCGCGTGGTGGCCAGCCAAAGCGTTGGCCATGCCGAGCCGAGTGGGCACCGCTCAGCTGAAGCTGCCATGCCTGCGCTTTTCCTGTGTGCAGGAGGCGGATGATGTGTCACAGAGCATGCTGGGGACGCAGGAGCTGCGAGACTTGGTGCAGACAATGGTGGACACGATGCGGGGGGCTCCAGGGGTTGGGGTGGCAGCGCCGCAGATTGGAATACCTCTCAAGGTGGCAGCGCGCCTTCTTGCGCACCAGCTGCTGCTGCTGCTGCACTTTCGGCGGTTGACCCTGCTGGGGATTGCTCATGCAGCCGCACCGGATGCCTGCATGTTGCAGCTGCCTCCGCTTTAAGCCCCTGCTCCTGGTTTTCCCGACCAGCAGATCATTGTGCTGGAGGACCGAGCCGAGTACATTGACATGCTGCCAGAGGGGGTGGCGGAGCAGCAGCAGCGGCAGCCCTTTGAGCCGCTCGTGGTGCTCAACCCGTACCTCACGCCGCTCGGTGACGCCGGCGCACGCTTCTTCGAGGGCTGCCTCAGCATACCCGGCTACCAGGTGTGTGGGTGCGGGCCGGTGTGCTGTCGCTGTGCCGCAACCCCACAGTGCATCGTGCTCGGCTCTGGCAGCAGCACACATAATCATCAGGCTGGCTTGCCCCCTCATCTTGCACAGTACCGCGCCTCTTTGTGAACTGCAGGCGCTCGTGGAGCGGTACATGTCAGTGGAGGTGCAAGGGCTGACTCCGGAGGGCATGCCGCTCAAGTTCCAGGTGTGTACATCTCATCTGTGTGTGCACTTATGCGGGTAGTTGGGGCACACACATGCGGCACCCCGCACATGGCTGCACAACAATCTGAAAGCTCAGACGCCGCATTGTGCCGCGCATCCTCTGGCCCATGCCGCGCAGGCGAATGGCTGGAAAGCGCGAATTCTGCAGCATGAGTGCGACCACCTGGAGGGTGTGCTGTACGTTGACCGCATGCTGCCACGCAGCTTCTCGGCACGCGGCGGCGGCACACGCCTGCCGGACGACGTGCCACGGCCCGGGCCCTGCAGCTGCTGCCACCCCATCGGCCGACCCAGCTTCTAGCCTGCGGCTTGCAGCCTCCTTGTACCAACAGCCCCCTCGCTCATCAAATTTGTGCTTGTATTCTATGTGCGAACGGCTCAGTTTCTGTGCCATTTATTGCAGATTACCATGCCGAGGTGTAGGTGGCAGCAATAAGAAGGGTGTGCAATACAGCCTGAGAGAACTACGTGTGATGAAGAGCAGTGTTGTGCGCAAGAGAAGCGTGGAAGAGCAGCATCCAAAAAATCAGCAGGCGAGTTTGTGGGGGCATATGGTTATGGTGGGCAGTATTGTGTACCAAAGGGTGTGCGTCAAGGACCTAAGATGGGAGAACCAACAGCGTGTACAAGGGAGTTCCATGCAGCAGGTCAGCGGCCTGCGTTGACCATCAGAGGTTGCCAAGGCTACTCTCCTCAGTAGCTATCGTCCTTCTCCTTGGCACCCTGTGTCGAGGCAGCATACATCTCGACCCCCGCCACGGCCCCCAGCGCCGCCAGCGTCAGCGCCTGCAGCATGTAGAGCAGGCCGAATGCTCACAGGAAAAGGTGCGCGAGGCAGGTGCATAAACCTGAACACTAGTGTGCAAGTTCAGTCGGATCGTCCATCCCAGACCACGCCTACCTGCGCGTACACGCGAGTATGGATGATCTTCAGGGAGGTGGGTATTGGCCTGGTCCACTGGTATGCCTGCAGTGCGCAGCACGGAAAGCAGAATACTTGTCGGTAACAGCCACGCAAGGCGGCCACCCAAAATGGGCAAATCGCCCCACTTCATCTCCACAGCCTGCGGCAGGGCCCACTCACGAAGCAAGTGGTGATGCCAGCTCCCCATGTATACAGCACCTGCAGGCGGGGGCGGCATGGCAGTGGAATTGGCGAGTTAATGACTTGACTTGACTTGACTTGACTTACAGAGCGGATTCGGAATTGGCGAGTTAATGGCGACGGCGGCGGGCGGCGGGGCGCTGCCATCCTGTGGCGGCACACCCTGCGGCGCTGCCCATGGCACAGTACGCACCGTCTTGAGCTTATTATTCAGCACAAAGTCCGTCACCGCGGCCACCGTCGACTGCTCAGCCGCCATGTTGGGCTGCACCCCTGTTTTGGTTGCTGTGGCTTTTCTGTGGCTTCTGGGTGAGCTTGGAGACAAGCCGCGGCTTGGCAAGTATCTTGGTAAGAGTTTCACGAGAGGGCCAAGGGTTGGTCACTGGAGGGCGACAGTCGGCAGCAGAGGCTCACAGGCACGGCGGGAGATGGCTGCCTGGGGTGTTTACGTCACGGTTATGGCCATTCCAGGTGGTGCCCAGCATCGGGCACCAGGTGTCGTCGGGTCAGCAGTTTTGTGCATGCTTCCCCGCTCGCCCCCTGCAGCGTTCCCACCTCTTCTGCTTCGCTGTAAGATCACCAGGGCCAGCCAAACCTCCCTGCTCCCTCCGGTTTGGCTGCGGCAGTTCCCAAGGGGGATTAGTGAAGGTTGTTTGGCAGGGATGGCGCCCGGCACGCTCCCCGCCTCAGACACCGATGCAGTCAAGCCCCTGAGCTCCATCGGCCGCATCAAGTCGCAAAAGGCGCTGGCCGCCAAGAAGCTGGCGGCGGCGGACGCCAACGGTGACAGCGGCAAGCCGTACGTGCGCGGAGCCAAGGGCCAGCTGGAGGACATGGATCGCCTGATGAAGCTGCCCTGGTGCCAGGTGAGGGGCTCGAGGGACGGAGGGGTCAGCGTGGCATGCGGCGGCATTCTCACGCCCGCTCCTCCGCCACCCTTCTGCTCACATCGCAGGAGCTGCTGGCGCAGCCAGGCATGCAGACGCTGCTGACGTGCGGCGCGATGAGCAAACCGCCGCAGCCCGGGGAGGTGAACGCCATCGACCCCGACCATCTCTTTCTGTCGCTGCTGCGCCAGGACCTCATCCGTGACCTGCTCTTCCTCTACTCGCCCACCCACCGCACCTTCCACACCCTCATGTCGGTCGGCCTGGACGTGTGTGGCCACCCCAGCATCGTGCATGGCGGCTTCACCTCGGGTGAGCGGGTGTGCCCATGGCAGCGGCGACCGCCACCCACCCGCGTGCCTCCGCCGCCAGCGATCACCTGCCGCTTCCTTGCCCACCCCCATGCAGCCATGATCGACGAAACGACAGGCGGGCTGGTGTTTGAGCTGAAGAAAGCAGGGGAGCTTGGGGGCGGCCCCGCCTTCACGGCGCGCTTGGAGGTGGATTACAAGGCCCCCATCCCTGCCAGCGCCGACGTGGTGTGCACGGCGCGGCTGGAGAAGGTGGAGGGGCGCAAGGTGGGTTGAAGCTATGGTGTTGCCTGCCGTTGCTGCCGCTGGCTCGGGGAGCCTGTCCACCCTGCATACGTTGCATGCTGAGGCAGGTGCTGAAGTGTTCCCTGCTTCTTGGGCATTGGCCGCTGCAGTGCTGGACAGTGGCCGAGGTCGCGGACCGCCCCGGCGGCACCGTCTATGCGGTCGGCCGCGCCCTGTACGTTACGCCACGCAGCCATGCAGCCGCGGAGCAGCAATGACCACGCTGGTCATGGGCTGGCTGCCATAGGGTACTCGTTCATCATTGTTTCTGTAGATTTCGTTGCCAGCTCCCACGCCCGCATCCACCAGGCGCGCATAGCAGGTGCCGAAAGCCAGCGCACATGGGCATTGGACCCATGCTTCATTTTTATCTTTCTGTACGCTTCCCCATGCTTCTCAGTGCCGTTTCTGACCTGTAATCCGGACAGGTCTTGAAGTGCGGAAGGGTTGCAAGGGCCCCACAAGGCAGCGCAGGCGTGGAGCGGTGATGGCGGAGCGGTGATGGCGGAGGCGCGCCATGCCCCATACTCAACCCTGAAGACCCATGCTGCAATGCGCGTCACCTAGCTCACAGAAGAAATGAGCAACGCCAGTGGTTTTGAGTTTTGAGCTCTTCCCAGCACGCAGCAGGCAACAACGCCGAAATCTGAAGCAATCGCGCATTGTTCCGCTTCCTGCGTGTCCTGGGCAGATCTGGGCAGCACCAGGAGAGCAGCTGGAGGCAGCGCAAAAGGCTCCCGGCCCATGACCCTGCACGCAGAGGGGCTTGGGCCCTTCCCTGATGGTCAGCACCAATCACACACGTCAAGAGGCGACAGCCCACGGCTTGGGGGCACTCAGCTGCTGGGCTGGTGGAGCGGCAAAGGGCTGTCACTGCCAATGGGCGTTCTTGTGGGCTCCCTCTGCACCCTGACGCTGCTGTCGCTGCCCCGCAGCAATGCGGGAATACCTTGGAGGGGTGAGCGGGCTGTTGGCCAATGGGTGCAGGGCTGCACGCTGCGCCCCGCAAATTGCGGCGGACCCGCCACCGCGACCGTGGCCGCCAGCAGCTATTTCTTCAGTTTACCACCCGTCGCTGCACAGCTGCCTGCTGATTGCATGTCACTGTTCCAAGCATACACGCACCCCGTTGCAGAGCTTGCCCTGTCCGAAACCACGCACGACCAGGCGCATCGCGCCCAGGGCGACATGGCCGACTGCCCGCCTCCGCCCGCGCACAAGGCCTGCCCAGCAGCAAAGGCCTGCCCGCCGCTAGTCTCCTGTCCTCCTGAAAAGGAGTGCCCGGACACCAGGGCTTGCGCTCCCTGCACTACGGCGGACACCCTCTCGGATGCGGACAGCAAGGGCGGCAGTGTGGCAGCTGGCACCGGCTCCAGCGCGGCACTGGTCGACTGGGCACGGCGGCTGGCGGTGCCCTGGGGGCCGCTACTCACACAACGCGAGGCGCAACGTGCCCTGTGCTACGGCAGCGGCAAGCGGCTGCAGGAGGTGGCCGCTAAGTTGATGGCCGGCAAGCCAATCAAGGTGCGGGGCGGTGAGACTGAACCCTGCGGCTTGCTGGCCGCTCCCAATGCCGCTCCCAATGCTGCTGCCGCTGCTGGTGTTGGCTGGTATCTGCGCTTGCCACGCTGCGGTGCCAATGCTTCATGCAGCCTGCTGCTGCCTCCTCATTCCAGCTGCAGCCCTGCTCAGCTCAGCCTCATGCGCTGCTGGGTGCACCGCTGTCCCCCACTCCCGTCTCGCCACAGGTCTTCACACTGGGGGCCAGTGTGACGCGGGGTATTGGAACTACCGACCGGCAGTACAGCTATGCCAGCCGGTTCTTCCAGTACATCAACGCCACCTTCCCCCACAGGTGCTGCACCCTGTGGGCTTCCGCTTGTGCCATGCTCTCTAAGCATGCTGCCCGACTCACACCCCTGCGTAGTGCGCCCCCATCTTGCCGCGGCGTCTCGCATGGCACCGATGCTGGGATATGCTGACACCCGCAACTTGCCGCAGGAAGCACACCTTCATCAACCGCGGCATCGGCGGCACCAGCTCTGCCATCTACTCTGTCTGTGCGGAGCACATGGTGCATGAGGTGCGCCGCGGGAGGTCTCCAAGGCAGGGTTGACAGCCAAGATGAGCGTGTCAGCAAGAGCGCTGGAGCTGTGGCTGGTGGCTTGACGCCTGGCTGGTAGCAGTGTGTGTGCTGCATGTCAACATCACAGCAGGTTACGCTACATCTCCTCAACCAGGCAGTTGCTGGTTTGGAGAGCACTCTGACATGCCCGCCAACAGTATGTGCTGCACGACTGCAGGATGCCGACCTGGTGGTGCTGGAGTTCAGTGCCAACGACCAGCGGGACGTGCCCTACTCCCACCCGGAGCGCAAGGGCTACGAGCAGCTCATCCGCAAGCTGCTGAAGATGCCGGGGAGGTGGGCGGGCGCCTGGCGGGGGGCACAGGCGCTGGATGGGGGCGGGGTCCGAGAAGGCGCCGCCGACTGGCCTGCCAGCTCCTCCGGCCCTCCCGCCTTTGTGTTTGTTCTGTGGAGGCAAGGGCCTGATCGGTGCTGCTGCGTGACCGGCCAAGCTCATTGCGCGCATGCGCCTGGTGCAGGCCTGCGCTGATCCAGCTTCACCACTATGCCTGGTGGCACGCGGTGGGCGACGGGGTGGAGGACGGCGGCCTGTTCTACTACCCCGCAGCTGAGGCACAGCTGGGCGTGTTTGCGCAGGTGCGTGTCTCTGCCTTCCAGTAGCGGCTGTGGCTCGGTAGCACGCCTTGGGCACGCCACTCCTGTCCTCGCTGCCTCGCCCGCGCCACAACACCGCCCACCCTTCTTGCCCTCCGCAGTATTACGACTTCCCATCCCTGTCGGTCAGGGCAGCAATGTGGCACCTGATGCGTGCCCGGGTAGATCAGTTTCATGTGAGTGCGGCAGGAGCGGCTGTACGTGCATTCAGGATGGGCAGGATGTCTCATGTAGCCCCATCCACTCGGCTGCTTGCCTGCCTGCTTGTCCACCTGCTCGCATGTTCCGCCTGCTGCCCCCACACGTGCCGTCCAGCCGGATGCGACGCGGCTGGGCGCCACCGCCTCTCCCACCAACGTCACCATCCCTGGCGCCGAGCCCGGAACCGAAAAGGCGTACTGGTATCGTGACAGGTGCCGCTGCTGCTGCTGCTGTCAATTCAAGGGGCGTATGCCACGCCTTGTTACCTACGGCCTGCCTCCAAGCATCATCCTGCCCTACAACTGGCTGGAAAAGGCCCATCAGGGGACTGACGCCTCGTTGCTGGCGGCATGCAGGACGCACCCCGGGGACGAGGGCCACGGCATGCTGGCAGAGCTGCTGGCCCACGTGCTGGCACAGGCTGTGATAGAGGTGGTGGCCCCGCGGCCACGCCTGCACCTGGCGGCACGAGACGCCGACCTGTCTGCAGCGCAGGACGACGACGGCCTGCCGCTGCCCATGATCCCGGGCAACGCGGCCACGCCCACCACGCTGTGTGCGATAGAGGTGCGGCGGGCGCTGGGGTGCAGGGGAAGGGACCCTGCGCTGTGCTACAGGCGGCTGCCTGGCCAGGTCCCAGCTCTGCTATGTGCTGCATCTTCCTGTCGTTTGGTGTGGTGTGATGTAACCTCATGCTGTGCCATGCCTGTGGCTGTGCTGCGCTGTGCAGGAGGACTTTGAGGGCGTGGTGTCGGCACATGCGGGCGACTTCAGCTACAAGCCTGAGAAGAGGAAGGGCAAGAACTTTGTGGAGCAGAAGTGGGGGTGGTCTGCCTCGCAGCCAGGTGGGCTGTGTGGCTGTGGGCAGCCACGGTCGCTGGGAGGGGGGCTGCTTGCGGCTGGCGTGTTGTGGTCTTGGGTAGCTGACAACCTGCCTGCCTCCCTTTTGCACAGGCTCCTGGGTTGAGATGGAGTTCGATACCGAGTCGGGCTTTGAGGTGCTGCCAGGCACCAGCCCCGCGGCGGTGGCAGCAGCAGCAGCAGCGGCGGCGGCAGCAGTGGCGGCCCCTGCGCCTAACGGCAGCAGCGGCAATGCCACTGTAGACGCAGCCGACCCGCGAGCGGAGGTCAGCTTGAGTTATCTCAAGTCTTATCGCGGCATGGGCGTGGCGGATGTGGCGTGTTTGTCGGGTTGCGCCTGCGAGGCGCATGTGCTAGATGGCACGTGGGCCGCCGAGGTGTCCCTGCAGCAGGTCCTGCAGTTCAGTGTGAGCCCCGCTGCTTGCCTCTACTGCCGTTAGCTGTCGCGCATGCTGCATGCTGCTGCCGGTGGTGGTGTGGCTGCTGGGGAATGCATCTGCAGTGGCAGGTTCGGCCGCCTGTCGTTGCTGCCACTGGCAGCTGCTGCTGCTGCCCTTCCCAGGCTACCTCTCCCAGCCTACCTCTCCCAGTCAACCCTGGCGCCTGTGCTCGCAGGTCACGCGGCACAAGCGCTGCCGAGTGCGCATCACAGTGGCGGATCGGGCGGGGGTGGTGCCGCAGGAGGGCCACAAGGTGGTGCTGACGGGGCTCATGGTGTCGCAGTTCTCTGTGCGGCTTACGACATATGAAAGTCAGGTGGGGGTGCTTCACAAGGCGACCATCTGATTCAAACCTTTGCCCAGCGCCCTGCTCCTGCACGGCCTGCCTGTTCTGCTCTTCCGTACCATGCACGGCTGGCTATATGCCGCTGCCAGCCGCCTTTCTGCTCATGTATGACCGATTTACTCGTTGTTACACAGCCACTACGTACTCCTTTGTTGCTGCTCATCTGACGACGTTCGCTCCGAGCAGTGCACCGCAACGGCCGTTCCCTTGCGTCTATCAAATGTTGCGTTCGTATTGATACATGACTTTGACTTGTGCATGGATTCTCCAGCATCTGTTTCTGGCTGCCTGCAATCTGCGCCAACATTTGGCAGCGGCGCAGTACATGGCGCTGTACGCCGCTGATTTGGTACTAACCGGCCCTGGGGGGTCAGGCGCTTGCATTTGGACATGAACCAAAGTTAGGGTCGGTGTGGGTGGGGATGTTGGAAGCCTTCGACGTCAAGGCCATGGGGGCCAAGACGAGCCTGGCCTTCACCACCCTGGCCTTCGTTGCGGTCATTGCGGGCAGCTTTACCTACCTGAGCGTGTGCGGGGGAGGTAAGAGGGAGTCGGGCGGTTCATGGGTGGTTGCCGAGCAATCTGCAGTCTGCAGCCTAGCCTCCGCCCTCCGGCATGCAGTGCAGCCCACGATGATCGGGCGGAGCCAGCCATGCTGCAGCTCATCTGCAGTCTGACACATGCTCGCACCCTTGTTGTTTCAGCCCAATAGCTGCAGCAAACAGCTGGCCGCCCTGCCCCTCCCCTGCAGCCCCAGGCCTCAGTTTTTGCCCGGCCTGGGGACTGGTGAGGCGGCCGACCTTCACGGCCGCCGCGCCACGGTGCCTCGCCGCGCTGGGTGGCGGCGGCGGCGTGCAAATCCTGGGTGCAAAGCAGACCTTCCTGCCGCCGGATGCCCTCCTGCGTGGCACCTCCAACTACGGCTCCGGCCAGCGCATGGAGCGGCTGGGGCACAAGCTGCTGCAGGGCCAGCCCATCACAGTCGCCTTTTTGGGCGGCTCCATCACCTGGGGACGGGTGTGCACTCGCCGCCGCACCCGCTGCAGCCGCTGTGGCCGCCACTGCTGCCTGCCCGACGCGGCCATAATGCGCGCATGTAATGTGGCTCGGCTGCTGCTTGCTGACTTCGCCGTCGCCGCCGCTGTTGCTGTTGCTGCCGCAGGGCGGGTACGAGGGCGGGTCGTTCACAAACCGCTTCACGGAGTGGCTCAACGCCACCTTCCCCCACCCCGACCACCGCGTCGTCAACCTGGGCCTCCCCGCCGTCACCTCCGCCCTCTTTGCCGCCTGCTATGATACCGTGCCAGAGGTGAGGGCAGCGGAGGTTGCGGCAGCAGAGCCAAGTATGCATGTGTGAAGTGTGTGTGAGACGGGGGAGCGTCGGCATGTCGTACTGTCCCTACTGCTCTTTACACCCCACCACCCGCGCCTCTCGCTGCCATATCATCTTTGCCTTCATTTCTGTGTTTCCTCCTCCTCTTCTGTACCAGGATGCCGACCTGGTGGTGCTCGACTTTGCCGTGAATGACGGGCACGTCTCGCCGCGGTGGCGAGAAAAGCTGGGCTACTCGTTCGCCGGCGGGGAGCGGCGCGGCTTTGAGCAGCTGGTGTGTTGAGGGGCGGGGGGCGAGGCTGCTTGGTGGCAAGCAGCCGGCCGTGGGGCTGTGCTCGGAAGGCAGCTGGGCGTGAGGAGGCGACTTGCCGCTTCAGTGGCCGTGGCCTGGCTCATCTGCATATTGTGCGCCGCTGTAGAGCGACAGTGGGACGTTGCGTTTGCTGTGCTCGCAGGTGCGCAAGAGCCTCAGGTTGCGCCAGTCGCCCGCTGTGGCCTTGCTTCACTTCTTCTCTTGGAATGCCACCAGGGATAAGCTGGAGGTGAGGGAGCGGCTGGCTCGGCTTGGCCATCCAGGATACCACGGCCCTGCGCATGGATGCCAGCACTGGAAGCCGGCCTGCTGCCTCTGCCGTGCCAGCAGCTGCTGCTGCTGTTGTGCTTGCTGCAGCTGTCTGCTGCTGCTGCTGCTGCTGCTGCTGCGCGTGTCCACCCGCCGCCTGTGTGTGCCTCCGGGCGCAAGCGCAGGAGGAGGGCTATCGGCCGGTGGGCGACAGCTTCTTCTTCCGTACCGTCGAGGATGAGCTGAGCACCATAGCGCAGTATTACGACGCCCCGGTGCTGTCGCTGCGCAACGCGGTGTACCACTTGATGCGGGAGCAGCGCTTTGGGTTCCAGGTGCGGCGGGGAGGTCATGCGCTCGCAGGCTGGTGGGCAAGGTGCCGCGGTTGGTGCCGTGGTTGGCAGGTGCCGCGGGCCGCCGTGCATGCTGTGCTGTGCGTGCCACATGTGGCATGTGGCAGCACTGTGACCAGCCCAGCGGGACCCCCCAACGGTGCCGCCTGCCTGCAGTGGAATGTCAGCCTGCACTTCGCCAAGGGGCGCTCCGCTGAGGAGATGGAGGTTCTGAAGCAGGCGCAGTTCTTCTGGGATGAGAACCACCCTTGGGACCGCACCGGCCACAGGTGCGCTGCCGCACTTGCATGCCTGACTTGCCTGGCGGCTTGGATATGTGGGTGGAGAGGAAGGCAGGACGTCAGCTGATCTTGTGGTGCTGATGGGGCCTAGGCTGCCCGCTGCCCCTTGGCCTCACATGCAGGGCCATGGCTGAACTCGTCATGGCCGCCGTCAGCCGCGGCGTGCAAGCAGCAGCAGATGCGCAGCTGAGCCAGCTGGCGCGCGTGGGCGCGCTGGCCGTGGGGCAGATGACAGCGGCGGCGCGGTCAAAGCTGGCAGAGGCGCGGCCGCTGGTGGCGCTGCCGCCGCTGCCGCCGCCCATGGTGACCGGAAATTACGAGGCCAATGCCACGTCGTGCCACCTCCAGGTGTGGGTTCGGCTGGCAGGCAGAGCAAGCGCCTCGGGTGCCTTGCAGGGCTCGACATCTCTGCAATGCTTGTGCAACAGGCAGCCCGCCCCTGCGCCACATGCCCTCACCTGGAGGTGCCTCGCTGCGTGCCACATCTGCCTCACTGCGTGCCTGGCTGCTTGCTTTCCTGCCCCCATGCCTGCCTGCAGGAGAACTTCCAGGCGGTGATTGGCACCCTGCAGGGGTTCAAGTATGAGCCCAGGGCGCCCGATGAGGAGACCTATGTGGCACAAAAGTGAGCTGGCTGGGGCGTGCACGGGCGAAAGGCTCTGGTGGCAGCTGCTACCGGGAGTGGCCTGGTCCCTGCGCCAAGCTGGCTGCTGCCATTCAGCTGCTGTCCTGCTCTCCGCCGCAGGTGGGGCCTGACGGCGGACCAGCCGGGGGCGTGGGCCACGCTCGAGATCGACTCGGGGCTCGGGGGCCTGTCTGGCAAGCTGAAGTCGGTGCAGGTGAGTGGATTCTGAGGGGTGGCTGCTGGGCTCCCACCCAAGTTGCTGGCTGCTGAGGACTGTGCACATGGGCTTTGCCGCCTGAGCCAGGTTTGGAGCACGAGCCATGACGTAGCACTGCCACCCCCCTGCCGCCGCCGCAGGTGCACCTGCTCTTCCTGCGCAGCTGGGGCGGCATGGGGCGGGCGCGGGTGGAGTGCGCCAAGGGGTGCAGGTGCAAGTCTCAGCAGCTGGACGGGCACTGGGACCGCCAGGCAACACTCACAGATCTGTTCAGCTTGGAGGTGAGCGGCCTGGGCTCCGCTGCTGTCCACTCGTGCTGCTGCCTCGACTCTGGCAGCATAGGCACTGTTAGTGTGTGCCAGGCCCACACCTGGTGCCCGGCTGCTGCCCTCGGCTGCCTGCCCACCTGCCGTGCACTGTTCGCACCCCGCAGGTCTCACCGCATGCCCAGTGCCAGCTCAAGCTGACGGTGCTGGAGGAGAGCAGCTCAGGGAACCACACGTTCAGCATCAGCGGTGTGGTGGTGTCCTCTGTGGATGCGAAAATGGAGCGGGGCAAGGTTGGGCAGGTGTGTATGTGTGGCGATAGGCGTGGTGGGCCCGACAGCGCAGCGCCTGCTCTGGTATGCCTCCTTGCATGTTGCCGGTCGCCTGATGCTGACATTTCTGTACTGCGTGCCCATTGTTCTGCCCATTTCAGTGGGAAGTTGACACGCTGGATTCCATGTTACCTTAACACCAGGATGGCAACGTTGGACGATATCGTCCAGCGCAGCCGCTATTTGCCTTTTTCCTCCCATCTACATTTGTCTGTACATCTTTCATGGCTGCATCTTGCATGCTCTGCTTGCACATCATCGGCTTGCTGCACGTGCCCTGCTGGCCACACTTCTGCACTTGTCCATTGTATTCTCTGCTGCACATTTGCGGCACGTTATTTTCCTTCCCTTCAATGGCAATTGCTCACAATTTGCAACAACAGGTGGTGGTTATTCGAAAGGTGTGCGGCTCCTAGAACAAGAAATGAGTATTGGGCAAATTGGTTGCGCTGCGTGTGCGCGGGCAATTCTGGAAGGCAATCGACTAAGGCTCTAAAGAGAATGGCATCGTCCCGTAAGGGCAGGGCTCGTCCGAAAGGCCAATAAAAGGCAGGGCAGCAGCGCTGCGCCCTGTGCAGTTACACTAATCAATATCAAAGGCCAAGGCGCAGCAAACAAGTAGCAGTGTGAGCATGATGACAGGGAGTGCTGCAATAGCAATTACAGGTTGCAGCAAGTGTTTGCAAATGTTCATGGGGGGCAGCGCATCGTGCGATGGTGGGGCGCCGCAGGTGCTGTGGCATCATGCATGCTGGTGCATGCTTGAGCAGCCGCTTTGGAGTGGCTGCCCTGTGTAAGAGGGTCAGTGCATTGGTGCTGCCACCTTCTCAGTGGAAGCGCTCCTCAATGGAATCCTTGAACAGCTCGCTGCAAGGGCAGGATGCAGCAGACGGCATGAGTCAGGCGGGCGCAATGGCGGGATGGCACACGAGGCCAAGCAGAACACGTACCCTTCCCTGCTGCCTGGCTGGTCAGCTTCACCGGCTGAAGAGCAGAAACCAGTCCCACAAACATCCGCTGCCCAGTCGACATGGCGTGTGGCCAACACCATCGCCGCCAGCTCAGCAGCCAGGTCTGCGGCCAGCACTGCGCCAGCTCACTCGTTCTGCGAGTAGTCCACATTCACAGCAATGACCACCGGGCAGTCCATCTCAAGCGCCTTCTCCAGCGTGGGCAGGAACTCATCCGCCTCCCGGATCTGGAAGCCTGCAAGCAGCACAGGGGATGGAACGGACAGCCGGTGGGCAGGCAGAGCAGGCAGCGGGGTAGGGCAGTCGCACGGGGAGGCCAGGGACGCTTGATAGGGGAATCGTGGAAGGCAGGCACTACCATGGCAGGCAGCAGCACCGATGCATGCCAACAAACGACGAGAAAGGCAAGCAAGATGGCAGCGACGCGGCGCCGCCCACCCTTGGCGCCGAACGACTCTGCAAACTTGACATAGTCCAGAGGCCCCAGCTCCACCGCCTCGCACGCATTGTACTTCTTCATCTGCTGGATCTGCAAGCAGGCAGGCAGGCAGGCAGGCAGGAAGACAAGCAAGCATGTGTGGCATGTGCGGCGAGCAGCCAGAAATGGACGTGCGGGGATGCCGGAGCCTGCCGCACCGCGGTAGAACATGCGAAAGCTCCTGCCCTTCCCCGCACATGTCCTTCATGAAGATCACCTTCACCATGTTCAGAGAGCCATCCACCCACACCAGATGCACGAAGCGCAGGCCATAGCGACTGCGGGCATTTGGCAAGCAGCAGGCAGGCAAATGAGCGGGAGCGGCAAGAAAGGAGAGAAGTGCAGCATAAGGTCAGCCCAGTGTTGCAGCTTGATAGCGGTGAACAACACGCGTTTACCGCCAGCCTACACTCACACGGCGGTCTCCAGCTCGTGGGCGCAGAACAGGAAGCCGCCTGCACCAGGGTGCAGCAGGGGCCGGTGGCGGCAGCAGAAGGCAGCAGCCACAGCTGAGGTTATGCCATGGGCGCGTGCTGGTGCATGCGGGGCAGCGAAGCAATGGACAGCAGCGGGAGGCAGCGCTGCAGGGCACCCACCGTCCCCCGAGATGGAGATGATGCGCTTCTCTGTGGGGAAGCCGCCCCGCATGGACACCGCCCGGGCCGACAGCGGCGAGCTCCACGCGTGGTGCAGGGAGCTGCGGGCAGGGTTGCAGCAAGCAGGCGTGCGTGATGTGTGAATCAGGCGCGATGGACAAGGCAAAGTTGGGAAGAGAGCGCTACCCAGAGCTGCTAGGAGGCAGCGCACCTGCAACTGCCACCCACTGAGGCACTTGGCAAGAGGAAACCATTTGACGCTGTGCTGTCATCAGCAGCGGCGCCCAGCATGCCACACACACCATTTCTGCGCAGAAATGACTACTGGCTGGCCTACCAGAACCCCACCTGCCAGGGTCGCGGGCGTCGAGGGCAGCTGAGATTGCCCACGGCATGCTGACGCCCATGGTCTGCTGGCCGTTGGAGATGCAGACCTGCTTGGGGCGGCGCGGAGGGAGCAAGAAGCGCAGCGGCATATGCATGGGAGGCGCCGCGAGGAGACACGCCAGCAAGGGAGGCGGCAGTCGAGGGCACCACCGCACAGGAGGGGGTAGCGCGACGGTTCAGAAGGGCCCTGCAAACTCGCCTGGCGCGGCTCGTACACGTGCAGGTAGCGGGAGACGTAGATGTGGTGGCTGCCCATGTCGCAGTAGATGGAGAACTTGGCGCCGTCCTTGCGGTCCAGCAGGGTCTGCGCCAGGCAGGAGGGACATGTTCAGCATTGTAGGGGCAGGAGGGCCCGAAGCAGTGGGGTGGTGATGTGCGTTTGGGTGCGTGCGTGTGCGTTGTGCTAGTGGGCAGCAGGCCAGTGAGGAGCATTCTCTGCCACAGTTGGCCCTTTGCGGCAATTGGACAACGCGGCAGCGTCAGCGGCGCTTCCCGCTCGCCCCTTCCCCACACCCTGCCCTTCCCCGTATCCACCTGGATGTCGTGCACGATGCGCAGCGGGTGCACAGGGTTGCGGGAGTCGGTGGCGTGTGCCTCGCGGGCCTGCACACGGCAAGACGGCCGGTGTTTGGAGCCTCCGGCCAGAGCGCCCACTGTCAGCATCCCCGTAATGCCATCTCCAGCACTTACGCGCATGCCGCTCAGCCAGCCAGCCACTCGTCGACCCAACCCAGCTACCCACACCCCACTCAGCCCCCCACCCAGCCCCACCTGCACCACGTCCTGGTGCGCCTTGCGCAGGTGCTGGCAGTTGGCGGTGAGCTCCTCGCTGTCCCGATCCCGCACCAGCGCCGTCAGGCTCTCCACGCTCTGCCCGATGTTGCCCACCACTTCCACCCAGGGCACATAGCAGTTGTCCAGTGTGGCAGGGGCTGCAGGCAGGCACGGGGTGCACACAAACAGGCGAGGAAAGGCTGGGTGGGGCTGGCAGCTCTAGACATCACACACCACTGGCTGTGCCCCCTGTCCCTTGCCACCACCGCCTGCATGCCTCCCATCCCTCCTCAGCACCAGCCTCGTCCATGCCACGCCCACCACATTCACACAGGGCCACCACCCAGCGGCACGGCTCACTCAGGTCGAGGTGCACAATCTTCCTGTCTCTCCTGTCGGAGTTCCACAGGTCCACATCATACTCGATGGGGTCCTGCAGTGTCATGAGAAGCAGGCAAGGGCCAGGCTTGTGTGTGAGTGAGGTGATGCGGATGAGTGAAACAAGGCCCCAGCCAGGCGTGCTGCCATGCCGCCACCGACGATAAACGCATACGCTGCCAGCCCCGGACTCACATAGCCAACTGCATGCAGGGAAGGGGCGCACGGAGGAGGGCGTGATGCATCGCCTCTGCATTTGAGGCGGCCCACGTGCAAGGCGAGGCAGCCAAGCAGGGCGGTAACAAGCAGGCAAGGCTGGGCAGCCACCAGGTAGGGCCAGGGCCCGGCTGGCAGGCACAATCCACCAGTGATCACAACCTCACCGGTGATCACAACATCTGCCATATCCAGCAAACTGTCGGCCAGGGTGTTGTGGATGAGGCCCACCCGGCCGCCAAACAGCTCGAACAGGTTGCGCCCCAACACGCCCGCACCCTGCAGGGGCGGCAGCAGCGGTGGCAGAAAAGCGGGTAGGAATGGCGGGACAGGCAGCCGATATGCCGTCGCCAGCGTACGCTGCTGCCGGAACGCTGCTGCCTGCTGTGCCGCCCAGGTGGCACACAAACAGCCATGCCCACCCACCTGGAACGTCGTCACCACTGGCATGGGGCAGGTGTGCAGCAGCTTGCGCAGCTCGTGCGCGGTCTCGGGCTGCGAGGCAAACATGCCGCACAGCATGACCGGGAAGGCCGCCTTGTTGATGGTGTCCGCCGCCTTGGCGATGTCCAGCTCCGAGCCGCCGCCGGTGTGCAGCGACTGGCCCAGCACGCGAAGCTGGGCGGGGCCCACCATGATGTCCTGCGCTCAGTGGGCAGTACACGGAAGAGGGCAGCTAGGGGTGGCCAGTGGCAGATGATAGCAGTGGTACGTAGTGCGGTAGGGAGTCACAGCTCTGCAACCATGTTTGCAAGCAAGAGCGCAGCCGGGGCTCGGGCCTGCCTAACCCCCACCCTGCACCGGCGCCTCGCAGCACCCCCACGAACCCACCTGCGGCAGCGACACGAAGGCGGCGCCGGGGCGGCCGATGGACTCGGCGGCGCGGAAGGCGTTGGTGAGGACCTCGGAGATGGCGTCGGGGTGGGGGATCTCCTGGGAGAACTTGGTCACCGTCTCCATCAGCTTCACATTGTCCAGGGCCTGCAGGTTTGGGAGGAAAGCGGGGAGGGAGATGGGGGTTGGGGTAGGGCGAGGGAGGGCGAGCAGGGGTGGCGGGCAGGAATGAGCTGGGGTTTGTGTGCATGTGTCTATGCCAGTGCATCATGGTGTTGGGGACGGGATGGTGTCCCAAAACAGCGAGGTGAGGTAAACCCAAACGGGCCTCCCCGGCCCCAGCACCGCACCTGGTGCGTGGCCTTGTAGTGCTGGGCACGTGGCACATTGCCGCCCAGCGCCACCACCGCATCGCCCTCGCAGTTTGCAGTTGCCAAAGCAGTCGTCAAATTGGTGACACCAGGGCCAGACGTGACCAGCACGACCCCAGCGCGACCAGTTCGCCGTCCGTGACCTGAAGAGCAGGATTGGGGAGGTCGTGGGCCAGGGCTGAGAATGCCCAGCACGTGTGCGGGCAACGGTGCGCACCTGCCGCCATGAAGGCCGCCGACTGCTCGTTGCGGCACAGTACGAGCTCGATTTCTTCCGTCTCGCGCAGAACCTCCACAATCCTGTCGATTTTGGCACCTGCAGGGGGCACCCATGCGGAATGAGCGGCGGCCACATGCATGGCGGCGACAAATGCATGGCGGCGGCGGCGGCCTTGCCAACCGGGCGCAAACCCAGGCCGTCATCCCTCCTTGGCACATGCCATGTTGGTACAAGCCTCCTGGAGGCGCCTGACCGCACGCAGGAGCAGAGGCAACCCGGCGGCCGAGCGATCGGCCACGTCTCGAGCAAGTTCTTGCGTTAGAAGCGTCTGGCACCCTCCTCCCTTGCCTGGGATGATGAAGACGCGCCGCACGCCTTGAGCTATCAGGTTGCTGACCAGCACCTCCGAGCCCGTCCTCATGGGGGCCTTCATAGTTTACTTGGTTTTGTGTGAGTGTCTCTGGAGATTGAGTTTAATTGCACTTTGGGTTCGATGTAAGGGAAGCGGTGCTTCGAGCAGCCACATTCTGGCGCGTAGCTCCAGCTGGCGGAATACCCTGGCCCCACACTCGCACGATTCAGCTGCTTCACCTCCGAATCGTGTGCCAGCTGAATCAATGCATGGGTCCGACGGTGTGACCCAGCCTCCCAGTGGTGCTGCCGGCTGCCGGCCCACCGCCACCGCCGCCAGCAGCTCAACCGCTGGCAGCTGTGCTGCTGCCAGGGGCCGTGGTCCGCCCATGCTGCAGCTGCTCCAACACCTCGTCGATTGTCGCTGCCCCTGCAGACTGCCCCTGGCGCTGCTGCCGCCCCGACAGGGCTGGCACCGAGGCCGCCTGCCCCAGCTGCTGCATGGGAGCAAACTGCCCACACTCTGGTGCTGGCTCAGCAGGCGCCACCTCGGCACCCCAACCATCGCTGCTGCTGGCAGCCGGCTGCTGTGGCCGGCGAATGCCAAACATCCAATCTCCAGCCAGCGAGGGCAGCCGGGTAGGCAGCGCAGGTGGCGACGATGCCGGCTGCTGCTCCTGCTGCTCCTGCCGCGGTGGCGGCAGCTGCACCACCGGCAGCGGCGGCCGGCTGGCCGGCGCTGTCGCCACGCGAGGGAGAGCGCTGCTGGGAGGCATGGTAGCGCCGCCCTGGGCAATGACGTTGCGGAAGACAATGGAGCACCGCGGCTGCTGCAGCTCCTGCTCCTCCAGCGCCTCCTCCTCCCTGGAGCTGCCGGCCACGCCAGCTGCCGCACCCGTGCCCTCTGCAGCTGCCGCTTGGTCCGCAGCAGGCTGCGGTGCCCTACTGATGCTGAACATCCAGTCGTCATCCAGAAGCAGCGCAGGCCGGCTGGCCGCCCTGCAGGGGCCGCCAAGGCAGGCGGCAGAACGCATGAGCCTGTGACGGCAGCAGGCAATCCTTTGCTACCAGCCCAGCATGCTTCCGTGTCCATGCCGCTGGGTGCTAACCCCACCTAGCCCAATCCAAGCTGTCCCAAGCGGCACACCTGGGCCGCTGCTCCTCCGCCTCATCATCGCTGTAGCCTGGGCTCACCGCCCCTTCGAAAGCCACATCGACCAGGTCCAGAGGGATGTCGGCATCGCTGTGGCTGCCGCTCCAGGCATTGCCCATCTGCAAACAACACAGTGCAAGCAGCAGGCCTCAACACGTTGGCGGCGCACCAAAAGGAGGTGGTGCAGAATGTATTTAGGCGGTGGTGGCCCCGCTGCGCCAGCGGCGCCACCAGGCAAGCGCATGCAGCGTAGCGGGGACCAGCAGAATAGGCACCTGGCGAGCATCAAAGGGCGGCCACGCGTCCTCCTCCCCCTCTGATTCTGCCAGTTCATAGGCACCGGCGGCAGCAGCCACCACCTGCGCCGCGCCCTGTGGCTGCTGCGGCCTCTGGGCCGAGGCAGTGGAAGAGGCTGCTGGCGAGGGCAGCTGTGCCCCGGCTGCCGCTGCATGCGCGGAGGGTGGCTCCGAAGCCAAGCGCTGCGAAAGGAGGTCCAGCTCATTCAGCTGCACCTGCAGCTGCTGCATCAGGTTCAGGCCAACCTGCTTCGGCTCGATCTGCTGCTCTGCGGGAAGGGCAGCTGAAGCCAAAGCCTCCCCCGCCGCTGCTGCGGCTGGTGATGCTGCTGATGGCGCAGATGCTGTTTCAGAAGGAGCGGCTGCAGCTACCAGGCCCGCTTGCAGCAGCTGGCTCCGCAGAGTGCTGTTTGCCCTCACAGCCGCCTTGATCTGCCCCCGCTGCTGTTGGTCTGACCCAACAATGTGGAACCAGCCTGCCAGGGAGCCCAGGGAGGGCAGCAGGCTCAAGTCCACGGCTGCGGTGCCAATCAGGCTGTCGGATGCTGCCGCCGATGTGCTGCCGCTGGCACTGCTGCTGGCAGACGCACGCGTGGTCCAGACATTGAGCAGCAGCGTGGGACCGTCGCCGCTACGGCTGCCATTGCCACTGCTGGCCGCCCACGAAACAGCAGTTGCTGGCAGCTCCAACTCTGCACTGCCCCAAACAGCTGTGCCGCCAAGGTCAGCAGCTTCCAACACATGTACCGGGACAGCAGGCGTGCGCTGCCGCACCTGCCGCTGCGGGCCCCACACTGCCTGAACAAACGAGCGGTAGTGGTCGCTGCCGGCCTCCCCACTAGCTGGGCCTATGATGCTAGCAGGTGAGGCTGTTGCTGGCAGGTGCAGGGCAGTCTCAATCTGTACCAGGAGCGACCCCTCTGGCTCTGACACCTGCGCCTGCTCGCCCTGCTCACGCACAGTGGCTGCAGGTTCCTCGCTGCCTGGGGCTGCACCTGCACCGCCTTCCTGCTGCACTTGCTGGGCAGGCGGCAGTGATGGCGGCTGGCTTGCGGCACACCCGCCGGCTGAGCCCGCAGCTGCCTGCTGGGCATCCTGCCCGGGCTGCCCCTCGCGGGCGTCTGCTGGCTGCTGCTCCTTCTGCTGCCGCTGAACAGCAGTGGCTTTGGGCAGGGTACTAGGGCTGTTGCTGCGGGCAGCGCTGCCGGCGACCAGCAGGTGGCAGCGTTGCAGCAGCTCCTCATCGTCTGAAGAAGATGCATCCAACTCCACCTTGTGCTGCTGCCGTTGTGGCTCAGGAGAGAAGTGCCCCTGCTGCCTCCCAAGGTTAGCTGCCTCCTCTTCACTGTCACAGCTGCTAGCGCTGCTGGCGGAGCCCAGATGGCGGCCCTCTGTCGGCTGCATCTGGTCGCCTCCACTCCCTTCCAGCAGCCAGGCCGCGCAGCAAGCGTCGGCGCCAGCAGCCGCAGCAGCCGCAGCCTGCGCCGCTGCTGTAGCCAAAGGCAGAAGCTGCAGCTGCACGGTAGCTGCCAGGCTGGCACCACCCTGCGAGGCGGCAGCGCCCTCCACCAGAGGATAGAGGCCGCTCACGCGGCGCTTCTCCTCCAGTCCCTGCTCGGCGCTGCTGTCGGGGCCGTTAACGGCGCTGGAGCTGCTGCCGCTCCACAGCAGAGGGGAGAGGTCAACGTCAGCTCTGCCCACGAGCACGCCAGGCCGGCTGGCTGCCGGGGCTGTTGCTGAGCTGCTGCTGCTGCTGGCTGCAGGCTGCTTGTAGACATGGACGTGAAGGGGAGCATGAAGCAGCGCCGCCACCAGGGCTGGCCCAGCGCGCACCTGCGCAAGAGTGGCAGTCCAGCACATCACGCACAGGCACATCTATCAGGGCACACTACTCGTCGTTTGTAGGCAGCGAGCACTGGGAGCATACCTCGAAAAATCCTCGGTGGTTGAGCTTGGCACCCCACGTCTGCCGCTGCTTCCCCTGCTCCCCTGAAGCCGTTTGGCCCAGGCCGGTGCTGCCGCCGCTGCTCTTGCTGCTGCGGCTTGGGAAGCTGCTTGCGCCGCCGACCGCTGTGAGCACCCTGGCCGCAGTGACGTTGCTGGCCAGGCTGCCCGACAGGCTGTAGCGGCAATAATATCGATCCGCTTTGGGCCTGGTGCTGCTGGCGCTGCTTGGCGGAAGCAGCAGATCCAGCCGCACAGCGACCACCGCAGCCTGCCCGACAAAGTCAGCGCCCGGTGGCTGAAGCAGCGAGGTGTGCAGGGCCGGTGGCAGCAGCGCCGCTGCCTCTGCGCACCGCAGCAGCAGCGCCTCTTTGCCGCCAGGTCTGCCCGCAGCAGCAAGGCTGCCAAGCTCAGCAAGCCGCACAGCAATTTGGACGGCGCCCACGGTGCTGCTGCTGGCACGTCTGCTGCTGATGCCAGGGGTGAGTGGCACCCAGCACCGCAGCCCCTGCAGTGCAGCAGTTCATCCAATGTTGGCCTGGAACAATCACAAATGCAACCTTCAGAGGCAAGAACAGGCCTGGCCCCCTACCTGCTGCTTGCGCAGCACGTCCAACAGGGGAGCACTGCCGGTACCCAGCAGCAACTCCCGCTGACCGCTGGCCCCTGCCGCTCCGCCCCTGGGGCAGCGATGCCACACCTCCACCCGCACGCTCTGCGCGGTGGCCGGCACACAAGTGTAATTGTCAGCATGCTGCATCACCTTCAAATACGAAAATAGATCAGCACCAACCAACCTGTGTTGCCAGCGTATTGAGCATGCGGCTCGTCAGGTGCAGCTGGTAGCTGTGGGCTGCTTGCCAGGTGGGACAGAAGGACTGTGGGATGAAGGGAGTCTGCAGCGGCGGCGCTGAGGCCTGCAGCTCAGACTCTGCAGGACAAGAGGCAGCAGCGGAAACGTGAGGGTGAAACCAAGCACCAGCCTCGCTGTGAATGCACCGGAAGCGGCGGCAGCTATGCCACTCACCCTCAGCAAACAGAGCAAGCCGTGCAAATGCATGTGGGCCGACCGACGCAGCCCGTGCTAGGCTGCTGGCTCTATCGCTGCCGCTGCCGCTTAATGTTGCAGCAGCCTCCCGCACTGCTCCCGCTAGGCCACAGGCACGGATAATCTCCACCATCAATGTGGCTGGCACAAAAGGCTCCAAGGGCTCCGCGACTGGCGCAGCAGCAGCAGCATGCCCTCGAAAGGCAGCTGGTGTTGTTGAGCTGCTGGCGGCCGCAACCTGTGGCTGCTGGCCCTGGTTGCGCACACGGCGACGGGCGCTGCCACTGTTGGCTGCCACCAAGCTGTTCTCCCCATCTGAGTCGGCGCCGCTGCCGCTGTCGAAGGCTCCAGCAGCATGACCTGCCTTCTTTGCAGCCGCTGGCGGAGCGGCATCCCCTCCTGTGCCTGCTACCGCCGCTGCTGCCGCTTCTGCGACCGGTGTGGTGCACAGCTGTGCCGCGTAGCTGAGCTCAATCTTCAGGGATGGGCCACGGGTTGCTGCTGCCGCTGCTGCAGCCTGGGCTGCCCCACCACCGCCTGATGCTGCTGCTGCTGCCGCTGCTTCGGCGGGAGAGTCGTATTCAGTGCAGAGTGGCAGCAGCAGAACCCTGCTTGCCTCCCTGGCACCGCCGCTGCTGCGCTCTGCTTCCCCCGCCAGTCCAGCCAGCTCCGCCAGCGGCAGCAGCGCCCAGCCGTGCTGCTGGCGCCGCCGCTGCTGGGGCTGGTCTGCCCAGCAGTCAAGCAGCTCAAACCGGAGCAGGCCGTCTTGCAGCAGCGGGAGGATGCTCTGCGTGGCAGGCAGCACCATCTCGTGCTGCGCGGTGGCCTCAAAGCAGGGGTTGCTGCAGCAGGGCACCTCCTTGGTTTGCAGCGCGTCAGGCTCTCCTGCAGCATCAAAGCAGTTGCCCAATGATGGCACAGACGCAAGTTTCAGAAATCTTGGCAAGCTGCACCAGGTGCACCAGGTGCGGCAAGAGCCAAGGCAGTGACGGCAAGTCCAAAGCAGTCCCATCTACCTGGGAAGCTGTAGCGCAGCAAGCGGCCATCCGGGGCACGCAGCCCAGCTCCAGCATAGGCGGCGGCGCTCGGCAGACGGTGCGCGCTGCGGATGCGCACGCCAAAGCGGTGGCGCACGGCTGGGGCCAAAGGTGGCGAGCCTCGCTCCTTCAGGGAATAGCAGAAGCGCACACTGTGGCTATCAGCACAAACCGGCGGATCAGTTTGGCAGCAGCGGCAACACAAGCAGCGGCAGTCACTGCCAAAGAAGCTTCCAGAATCTGCCCCAGCCCTTGCCTAACAGCTCACCTGCAGCACGGCGGCCACATAGAGGCTGCCCGCCTCGCGCCCCTCCAGAATGTCGCTGATGGCGTGGCGCCCCTCTGCCACCACCGCAGGCAACCGCACCGGCGGCTGCCCACTGCTGCAGGGCTGGAAGCTGGCTCCTTTGCTCCCAGCATCGGCCGATGGAGGGCTACCAGCTGTGGCGCACCACGAGGGCTGCAGCAGCGGCACCTTGACGACGCCCAGCAGGCTGCCGCTGTGCCGCCACAACTCCAGAAACAGATATGGCGGCACCGCGGGCACTGGCATGCCGCCCTGCTGCTGTAGACCCGGGGCTCCCACCGAGCCTGCTGTGGCTGGCATGGGGACCTCGGCATAACAGGCTGCTGCGCTGTCCGAGCCTGCGGTGCCGCTGGCAGCCAGAGGCAACGACAGCTGCTGTGGATGGCCACTGCCACACATGGGCTTGATCACGCAGCGCACACTGCTGCCGCAGGAACCGCTGCCAGAAACCTCTGCAGGCAGCAGCTGCACCCGCAGCACATGCTGCTGCTGCTGCTCCAGGTGCTGGCTCGCTGCCACGTGCTGCTGCTGACATGCCAAGTCGTCTGCCTTCAGCATGGATGTGCAGGCTGCGGCAGAGGCCAGCAGGGGCTGGTGCTGCTGCCGGAAGAAAAGAGACTCAAGCAGAGCATCCTCTGCATCCGACTCGGGATCAGAAGAATCCAGCGCTGAGGAGGCGGTGGTTGGGGCTGTATCCTGCGGGGCACCTCTTGCTGCAGATGCATCTGATGCGGTGGGCACGTGATGGTGCTTCGGCAGGTCACGCTCCCCCTCTAGCCGCAGCGCCTTGGCAGCTGCCACTAACGCCGCTGTGGCAGCGGACAGGCTGCCATCTGCCGCAGAAGGCCCGGGGAAGGGCGGAATCAAGAGGTTGGACAAGCGAGGTGCTGCCGCCATGCTGCCAGCGACGTCAGCCAGAGGCGAGGATGCGTGCGTACCGTGCCTTCCCCAGCTGCCACTGCCTGCTGCCTGCTCCAAGGCCGCTTTCAGCTGCTCTGCCTGCTGGATCAGCTGCAGCACAGGGCCCTGCTGCTGCGGGCAGGTCCCTTGAGCCACATGCTGGCATGAGGCTGCGAATGCACGTGGAGCGGCTGTCACTGCCTGTCCTGCATTTGGCGCCGCTTCCACTGCTGATGGTTGCACTGCTGACACATCAATCATTTTCGCAGGACCAGCAGTGGTTGCAGAGGCTGGGCTGGCAGCAGCGCCGCCCGGAAGCCCCAGGTGGCTCGGCTGGCAGGGCGGCGGCACGGGCGGTGGCAGCACAGGAATTCCCACCACCACGGCTGGCACCTGTGCCGACGGCTGCTGCCTCGGCAGCACTTCCACTTGCTGAGGTGCTGGCTCCACAACAGGCACCTCGCTCTGCTGGCTGCCACCAGAGCCGCCATCCTCGATGCCGCTCCTGCGGCGCTGCTGCTGGCTCTTCAGCCGGCTGACGACAGCCATCTTTCGCTCTCTCCCTGGTGCCTGCTGTGGTGGGGCCGCCCTGGCCGCTGCTCCTGCTGCCGCGCGCTGCTCTGTGACGACTGCCGCAGCCGCGGCAGCCGACTCCTTGGCTCGTCGAGCAGCTGTTGCTGCCTGCTGCCGCTCCGAATCGTCGGCAGTCTGCAGCAGCGGTACAGAAGGCGTGATACAGCATGTGAGCAGGCGGTTCAATAGAGGGAGTGGAGCCACAGATGCAGGCATGCAGGCATGTCAGCAGAGGCGCCTCACCGGAAACTGCTGCGCATCCTGAATGGCTGTCAGGGCTGCCTTGATAGCAGGCAGGGTGATCCCAGCACCAGGGTGGTTGCCGGCGCAAGCAGATCTGCCGTCAGCCGCCGCTAGCAGGGCCAGCAGGCAGCGAGCATCGTCCGCTGATGCCGCTGGGTGCAGGCGCTGCAGCAGCGTGCCCTGCAAGCAGCGATACCGAGCAGGACAATAATTCATGAGGTGAAGGTAAATAAGAGGAGACAGAGGCTGCCCCAGCAACATGGGCAGTCTCCCACTCAACACCCGTGTGCTTACCAGCTCAGCATACGGCAGCACCTCCTCTTCTGCTGCCACAAATGCCGCTGCCAAGTCCAGGGATCGGCTGCCCAGCGCAAACGCCAGCGGTCGCAGGCTGCGAGTCGACTCTGCTGCGGGCAGCTGCTGCAACCGGCGCTCCACGGCACAGCAATTCGCCGCTGCTGCTTGGAGGTCTGGCAGCGAAAGCCGCGCCTGCTGCACCTGGTCAGCAGCGCGGCAGCCCACAAACGGCAGCAGCATGGCAGCCGCGTACTCCAGCTGATGCTGGCTGGCAGTCGGGAGCAGCAGGCGCAGCAGCTGCTGCCAACCCTGCTGGTCAAGCTCCTGCTCCCTGCCCTGCTGACTTGCCGCGTCTGCACTGATGCACGCAATCTGCTCCACCGCTCCTGCCACCAGCTCCCTGCAGGCGAAAGAGGCAAGGCTGTCAGGAGCATATGATGCAGCCAGAGTGCTGCGCTGTGCCGATGGCATCAGTTGGAGCGCGGAGCAGCAGGGCGTGCGGCGGACCTGTCCTGCAGCACAGATGCGAGCCGAGTGCACACGCTCGGCCCTCCCAGCGCCGTTGGCGGCTCGTCAGCTGCTGCCTCCTTCAGAGGTGGTGCTGCTCCGTCTGTCTTGTCTGCATCCGACACAGCTCCTGCACCACAGGTGCTGATGCTGGCCAGATGTTCGTTCAGCTCAAATGAAGTCAGCAGGGCGGCGGGGTCGCTGCCGCCAATGCCGCCACCGCCGCCATAATCAAGCTCCAGGCGCACCAGCAGGCTGCCGACAATCGCCTCGCTGCTGCAGCCCGCAGCCGCAGCTGCGGCGGGGTGTGCAGGCGCCGCCAGCACCAGCGGGTAGCTGCCGCTGATGGGTGCTTGCACGTCCAATGCCAGCAGGCCCACAGAAGCGGTGGCGACCGCCGCCGCTGCCCGACCGCCACGGCCCGCAGCCTCGACGGTGATGGACAAGCACCCCATGTCTCGCATGTAGCGTGTGAAGTACTTGGGTCCCGTGCGCAGCTGGAACGCCGCGGCAGCGGCGTCGGCGGCGGCGCCGCCTGGCAGCGGGAGCACCTCGCCGCCGCTGGCATCGCCCCACCAGGCAATTCGCGCCTGCAGCTGTTCCTCCGGGTGCACTGGGGGTCGAGAGCCGCTCCAGCTGACTGCACCGATGGACAGCCTCAGCAGCCCTCTGACTGGGCCCTCCACCAGGGGTGGAAGTGTGACGCCGGCTGGGCGCATTGGCAAAGGCAGCAGCCGTGTCGCGGAAGCAGGGGGGAGGGAGAGCGGCACCACCGGTTCAAACTCAAGAGGCGCTTGCGAAGGCACCCATCTTGAAACGGTTCTTGAAGGGTTTGCGGTGCAAGCGGGAGGGAGGCTGTCCACGCACGTTGTACATCAACGCAGCACACGAAGCATGGCCGCCTGCGGTGACGACGGGAGAGTTCTGTAGATCCAGCTGCCTGCATGCGTGGAGCTTGTCGTGGTTTGCAGTACAGGAAAAACGCAGGGAGAACATTGATCAAGACAAAAAGGGAACATTCTTAAGACATCTGTTGCTGGCAGTGTTGAAAGCACATCAGCTCCATGCCTCAATGGCGGCGGGGCAGCAAGAAAATCGAGGAGGGATAGAGGAATAACGAGGGCTTGAGCTGTGCATGGTACAGTCGAGCCTAGATGGGGCTCGCAGCAGTTTGCGCAGGTGCCCGTTCCCCCGCCGGCGCCTGCTGCCCCCAACGCCCAGGCGCTTCTGCGGGGCTGGCGGCGCCCTGCGGGTAAGAGGAAATGACCGGGGTCGGCCCCCTGCTGCGCCGCACTTGCACCATCGCATCATACAGATTGGGAGGGATGGTGGGGTCGCGTTCATAAAACCAGGTGGGGCACATCTGGTCCACCTGTAGCAAACCAGCACACGAGTGCGTGGGCGAGTGGGCCACAGCATCGGGGAGGGGTCTCGCAAGCACGCCACCACCAGGCAAGTGCTGTGCCTCCGCACCGCCCTGGCGCCCGCACCTTGTTGGGCTTGATGTCCACGCCCACCAGGTTGATGACTGGTCCATAGGAGCAGTCCCCAGCGGTTCCATTCGACTTGTTGGGGTCCACCGGCTGCGTGCTGCAGGGGCCACACAGGAGGAGGAAAAGGCAAAGCGGTGGAGAGGTCACTTGAGGCGTGTTGGCATCGCTGCACCATACCCACATCCCCACCACCTGCCTGACCATCCTCCCGCCGTATTTACCGGGCGCCCTGGGCAGCAACCCATGGGCGGAGCCGGACAGAGAGCACTGCTGCTGGCTGCGCAGCAACCTCATGATGTTCCACGCTCACCTCATGATGTTCCACCAGGTGGTGCCGGCCAGGGCATTGGGCCCGGACCTAGGCGGGCCGCCGCTCATCAGAGCCTCAACGCCCAGCCCCACATTAATGTTGGTGTAAAGGGTGGGGCCAGACAGCGCCCTGCAGCAGTAATGGGCACTGGCCTGGGGAATTGGGGCACCCTCCGAGATGGATGCTGTGAGGCGAGTTACCAGAACCAAACCGCGACAGGAAAGGCTGGCGCCGGGCCAACCACCCCCCCACCCACCTGTGCAAGTCCAAGTTACCGCGATCCTTCATATTGCCGTTCATGTACACACCCCACTTCCCGCCGGTGCCGGTGCCAATGTCGTGCGCCAGGTTCCCGGTGCTCAGCCACGTGTCGGCCAGAACATCGAACGAGTGCTCTGCAGGAAGAGCAGCGGCAGCACACAGCACGACGGCGGTCAGCAGGCTGCCATCAGTGGCGGTCAAGGCCACCACTTGGCGGCCATGAAGAGCCGTAGTCACGTCGAGCCTCGGCATCCACTCACCATGCTGGATGCCCCAGTGTCCATCAAAGTTGGCGGGCTCGTTCAGCACATTGGGCTCAAAGTTTTCCCTCGACTTCTCAAATTCGATCTTCACATCCTTGACCGTGATGGCGGTGCAGTCTGCAGGCAGCCAGGCAGGCGGCGGTGGCACCGAGGAGGTGAGACACGAGCTCTGGGCCAGCTACTGCGGCTGGCGCTTGCAATGCGCTGCGGCTGCGGGTGCCCACAGGGGGCGGTGGGGACAAGCGTGGCAGCCCAGCTCCTGGCACCCGCAGCTCCTTGGCGCCCTCGCTGCCGCACCGATGGCACAGATGCCACTGCCACCCCAGCCCCAGCAACTTACGGCTGACCAGCACAGAGTTGTCGGCGTTGATGGTGCCGATGTCGCGCGCCCAGCAGTCGCGCGCCTCTCTGATGTGCACGCCGTTCCAGCCCCTCTCCTGCACACATCAGCCAACAGCCGCGCCAGGTCGGGTCGGCAGCCAGGCAATCTGGCCCCATCCACTGCCTCCTGCCACCTGCCTGCCCTGCAAGGCCTCATGCACAGCGGCCCCACCCTCCACAAGCAGCATGCACACTGCCGCAGCAGCCAGTCCACACACCAGGTGGTGCCCCGCATACGGCTCCCACTCGAAATGAAAAGTCAGGCCCTCCACGCCGCTCTCCACCACCGTGTCTGGCTGCCTAAACACCTGGGCCGTGTCGATTCCAGGCATGATGTCGTACGGCAGGTGGCGCTCAAGGGTGACCATCTGCAGAGGCGCACATGGCGAGGCATACGGCAAGGCAGCATCTGGGCAGGTGCTCTCCCGTGCGCAGGTGCCAGAGGGACAGCCATGGCAGCTGACTGCGGCAGCAGGTGGATGCAAACCCCGGCAGCAGCCAGCTGGGCTGCCGCATGCGCATCCTGCGCTGCGCTGCTTTCCTCCAGGACCACGGCATGCACAGCGTGGCCTGCTCACGTTGCCATCGATGGCCTGTATCCTGGATGCGAACCTGACTCGGGTGGAGTTATCATACGTCGCCGGGGGACGCCACTGGTTGTCAAACCTGCAGCACGGCGGCGACCATACATTGTGGCTCAATGCCAACATATCGAAGCGGTGCAAGCCCTGGAAGAGCACCTTCCAAGCCTCCCCGAGTGCCGCAACTGTAGGCAGCCTGGTCTGCACAGCCACATGCTTGGCGGACCAAGGGGCTGAGCTCACATGAGGGTGTTGAAGTTCCCGTCCACATCTGTCCAGGCAGTGTCAACGTACTGGCCCACCTCCAGGCCGGACGTGTCGCTCAGCTGCCAGGCAGGAAAGGTGATGATGTAAGCAGCAGTCGGTAGGAGCTGGCTGCTGCCCCTGGCAAGCCAGCCATGCTTCCGCAACAAACCAGCCATGACTCCCCAACCCACCGTGATCACGGTGTCGCCATGCGCGGCAGGCGCGATGACATCAGCGACAAAGGCTCCCTTGTTCTTGGTGCCCTGGATCGTGATGAAGCCGCCTGCAGCAAGGACAGGGAGGCAGACATTGAGCCCCAGGCTCGCTCCAAACCAGAGACAATGATGCCGGCACAGACGGCAGCGCCAGGTGACGTCAAGACCACAGCGGTGGAGGTGGGGGGCGCCAGAAGCCGACAAACGGCAGCCGGAACGGCAGCAGCGAAGCAGCTGGCCAGGAAGGAGCGCACCGTTGTTGATATAGCCGCGAGGCGCATTCTCCTCTGGGTTCTGCCCATACACATCATACAAGCCTGCAAACGGGCAGCCGGAGCAGATGAGACAGCTGCAATACCCCCAAGGGTCCAGCAGGTCTCCCAGTGCGCAGAAGGAGCACCATACACAGGCAGGCAGGCAGGTAGGCAGGCAGGCATAGGCAGGCAGACAGGGCAGCAGGCACGACCCCAGCTAGCCACCCTGGCTGCTCCATGCTGCTGCTTTCCCCGAAACAAGCAACGGGCAGGCGCACTCTTAGGTACAAAGAGGACGGTGGAGTTTCTGCCCTCGCCGCGCAGCACCACCCTGGAGCGCGTGATGGTCATCACCTCATCCAGCACATACTCGCCAGCAGGGATGGAGAGCACAATGAAGTCTGCGGCGGGTGGTAGCAGGCAGCGGGCAATCATTGGGCGATAGAGGTGATTGCCTGGCTTAAAGAACCCATGCAGAGTTGTCGTTCGGTGGGCTGGAAGCGGCGGCGGCAGCGGCCTCCACTGCGTCGTTACCATCTGTCAGCGGCTGGCTGTTAGCCCAGTCCAGGGCGGCCTTGAGGATGGCTGTGTCGTTCATGCTGCCGTCGTCAAACTCCATGATGGAGCGAGTGATGGGAGGGCTGGGCAGCGGCTCATTGCCCTGCTTGTAGCCTGCAGAATGGCGGGCAGGAGGGCAAGGAGGCGGAGGTGGTGATGCAACATCCTGGGTGGGCCACTTGCCGAAGCGGCACCCAGGACCAGCAGTAAGGTTTCTGTATGCCCTCTCAGAGCACATGAGGCAGCGATAGAGGCGCAGCAGGGCACACGGGTTAGGTTGCCCACGGGCCGAGCGAGGGAGTGAAGCCGCCATTCTGCTCCACTCACCGGCAAAGCTCCAGTCAAACAGCTGCCCTCCCAGCGGACACTTGCCATTCCAGAGCTCGCCATTCTCCCCCCACAGCGCGCTAAATGCGGCTTGGGCGGTGCCCGCGTGTGCACCCAGCACCAGGGCTGCCAGCAGCAGCGCCGCAGCGAAAGGAACATTCTGCAGGGAGCGGCGGCAGGCGGCGGCAGCGGTGGCAACGTCCCTGGGCGGCGGGGATGCCAAGAGGTATCATGCAGCTTGGGGGCTTCCGGCTCGCAGGCGCTGCCTTTTCGAGCAGGGCCTTGCGGGGTTGGGGCCACACGCAAATGACTGAGTACTCACATGCGCGGCCATGCAGCTCTTGCCCCGCTCCGGATGGCAATCACTGATCTTGGAGGGCCTCCTGGCAGACAAGCGAGGGTACTGGGCCCCGATGGAGCCTGGGGGCAATAGGGCGGGGGGGACGACACACTCAGGGCCGGTGCCCAGGAAGGAGGCCGTGTGCACAGATGTTTATGCACACTCCAGCGTTGCAAAAGCACGGGCAGCCACGGCAACACAAGGGGAGAAGGGCGGGCGTCATCGCACTTTCCACCCCGAGATTCGGCACCGTTTTCGCCGAGCACACTGAAGCTGCCAGCCCAGATGCCATAGATCTGGAGCTTGGGGAGTATGGAACTTCGGTTGAATCCCACTACGAGGGAACAGAGGCGGGTGTGCAGGTTTTGGACCGCCGCCCGCCGGTCGCATGTCCCACATGTGAGCGTTCGGTGCCGCCAAGGGCTGGGGGAGCGGAGGACAGGGCCAGGAGCGAATGGAAGGTTTCAATGAGCCTCTGCAGCATCTTCCAGGCGACCAAGCCGTGACGCTGCTCGCTGTGGTGAATAACGGGGTCGGGGGGAGGCGGCGCTGGCGGCGGCCAGCAGCCTGGCAGAGGGCCACCGCAAGGGCAGCAGCATCCAGCTGGGTTTCATGCGCATTGGTGCTGCATGGGTCACGCGGGAGTGGACCCAGAGGTAGGACCGCTGCCAGCGGAAGCGGTGGATGTGTTGCCTTAGAGACTCTGAAAGGCGAAGGAAAGGGAGGGATCGCGGGAGAGAGCGTGCCTGATGAGCCAGACGAATCGGGGGAGGTGCCACATCAGCGGGCAACAGATGGCGGCCAGCCTACTGGGAATGACGTGACGGTTTTTTGGGCCCCCCGAGACAGGCCGTGGGGCCAGCCGCACACATGGGGGCCTCCTTAAATGCTGGTAAAAGCGAAACATAACTTACCTTCCGCTTGAGACGCAAGCACTCCAGCGCAGCCTCGCAACCCCTCCCTGTCGAACGAAGCAGAGTTACGCACGCACGCATGTATTAGCATAAGCGCCGCGGCTGGTGGCTAGCCGTTGCGCGGCTCGATGAGGGAGGCGCCGCCTTTGGGGCGCGCCCACCCAGCTCCCTGCCGCTGCTCACCCCCCCTGCTCTACCCTGGCTGTAGAGCACAGCCATGAAGCTCATCTCCCTGCTCCTGCTCGCCTGTGTGGCGGCTGCTCACGGCCGCCGCCTCCAGGCGCCCACCCCCACACAGCAACTCAACCAGCAGCGCCAGCAGCAGCAGGCCGCTGCGGCGCAGGCCGCCGCCGCCAGGGCCCCTGTCCGGCGCCTGCAACCGCCTTGCTTTGCGCCGGCGCAATGGTATCCGTATCAGGTGCCCCTGCATGAAGGGGCCAGCGCTCCGTCAGCTGGTGGCCTGCTCTCTGCCACTCTCTCACCTTTGTGCCTGCTCCCCCTGCGTGCAGACATGCCAATCAACAAATGACGCTGCTGTTTGTGGGCGCGGCTACTTGGCGTATTCCAATTACGCATCCTGCTGTAGCCCTCAGCGTGCCGGAGTGGGCGGTGCCCACGCTGGCGGCTGCACAGGTGGGTGGGTGGGTGGGTCACGGGGCAATTGCATGCGCAACTGTACACACCCACCTGCACCCTGCCGCCTGACCGCTGCCTCCTGCGCCTGCTTGCCCACCCGCAGTTTTCAACACGACTGTGTCGTGCTGGATTGCTGGAACTTACCACCCGACCCAAACCTGCCAGCTGTCTGACAAGTTTGAAGATTGCACTCGCAACTGGGGCCGCTGGGCTACCGAGGTGTGTTCATGCCCCGCCCCGCCCCGACCCGTCCCGCCCGCCCCTTACCTGCCCTCCCCATGTGCTGCCGCACATCTCTAGCCTCTTTCCTCCACCTTCTCTGATCGCAGGCCAAGTGCTGTGAGCCGGGCAACGCATTCGAGCTTGGGTGCACCAAGCCGGTGAGCTGAGCGGCGCGGCATGGGGCACAATGCCAGGAGCCACATGCCTTGCACACAGCGGCTGGCCTCTCGCTCACTGACGCTTGCCAGCCTGCCCTCCCTCCTGCCTGCAGGAGCCATGCTGGGTTGCAGACGGCTGGTATCCAGCCCGCACTTGCGGTCTTACAAACGACACAAATGTTTGCCTGCGTGGCTGGGGCGCCTTTGCTTCAGAGAGCGAGTGCTGCATGGAGGGCGGCGGCCACTCCGAGGGGTGCGGCGATGTGCAGGGCGCCACCAGTGCGACCCCCGCTAACTGAACAACCCCCACCTGGGTGCTTGGCCTTAGCCACGCGCCCGTCAGCACATGTCCTGCGACCCGGATTGTGCCTGCTTGCCTTCATACTGCATTCTGGCAATTGTGACCTATGTAACTAGCGAGAGCTGTGCCGTTCTAGCTGGTGTTGCATCAGGCCAGCGCCAGGCTGTCGGCACAAAAGTAGAAGCCGGTGGCTTCGTTATACGCCCCGCGCCCGCAGGCAGCGCCACCGCCCCCAGGTCCACGACCGCATGCTGCTGCAGCAGCAGCCGGCCATCAATCGCCTGCCGCTGGTGCTGCTGCTGCCCCTGGCCCTGCTGCTGGTGCTGCTGGCCAGCGCCTGTGGCGCTGCCGCGGCCCTGGCCCCGGTGCCGGTACCGCGTGTTGATCACCGTGGCGTGCAGCTTCACGGCTCGGTCGTCCTGCGGCAGCAGCAAGCCTGCTTGCCCAAAGGCTTCCACCACTGCATGCAGGGTTGGCAGGCAGCGGTGACCGCACGCCGCGGTAGAGTGCTCTGCCATCTGGCAGCAGCAGCAGCGTCCAGCGCCTCATGCACAGCCCTGGGCGGAGCGCCGCACCTGCAGCGCAGAGCTGCTGCACGCGCTGCAGCCCGCCGGGGCTGCCAGCCGCGTCCCGCACTCCCAGGTACATCACATGCATCTGCAAGCAGCGGGGGAGGCAGGCGTATGTCCGTCGGAAAAGCAGCTCTCTGATCCACCCATCGATCCCAACCCTGGCTTAACCCCCTGTTCTGGCCGATCCTCTTCCAATCCTCACCTGCGACAGATCATCGTTCATGTACTCTAAGCCCCGCAGCTGCACCCGCAGCGGCTGTCCCCCCAGTAGCTCCGCCACACGCGGCTGCAGCGAGTGAAGCGTCTGCCGCGCCAGCGCGCGACGCTCGTCGCTGCAGGCAGTGGAGCAGCGGGGCGGCTGGTGGGTTGGGCGGGGTGTGGAGGGAGAGAGAGAGGGACGCTGGCGACTGCCAGTCCAGCCAGGCGACGCAAGAATGCAAGGCCCGACAAAGCGAACAGTCATCCTGGGCATGTGCCAGCATGTGCCTGCTGGGTAATGCCTGCCAGGTGGATCCGTGCCTGTACAGCTTCAGCATGGCGATCGTCAGGTGCAGGTGCTGCGGGTGCATGAAGACAGAGGCCTCCAGCCCTGCAGGGCGCAACACCGCAGGGGTCAACGCTTGGCCGCAGCTGCACCAGGCTGCCAGGGCGGTCAGCACAGCCTGCGCACAAGCTTGCTCAGCGGCGCCGCCGTGCGGGCCAGCGTGCCATGCGGCGGCTGCGCAGGCGCGCCTGCTTCCGCGCTGTCGGGCTGCGCCAGCACTTGGTCGCGGAAGGCCTCCAGGCGGGCCGAGGTGTCTGGGTTGGCCAGCGGCAGGCACAAAAAGTAGTTGTAGTCCAGGGACCTGCAGTGGTGCAGCAAAACAACACGGCGGGATGGGTACAAGGCCCATCCAGCGCGATGAAAGCAGCAGGGAGGAGCGGCTGTGTGTCTGGTGGAGGTGCTGTCCAGGGACGGGCCACAGCAAGCACCAGAATGGGAGTGAGGCTGTCGGATCCCGACCCAGCCACGCACCTGGGACCCCTGGCTTCCAGCGCCTGGCTGACAGCAAGCTCCAGCTGCGTGCAGGCACGCGCAACCGCTGCCCGACTGGGCGCCCGCACCACCACGGGGCGGCTGGCCCCCGGGCCTGCCTGCAGCGGCGGGGGAGACGGCAAATGTCGGCGCCAGCATCGGCTCCAACGCTGGCGCGGTTGGTTGACACGCAGTCAGTCGCTTGCCCCCACCTGGTCCCCGCGACTTGGGAACGCAATCTCGGCGCCCGTGTCCTGCTCGATGCGCTGCCTGGTGCGACCCTTCTGTCCAATCAGGTACGGGAACAGCTGCAGGGCGAACCGGATGAGGCGAGGGGCGCGGTGGTGGCGGCAAAGCGGGGTCAGCAAGGCTTCGCAGCCCTGTACCACAAGAGTGTGTGCTATCTACTCGCCTCGGGGTCCAGCCTGAGCCTGGCAACAGCGACGCCGCCCTCCTGCGCGATTAGCACACTCGGCTCCTTTCTACCGCCGCTGCCGCCGCTGCCGGGTTCCCCGCCCCACGCCTCGTCCACCTCATCCGCCGCGCTGCCATCCCGCAACAGCGGCTGCTGCGGCTGCTTCTGGATGTATGGCTGGGAGCCTGCGCCTGCTGCCGCTCGATACTGGCGCCCGCTCACATTCACGACACCCATGGGGCGGGTTGGTGGTCATGGGGTGCCTGATCAGTGGTATAATGGGAAGCGAGTTCGATGGCAACGAAGATAGCTCACCGGCATGAGCTCATGCATGAGCAGTGCTGACTGGGCACAAGAAACCGATGGGTGACGGTCGGGCGCACCCATTGCATGCAAATCGCGATCGTTTGGCCCTGCTCATTAGCGGCCGTTAGACGCGTGGCTGCTGGACGCTTGCCCCTCTGCAGAGGCAACGACAGCCCGCAACAAGGAACCGCTGCTGGCCCTGTTCCTGCCTGGTGCACGCGTGCAGCGCCCCTTCAGGAGTCGCGGATGGCTGTAATGCGGGCAGCAGCGCTGGTGAGCGGGGGGCCGCGTCCCATGGCGGTGCCCACCACCCATGCCGGCGGCGAAGGCGGCGCCGCTGCTCACGGCGCTCCTGACACACCCGTTTGTCAGGCCTTGCATCCCTGCATCAGCCCCGTCATCCATCTCGCTTCTTTTTGAATGCAGGCTCCCTCCACCGCGGCGCTGCTGGCGGGTGTCACCCTGCTGCTGCTGCTGCCAAGTGCCGCCACCGCCGCCTACAGCAGCTTGTGGGGCAGGAATGGCGAACTGTGGGACCCTGCCGGCCCGCTGCCAGACTTTAGCTACGCAGGTGGGCTGATAGGAGGGTTTGTTGTATCGTTGAACGTGCATTCTGCAGCCTGGGTGATGCTCAGCACGGCTGGGCCCTGGCCGGTGCAGTGCACTGCCCTCGTCAACGGCCGTGGCCTGAGCTCCCCCCTGTGCATGTCGTGCATGCGCCCACACATGCCTGCAGGCTACAAGCAGGGCAACGAGCCGCTTCCCAACCCGCCGGTGACACGGTCTGTGCTCAAGTTCAAACGGCCGGGCATGAGCGACACGCAGATGTTCCAGGCGGCCCTCGCATGGGCCCACAAGCGCTCGCTGACCAACAGTGAGGCGCCAGCGCTGCTGGCTCACCCCGCTGTGTGCTGCACCCCGCACTGTGTGGGATGCCAGGTGCAGGATGCCGCTGCTCAGTCGGTCACTGCGCACGCAATTCGCCCCCGGCCCCCTGCCCTGCAGAGTTTATTGTGTTGTCCATCCCCGCCGGCCGCTTCACCCTGACGCAGCGCCTGTTCATCAGGCGCTCGCGGCTGGTGCTACGCGGCGCGGGCGCCGGCAAGACCACGCTGTACATCCCCAAGAGTGAGTGGTGGGCACCTTGCAAGCTGTAGCCGAGCAGCTGGCTGCTGGCTGCCTGGCCACCGCGCCGTGCTTCACTGGCCTCTCGCTGCCTGCTGCGCTGCAGGCCTAATCGACATCTACGGCCCCAATCCGGAGTCCGGCACTGGCGGCTACGTGAACACCGGTGGGCTGGCTGCCCTGTTGGCCTGCACCTGTGGCTGACCGCATTGCCATGCCCGGCAGTGCATGGCGCAGCTGGCGCCCCCCTCGCTCCCAGCGCTCTTGCAGCTTGCCGGCGCCTCTTGTGCACACACCTGCTCAGGTGCTTGGCATTGTTGCGGCCTGCTGCAGATGGCTTCATCACAATCGAAGGCACCAGCAGGATTGGTGATGAGGCCGCGCGGGTCATCAAGTTTGCTGCCAAGGGCGACGTGTGGGTCCGGGTGAGTGGCTGTCTGACGCAGCGCAGCTGCCCTCCCTGAATGATCAGCAGTGAGTGCAGCTGCCCCTCCCTTGCCGCTCGCATGTTCTGCTGGCTTGAGAGAGGAGGCTTGCGCCCGTCACTCTACTGCCATGCCAAGGCTTCCTCTGCCTGTGCGCAGGTGGACCGCCCGTCTGCCCTCAAAGTGGGCGAGTACTATGAGTGAGTGCGGATGCTGCTGATGCCGTTGCGCCTGCCATTGGCTGCTCTTGCGGCACACATGCTGCACTCACCATACTGACGGAAGGCCACTGGGTGCCCCTGGGTTTGCAGCATGTGGTTTACGGATGTGGCGGGCAAATTCAACAACCTCATGTGAGAGGGGCTTTGTTCCCATGCCCAGGACCAGCCTGCTGAGCAGCTTGCCTGGCTTGCTGTCTGTCCTGGGCGTGATGCTGCCCTGTGCCAGCACCAGGGAGGCGGACGCGCCGACTGTGCCAGCGCCTTGAAACGTGAGAACGCTGCCATTGCTTCCTGCAGGTTTAACAATAAGTGGGTGGCCCCTGCCCAGTACAAGGGCAACACGCGGGTCAAATTCACTACCAAGATCCTGGCCGTCCGTGGCGACGTGCGTGCTGCTGCTGCCTGCTGCCACTGCCGCTGTGGTTGTGACCCCCAAGTCGCAGCACGGGCATGCCCTGGGGCTGCATGGTGACAGCCCGCTGCCCATGCTGAGATCGTGAGCGTGTGCACCGCTCACTGCCTGCCCGCCTGCGGTGCCTTTGCGAGGGGCCGCTGCTGCCTGCAGCGGGTCAAGATTGAGCGGCACCTGCCGTATGAGATCCGCTCCAAAATGAACATTGTCAAGTTCCACAAGCGGCCCAACACTGTGTTCGAGAGCGGGGTGGAGGGCATCACCTTTTCCTTCAAGTGGTCGTGGTATGCGGGGCACCACGTGGTGAGCTGGATGCTGTGCTGTGCTCATGTGTCTCATGCGGCAGTTCCGTTTGCGCCGGCTCCCTGCCCACGGCAAGCCTGGTCCCAAGCTGCCGATACCTGGTGCCGCAGGAGGATGGCTGGAACGCAATTTACATCAGCGAGGCGTACAACTGCTGGGTCCGCAACATTGCCACCATCAACGCCGACAGCACAGTTCTGATCAACGGCAAGTGCCCTGCCACGTGCCAACAAGGGCTGCAGACAGTGCACCAGACAGTGCAGCCTGCGGGCAGCGCCTGCTTCTGCACGCAGCACCGCGCTGCCCAGGGCTGTGCAGCGCGCGCTCAGCCTGCTCCCGTCGCTGCCGCTGTCGCAGGCGCGTCTGCGCTGACGGTGTCCGGCATCAGGATTTCGGCCAGCAAGACGCGGGCCAACAACATCCCCAACAAGTGGAACGAGCGCGCGGATGCCGACGGGCACTGGGGCGTGCAGCACACCCACAGCTTTGACGTCTTGGTCACCAACTTTGTGATCACCTGCTCCCTCCTGCACGACGTGGGCACCGGCAGCTCGGGCAAGTTTGGCGTGTACATGAACGGCAGGATGGCAGGTGAGGGCCCCTAGGCCAACCTGCCAGCCTGCAACGCCCCAGCTGGTCGGCTCGCCGACAAGGCCCGCTTGCTGGTGCCGAGGATCGGTCTCCTGCCCTGGCCTGCCTGCATCCTGCACACAAGCAGCTGCCTGTTGCATGCCTGACCATGCATGTGCGCGCTGCACTGCCCTCGCATGTCATGAATGACAGATGGAAACCTGGACCTGCACAGGTAGGCAGCCGGCTGGGTCGCAGTGGGAGAGAGGTGCCTTGCGCGCTGGCTGCTGCCCCTTGGCCTGGGACTCATTGGCGGCGCTTGCTGGTGGCATGGCCGCGCTTGCAGGGCGCTGGCGGGGCCCACCCTGTACACCGACATCGACGTGGGCCTCGGCACCAATGCGCTGTACAGCGGCGGGCCCGCCAGGTCTGGCCCCAACGCCCTGGCCGGCACCACCTGGTGGAACATCAGGAGGTGAGACACTGATGCCTGCTGTTGTGAGCCGTTGGCGCTGCCTCGGTGCCTGGCTGCTGCCAGCCTCCGCCGCCTGGCGAGAGCAGACACACTGAGCACTTCCTCTCTCGCCCGCTGCAGCCGGCGGGGGGTGCCGACGCCCGACTCGGACAAGAAGCCTGGCGACTGCTCCTTTGGCCCCGTCATCAACCTGGTCAACGTCAACCTGGATCGCTCCCAGGTCAGGCTGCTGGGAATGAGTGCTGGCGGTGGGAAGTTGTGGGGAGGTTGTGCTGCATAGTAGGGCATGGCAGGCACAGGCGGGCCGGAAGGAGGGCCCGTGCGCCCCTGCCCCCGACCCGTGCCCTGATCAAGCTGCCTCATGCGGAGCTGGCCCCTTGTATGCAGGCCAGAAACATGTGTCGCACGTGGCTCTACGAGCGGCGCGTCACGGCGCCGCCCAACATTTACGAGGCGCAATTTGCGCGGCGCATGCGGCTGGCGGCGGCCGCGGCCTCGAACACCTCTGTGGCAGCGGCCGCGGCGCCGGCGCCGGCCTCAAACGCCACCGCGGCGGCGGCCGAGTAGGGGGGCTGCCGGATGGCGGCTCTACAGGCCGTCCACCTCATCGGCACTATCATCTATGTGGCACTATCACCCAAATGCATTGAGTACCGGCCTGGAGGCTGATGTTGTTGAGTTTTGTCCGAGTGACGCGCAACCTGCGCAGCCCTGCTCGTATCGTGAGCGTCATGTTTGCTACTGTGCTGATTGGCTAAGGTACCCATATCTACCTGTTGCGATCATGTGAGGGCGAAATGCCTGACAATTGTCCTATGAATAGGCTACTTTTAATTACCGTTGCGGGCGTCGGTCGGCGGCGCCACCCACTATGTACGGGTGCCAGGTGTCTCCCCTGCCAGCTGCTCCTGCTTTGGTGGGGATCGGCACATCTGAAGGCTGTTTCATGCGGATGTGCCCCTCTCCAAGTGCACCCGATGCCGACAGATCTGCGGCGGCGCTGCCGCCAGCCGGGCGGTGGCCAGCGCATCCAACCTGCGAGTTGGTCGGCAGACTGGCCATCGATCCAGCTGGTGCTGCTTCTTCCCTCAACCCAGAGCGAGTGAACACCAGGGGGGCTGTAGGAGGTGAATCAGCATCCAGGTGACAGGTGACAGGAATAGGAACTTGCACCTCTGCTGTTGAAGCCCGTCAAAGTCACAGAGATCAGAGCCATGCTCCGGGCTGCAGCGACGGTGGGTGGGGGCGCGTCCCATGGCGGTGTCAAATGCCTCTCATGGCTACGCTCGGCTTGCGCTCTGATTCCTCGGCTGGCATGATCCCCGCACCTTCCCCGCATCGAGCCCGCCGCCCGTGCAGGCTCCCGCCGCGGCGCTGCTGGCGGTCCTCGTCCTGGTGTTGCTGCCGCTCCCGGCCTCCGCCGCCACCTACAGCTCGCTGTGGGGCAAGGACGGCAACGATTGGGACCCCAGGGGCAGGCTGCCAGACTTTAGCTATGCGGGTGTGACGCCTGAAATTCAAGCCTGCCCCTTACTGCCGCAGCAGCCCGCCCTCCGCTATGTGTTACACATCTTTGCCGCCCACGCCATGTCCCATCTGCTGCTGTGCTCATTCATTTATTGTGCAACTCGCGTGCAGGCTACAAGTACGGCACGGAGGCGCTGCCTGAGCCGCCGGTGACGCGGTCTGTGCTCAAGTTTAAAAGGGCAGGCATGACGGATACGCAAGCCATCAAGCACGCGCTGGACTGGGCCAACAAGCAGCGTCTGACCAACAGTGAGCTGCTGCTGGTTAAAATAAAACATTTTTGTTGTTAATTGTTTTTTTTAAATCTGCATCGGACTCCCTGCCTGCAGAGTTCATTGTGCTGTCCATCCCCCCGGGTACCTACACGCTCACAGAGCGCCTCTTCATCAGGCGCTCCCGGGTGGTGCTGCGCGGCGCGGGCGCCGGCAAGACCACGCTGTACATCCCCAAGAGTGAGCACCAGCGCACGGGTCTGGCCAGCCGTACCGCCTCACAGTGCATCGCAGTTCAGTGCAGCTGCTCTTGGTTGTCATCAGGAGCTCTGTGGCCTGTCGCCACGCTCACCCTCCCAGCCCGCTGCCTGCCCGTCCTGCAGGCCTGTATGATGTGTATGGTCCCAACCCAAGGAACAGGGAGACGGGGGCGTATGTTACCTCTGGTGAGCTTCTTCCTGGGCCTCTTTGCTTGCTGCCGGCGTCTTGCTTGGCAACGCCAGTGGCGTGCTGGTGTGAGCATGCCGCTGGGCTGCGCTGGGTGAGCCCAGCTGCCGCCGCCGTCTCGGCAGTGCACCCGACTGCGCTCACGTGCCTGCCCCTGGCTGGGTGTGCACCTGCACCTGCAGACGCCTTTCTCAAGATTGAAGGCACTGGCGTGAAGGGGTCCATGGCGGCCACCGTCGTCAAGTTTGCCGCCAAGGGCGCGGTCTGGGTTGTGGTGCGTGGCTCAGGGCAGCGCAGCTCAGCTCAGCTCCTGTCCTGAACCCTTGGCTGTTTTTGTCTCAGAACTGCTGGAAGGGGCTCTCAACCTTCCCCATATCCTGTCATTTTCCCAACCCAGGTAAACAAGCCGTCGGCCCTGAAAGTGGGCGAGTACTTTGAGTGAGTGCTGCTGACCGCCACCTCTGCCGCTGTTGCCGCTGCCATCGGCAAATCCTGTTGCTGCTGCTGCTGCCCCACGGTGTTGCCCTTTGCTGGCCGTCTCTCGTCACCTGGAGGTGCCTTTGCCCCTACCTGTTGTGACGTGCAGCATGTGGTTTACCGACATAGGCGGCAAGTTCAACAACTACATGTGCGCTGGCAGCTCGCGTGCAAGGGCCCCGTGTGTGGCACAGCCTGGGCCGCTGGATGGCGGATCGCGGCCACCTGCGCAGCCTGCCCTGACCCGTGCGGCACAGCCTGACCGCTGCAGGGACAGGCCCCGCTGCCGCCTGGGAGCTCAGTGTTGACTGTGCTGCCTGCTCGCGCTGCCCGCTGCCTGCGCGCGCTGCCCGCTGCAGGTATGACAACTTGCTGGAGGCTCCCGCCAAGTACAGGGGCGACACGCGGGTCAAGTTCACCACTAAGATCCTGGCCATCCGCGGCAATGCGAGTGCTGCCTGCTGCTGCCTGCTGCTGCTGCTGCTAGCTGTGCGGGCTTGCTTGGGTGCAGCGCTGCTTGACATCACATGCTGGGCGCCTAGCTGCCAGCACGTGCCATTTGCTGGGCAGCAGGTGGCAGCGGGGCTGTTGGATGTGGCAGGCTCCCAACCACCCCGGCCTGCGCCTCCCGGCTGCCGCCTGCAGCGGATCAAGATTGAGCGCAACCTGCCTTATGACATCAACTACAAAATGAACATCGTGAGGTTCCACGAGCGGCCCAGAACCGTGTCCGAGAGCGGAATCGAGGGCATCACGTTTGCCTTCAAGTGGACATGGTACCCAGGCCATCACCTGGTGAGCTCATGACCATGCTGCGTTCATGCTGTGCGCACGCTGCGTGCCCATGCTGGGGACACTTCGCACAGCAGCTGCGGCGCCAGCACATGTTGCGTGACGGGCGCGGTTGCCTGGACTGCCTAGCTGCCTCGGGTGCATCGTCATGCCAAGAGGCAGCGGCCCTTGGTTCCCTGGGCCCACCGCCGGTGCTGGTGCCCCGTGCCTGGCGCCCGCAGGAGAGGGGCATGAATGCCGTGGAGCTCAGCGACGTGCGGGACTGCTGGGTCCGCAACATCGCCACCATCAACGCCGACAACACCGTGCTCATGCAAGGTACTCATGCTTGGCAGTTGTGTATGCCAGCAGGGGCTGGGCGCTGCCAATGGCCTGCCTTCGTCCTGCCTTCAGCCAAGCAGGGCCTGATGCTGTGCTGCCTGCGGCAGATGTGCATGGCGTGAAGGCATCGCTGCTGCTTTCTGCAGGCGTCACCTCGTCCACCATCGTGGGCGTCACGATTTCGGCCAGCAAGACCCGCGCCAACAGAATCCCCAACCAGTACAAGGAGCGGGCAGACAGGGATGGGCATTGGGGCATAGAGTTTGGTGAGTCCCCCCCTGGGTGGCTGGGACTTGCACACGTCAGGCTGCATGGTTGGGAGGCCTGTGCAGAGAAAGTGCGGCCCGGCATTTGAGACTAGGGCAGCTGCCGAGACCCTCCTCCCCTTCCCGCCTGCAGCCCACTCATTTGATGTGCTTGTGCGGAGGGTCGTCCAGATATCCTCCCTCATGCACAGCGTGGGCACCGACAGCTCTGGCAAGTGGGGCGTGTTTGCTGGTGAGTCGCAGGTGGCGCCCCAGAGAGGGACGGCAGTACCAGGCCTGCATGGCGCACTGCCACTGCATGTGCTCCATGCTGCTCAACCTGTGAGAGCCTGGATGCTGCTAATGCTATGGGTTGTGCTGGCTGCTGCAGACCTCAAATTCCGGGACGGCAACCTCGACCTGCACAGGTGTGGGGCTGGGCGGGCCGGCGCCGGTGTTGCAGGCAGGCATCGAGGGCAGGTAGAGGGCGCCTCGCCTGCTGTGTGCCTCACCCACGCCCGGCACCCATGCCACTGCAGGGCGCTGTCGGGCCCCACTCTGTACACTGACATTGACGTGGGCCTTGGCACCAATGCGCTCTGGAGCGGCGGGCCTAGAGCGTCTGGCGCCAATGCTGCGGCCGGCACCACCTGGTGGAACATCAGGAGGTGGGATGCTGCCGCTCTGCTGCTGCCGCGGCTCCCAGGCCTGGCTGCCGGCCGTTCATGCAGCAAACCCAGCCATGCACGTGTGCTCACACCCACCCCTGCAGCAAGAAAGCCGTCACGCCCAACGCCTCAAACACCGCCAAACCTGGCGACTGCTCATACGGCCCAGTAATTAACATTGTGAACGTCAACCTCATCCCCGCAATGGTGCGGCCAAGCAGCTGGGACTGCTGCTGAGGCATTGCGCAGCCAATTGCATGTATCTCCTAGCTGAACGCCCCAGCCCATGTCGCCGCCTCAGCAAACCCGCTGCTGCTCCCATGCATGCGCAGGCGCGCAAGATCTGCCGGACGTGGCTGTATGAGCGCTATGTTTCCAGCCCGGCAAACCTATACGAGGCGCAGTACGAGCGCCGCATGCGGCTGGCGGCAGCCGCAGCATCCGGCTGAGCGCCGATTGGGGTTGTCAGACGCGCAACGCCAGCTTCACTGTTTCACGCCATTGGCTGCGCCCCGTGTTGCTGGTTGCAAGACTCGGGATCTGCTCCATTTGCCCCTGCGCATATATCTGTCTGTCCATTCCGAATTCAGCTCAGTCCTCATACAGCTGTTGGATGTGGTTTTTGGGCCCCGCCGCACTTGACGCAGACCGACATCCAAACAAGCCTGGCGGATGTTTCCCCTTTCAGTGTAGACGTTCGCTTGTGCGCGGCGAGTCTATGAGCGGTGTTGATCCACTTTGTTTGCTCATCACTGCCTGATGTGTATCTATGCAAACTGCAATTGAGACAACCTACCTCCATCAGAGGCCACAGCTGGGATGGGGCCGCCAGGCCAGCTGACCTGCACGCACCGACATGCTGTACAGCCGCCACGGCTGCGCCGCCGTGCCGTGCATGTGAGCTCATGCGGCGTTCCGCGCTCGAGAGGTGTTCATCACCTCCACGGCTACGTCGGCAGCCTTCAATGCACATGTTATGCACCTGTTTGAAGCCCAACAGCGTGGGGGTCGTCCTCGCGCTGACGTGGAGCGATTGGGGTCAAAGCGGGCGGTACGAGCACCTCGCCGCAAACCAACCTTCTGGTGACGGAAGTGAACGGGAATTCTCTCCGACGTATCCCAAGCACCGGCAGGCGCAGGGGGCGCCCTGAGCTGCGTTCACCCTGTGGGGGCAATAGGCAGCGTGACCAGAGGCGGCCCAAAGCGGCTGAACGGAAGGCTTCATACATGCGAGTGACAGATCGATAGTTCAACGATGAAGCGGCGGAACTTGCGGGTGTGGCTGCCAGCGCCGCCGCCGCTTGCTGCCGTCGCCCACTGTGCTGCTGCACGCTTGCTCACAAGCCCGTTCTCCTCTACCTTTTCCAGCCTCAAGCTGACAATATACTGTGTCGTTGATGCAGGCACCTGCTGCTTTGCTGCTGGCGGCGGTGCTTTTGCATGCGCTGCCGGCGCCCGCAGCCGGCCAGGCTCCCGTAGCGCCCCTTTACAGCAGCCTTTGGGGCACGGATGGCGAACTGTGGAATGTCAGCAGCGGCTTGTTGCCAGACTTCAGCTATGCAGGTTTGGCTGCCCGGGACCGCATCGATGCATCTGGCCTGGGGCTCTGTGCCGGTTAGCCATTGCAGGCAGGCACAGCCCGATCTTACATCGCCGACGAGTGCCGCATACTCGTCGTCCTGCAGGCTACAAGCAGGGCAACGAGCCGCTGCCCAGCCCTCCCATCACTCGCTCCATCATGGAGTTTGACGACGGCAGCATGAATGACACGGCCGTCATCAAGGCCGCCCTGGACTGGGCTAACAGCCAGCCGCTGACGAAGGGTGAGGAGGCAGCGGTGGCCGGTGCTGCTGCCACTTCCAGCCCACCGAGCGATAGCTCTGCATGGGTTTCTTAGACCAGGCAATCACCTCCACCGCCCCACCCAATGTGTGCCCGCTGCCTGCTACCACCCGCCGCAGACTTCATTGTGCTCTCCATCCCTGCTGGCGAGTATGTGCTAGATGAGGTGGTGACCATCACACGGTCCAGGGTGGTGCTGCGCGGCGAGGGCAGAAACTCCACCGCTCTCTACGTCCCCTACAGTGCGTTTGAGCGAGCTGCGCTGAGCGGTCAGGGTTGTTGGGGCGGCGGCTCCCGACTGCGTGCACGCCATGCATACCTGCGCCCGGGCCAGCCTTCCACTGGCTCTGAATGGAACCGTTTGTGTTGGGGTGCAGGCTTGACAGAGCTGTATGGTCCCAACCCTGACAATAACATAACATAACAATAAGACTGGCGGCTACGTGAATGAAGGCAAGCCATGGGGCACCCGAGATGCCTGGTACCTGTTTGCTCCTGTCACATGGGCAGCGGTTGCTGCCGGTGGCGGCTGGTGGCCATGCTCATCAGGCGGTTGGCTCGCTGTGCTGCTTGCAGGGGCATTTGTGCGCGTCCAGGGCACCAAGAGCAAGGGCGCTGAGCTGGCCACCGTGACAGGCACAGCCTACCGCGGCGATAGAGTCCTGGAGGTGTGTTCTAATCTCACAGCGGGCATGCATGCTGCCGGGGGATGAGAGAGGTGCATGCCTGTGCATGTGTTTGGGAGGACGGGGCCGGGGCTGTAGGACACATGCACACACACCACCGCATCGCCACCGCCCCACTGGGCCTGCAGGTTGACGACGCAAGCAGCCTCACGGTGGGCGAGTATTACGAGACATATTGGCGGGACATTGACAACAACTTCCATAACCACATGTGAGCCAGCTGAGCTCTGGGCAGGGCAGGACTGGCCGAGGCAGGGCAGGGCAGGCCATGCTCTGGAGCCGGCCACCTGTGCAAGGCACATTGCAGGCATGCTGGTCATGCACGCCTTGGGCCCTGCTGACCAACTTGGTGACCAGCTACCCTCGCTCCACCCTCGCTCCTGCCTGCCTGCCACATGCTGCAGGTTCAATGACGAGTGGGAGGCACCTGACAAGTACATCAACAACACGCGGGTCAAGTTCACCACCGAGATCCTGGCCATCGATGGAAACGTGAGAGGCACGCGCCTGCCGCTGCCATGAACCAGCAGTGGGTGTGCTTGCCGTCCTTTGTTTGCTGCCCTTGAGTCACCAGCTGCATGAAGCAGGAGCAGCGGTCAGCCTTTCTTGGCTCACGCTGCTGCCGGCTGTTGCCCACCTGTCCTGCCGCTGACGGCGCCAGCCCGCGTGTCTGCCTGCCTGCAGCGAGTGACAATTGAGCGCTATCTGCCGTACGACATCAGGGAGGGCCTCAATGGGGTGAAGTTCCACAAGCTGCCGGAGACGGTGGTGGAGAGCGGCGTGGAGGGCATGACTTTCGTCTTCAACTGGGAGCTCTACGCAGGGCACCACCTGGTGAGTGGTTGGGTCTGAATACCAGCATGGGCGCTCCGTGCGCCAGGCAGCTGGGTGCGAGGTAGGTGCATCAGGCCGGCAGCTGCAGAAGACTGCCGCCGCTGCTGCTGGCCTGCGCTGCTGCTGGCGCTGTCTGGTGTGTGCAGGAGCGGGGCTGGAACGCGCTGGAGTTCAGCGCAGTGCGGGACTGCTGGGCACGGGACATTGGCACAGTCAACGCCGACAACGCGGTGGCGATCAATGGCAAGTGCAGGGGGGAGCGGGGTGCTGCTGCTTGTGCTGGCACTGGTGTGTGGCAAGAGTTGACCGACGAAACGGACGAGGCAGCAGCACAGCAAAAAATGGCAGCTGCTCACTGATCCACGCTGCTGTTCATGATAACCCACCCCTGCCGCAGATGCCGCCTCCCTCACCGTCACTGGTCTGCTGATCGAGGCCAGCCAGACGCGGGCCAACGACATCCCTAATGCCTGGAACGAGAGCGCAGACGCGGATGGCCACTGGGGCGTGCTGTTCACTAGCTCGTACGATGGTGAGCCCGAGCCTGAGGCAGATGTGGCAAGCAGCATGTCTGTTCAAGAGACGTTGGCGGGCGTGTGCATGTCCCAGCTGGGTGGGACTGTCTGCGACTGGCTGCGCCGATTCCCGGTGCTGCTGGCTGGCTTGGCACATCCTCAGACCTGCAGATGTGTGTGTGTTGCCTGGCATCCACGCCTTGTGCAGTGCTGGTTGAGGGGTTTGAGGTGCTCTGCTCCCTCATGCACGACATGGGCGCAGACAGCGGCAGCAAGTGGAGCGTGTTCATGAGTGAGTGGGCCGCGCCTGGTTGCATCGGCGGGCCGATGCAGCAGAGAGAGCGCGAGTGGGTGCTAGCTCTGTGGGTGGGATGTGCAGGCTCGGTCAGCCGCCAGTCACAGTCATGTGGTGTGTGTGCAGATGGGCGCATGGTGGAGGGAAATCTGGACATACACAGGTGTGGGGCGGTAGGCCATCCTGCAGGATGGGTGGAAACCACCAGGCAGCATGATCGGTGGTGGCGGTTTGGCGCAGACTGCCTCTGACTGTGTCTCTGCTCTGCATGCCCGGTTGGATGTCGCCCACCCTCACGCAGGGCGCTGGCGGGGCCCACCCTGTACACCAACATCGACGTGGGCGCTGGCATCAATGCGCTCTACAGCGGCGGGCCGATCCGGAACGGGCCCAACGCACTGATGGGCACTACGTGGTGGAACATCAAGAGGTGAGCTACTGCTGCGGTAGTGCGTTTTGTGCTGTCGTTGGTTTGCGTTGCCGTCTGTGTGTCAGCAGTGCTGTGTAGAGCTCTTACAGGGTTGGCGCTGTGGCTTTGCTGCCTGCCTGCTCGCTTGGCATGCAGCGAAGAACCACTGCTGCCGAATGACTCGGATGCTGGACCTGGAGCCTGCTCCTTCGGCCCCCGCATTAACTTGGTCAACGTCAACCTGGATGAAGCGGAGGTGAGAGAGTGTGCACCCGCAGCCCCAGCTGGCTGCTGCACTTCACAGGCAGCAATGCCAACAACCAGGGCCAAGCTCCTCAAGCTTCAACCGGCCTGCTCGCGGCGGTTGGAGATGCCTGCTGGCATGCTGAGGATGGCGTGCACTGTGTGCCTGCCCTCTGTGTGCCTGCAGGTGGCCCTGATGTGTCCCACGTGGCACTACGACCCGTACAATCCTCAGTTCCAGCCGGCAAACTTGTATGAGGCGCAGTACGAACGGCGCATGCGGCTGGCGGCCGAACCCTCTGCAAACGCGAGTCAGCCGATAGCGGCCATGGCCCCTGGCGTGATTGATTCTTGACACTCTTGATGGCTTTTCCTGCTTCTCCCTCACCGTCGGTGCCGCATTGGCCCACCCAGCCCCAGGTGCTGGTGCCGCATTGGCCCGCCCTGCCCCTTACGATTTGATGCTATTCAGTGCTTGCATGCGCACGGCTTTCGGCATATGCACATTTGTGCCTTGAATGAGCAACCCTGATAAACGAATCCGGCCTGCGTCGTCAGGTGCTGCCATCGGCATGGCTTAGCCTGGGTGTGCTAGATGCCTCGTGTGTGGATCAGTGGCCGCTCTCAGACCACCCAGATGATGTGGCGGCGAAAGGGTAATTAGAGGCGTGCATCAGACATTCCCGCAGTGCGGCTGCCTTGCCCGCTGCGAGCTGGCGGCGGCTGGCGCCCAGTACTCGGAATGCCCATCGCGCCGGGTGGCTGTGATCTGCGGCTCTCATCGGCTTCTCCTGCATTGCAAATCACTGTGGGCTCTTGGTAGGAAACGCAGAAGGCTTGCAATGCGCGCTCTCGTCGCTGCCGCAACCCAGCGGGCGCTCACTTCCAGCTGCAGATGCCGCGCAGCGGGCGGTGCGCGGTCTCGATCCCTGTCGCGCCGCGGGTCGGCAGCCGCCCGACCGCTGCCGCCAGCGCCGGCAGCGGCAGCAGCTGCGCAGGCGGCGGAGCAGCCGTCGCGGCAGGAGCACGCCGCCTTCCAGTCCGACTACTTCAACCGCAAGATAGCGGCCGTGCAGGCCTCCATCACGCCCGATGTTGACGCCAAGCTGGCCCGCCTGGCGGCCGCAATCCCTGGGCTGTCGCCGGCCAGCCGCGTGCTGGATGCTGGCGCGGGCGACGGCGCGCTCATTCCGCACCTCCAGGTGGGCCTTAGGGCGTGTGCTGCAGCCACCGCCCTCTTCATGCTCGCCCTTGCACAGCAGAGCAGGCATCTGAATGCGCATGCCATGCGGAGGAGGCTTCGCGCGCTGCCATCCTTTGCTCCCTCCGCCCTGCCGGCACCGGCCAAAGCCGGGAGCTGCCCCTGCGGCTCCGCCGCTGCATGCAGGCACAGGGCGTGAAAGACATCCTGGCAGTGGATGTGTGCCCTGCTATGGTGGAGGCGCTGCAGCAGCGGGTGGGCCCCGCCAGCACGCTCGGCAACGACGCCTGCGTGCGCACCTGGCTGGGCGACGTCGCCGACCTGCCGGCCTACCAGGCAAGTCCTGGCAGCAGATGAAGGTCTGCCTTGTGGCCTGCAGCTCATGAGGCGCAACCTCCCCAAATGCAGCAGCAGCGGCAGCTGGGCGGCCTGCGCCAGCTGCCTCGGCCTGGTGCAGTGTGGGGAGGCTGAGCCTGCTGAGCACCTGGCTCGCCTCGTGGGATAGACTGGCGTGCAACACACATCCCATTCCTGCTGATGTGCAGGGCCCGTTTGATGTGGCCATCTTCAACGCCGTCTTTGGCAACCTGCATGACCCTCATGAGGCACTCATGCGCGCCTGCTTCCTGCTGCGCCCCGGCAGGTGCGGCACGGCGGGTGTGGCAGGCACCTCGCCACTAAAGGGCGCCGGTGCCCAGCCCGCTGCCTGCCTGCCTCATTCTCCAGTGCTCATCAGCTTTCTCCTGTCGTGTCGTTACCTGCTGTCTCCACCTGCTGTGCCCGACCCTCACCTGACCACACTCCTGCCTGCCTTCCTGCTTTCCTTGCAGCTACATTGTGGTCAGCCATGTGCTGGGGCGGCCGTGGCACGAGGGCTTCCGGGCAGCCAACCCGAAGCTGGTACCGCACGAGCTGCCACAGGCAAGCGTACTGCCTGCATTGCTGCCCAGCTCCCACCCCAGCTCCCGCTCTCCAGCTTGGCGCCTGCACCTGTGCTGCTGGCTGTTTCTAGTGCGATGGGCCCGCAGCCGTTCAAGGAGCAGCACACGCGGCCACCTGCATGCATCCACAGCCACCGCCCACCAACACCAGCTTCCCCCACGTCCCCTTGTGCTGCACTTCGCAGCAAGCGGACCTGGAGGCGATGGTCCATGACCTGCCGCTGCACCTGGTCAGCATGACAGACGAAGATGAATTCTATGTGGCGGTGCTGCAGGTAGGGCGGGGCGTGTGTGGTGTGTGTGTGTGGAGGGGTGAGGTGGGCCTGCTGCCTTGGCCTACTGCAACTGCCCAATACTCTGCCTGGCTTGCTGCTTTCAGTGCGGCTCTTGATTGCAGCTTGGCCTCCCGCCCTGCCTGCCTTGCTTGGCAAAGGCACACGTGCGTCAGCTCGCCCGCGCAGGTCCCTGAGGGCTATGCCCACCCTGCGGCCCCCATCCGCCTGTCGGGCCGCGTCATCCACGGCTTTGGACGGGGCAGCAAGAAGCTGGGCGTGCCCACCGCCAACCTGCCGCCCGCGCCGCTGGCGCAGCAGCTGGCGGAGCTGCCCGCGGGCGTGTACTTTGGGTGAGGGGGCCTGGCCTGCTAGGGGTGTCCACTGCGGCTGGGTATCCAATGCGCGCTGGGATATAGTATACACTGCGGCTGCTGCTGCTGCTTCCTGCTGTCAGCGCAGTTGCTGCTGCTGCTCGCTGCACTGTCCCCATGCCTGCCCGTCGCGCGCACGGCTGCTGCAGGTGGGCGCAGCTGGATGTGGATGGCAGCTGGCCGGAGGCGGACCGCAGGGTGCACAAGATGGTGATGAACATCGGGCGGCGGCCCACCTTTGGCGACGCCGAGCCGGAGCTGAGGTGCGGGCTAGGGTGAATGCTTCTGTCTGCCGTTGCTGACGGTCTCTCCGCCACAAAACTAAGTGGCTCGGTTGCGCTGGCAGTGGACCGAATCGGCGGCTGGCTAGGTGTCCGGAGCATCATGTGGACGGTGCAGACCGGCGCCAGACGCCCGCATCCCTCTGCCGCCGCCTGTCGCGCCTTGCTCCTCGCAGCGTGGAGGCTCACGTGATGCATGCCTACAGCCAAGACTTTTACGACCAGCCGCTGCGCCTGGTGGTGCTGGGATACATCAGGTGAGCTGGGTGGGTGCTAGGGAGGTGAGCGGGGCGCCAGCCAGCATGCACAGACTTGAAAGTGTTGGTGGTTGCCAGCCCCTTGACATCGCACGACCGTTTCTGCTTCTCCTGCAGGCCCGAGGTGAAGTTCGGCGGGCTGCAGGAGCTGCTGGCGCGCATTAACACCGACATAGGCATCGCGCGCAGCCAGCTGGACCTGCCGCAGTGGCAGCCCTACCGGCAGCAACTGGCGGACGAGGTGCCGCCGCCCGCATGAGTGCAGTGCAGGCTGATTAGGTGTTGACACCGCTGCTATGTGCAACAATCGATCGTTTTTTCGTCAGAGTGATACTGGGCACCTGGCTGGCTGGGGCGTCCTGCGTGCCTGGCTTGGGTGCCGCCGCGAGGCGCAAGTTGCGGGCCGCCATTTGGTGGTACACGTAGTGCTGCACTGCCTGGCATGCACCAAGTGCTGCTTGCAGGCTTTGCGCATAACGATCGAGTTCTAGTGGGCAATCCTGGCTAGGTAGCAAGCGGGCCAGCACCATGCACGGGCTCAAACTCGATCATCCTTCTCGATTAGACAACACCGGGCTGGCTGACCGAGTTCGAAGTCACGGCTTTCAGCAGACAGCGGCGCCGCCGCCAGCCCGCAACCAGCAATGCCAGCGGCGGCGGCGGTGGCGGCTGCTGCCGCCTGCCTCCTGCGCCAGCCAAGCGGGCAACACGAGCGATGGGGCGCACCACTTCCTGCGGCCGGTGAGCGTTGTGGTGCATTTCAGGTGTTGTTTAAAGCCAAACAGCAGCCTTGGCCCCACCATCACCCTCCCCGTCCTGCCCCCTTTCCCGCAGAGCCTGCTGGCGACGGGGTTGACAGAACCTCAGGATGTGCTGCAGCATTGCCTGGCACTCTTTAGAAAGGCAGATTTGGCAGGGCTGCAGCAGTACCTGCCTGGCAGCTACAGCGCAGCGGTGGATGCCGCAAACAGCAGCAGCAGCAGCAGCAGCAGCGGAAGCAGCCCCGGCTTGGCGTCCGTTCCTGTCGGCCCGTGGCTGCAGGTGGTGGAGCAGGGACCACTGGCACCGCTGGTGGGGCTGCTGGATGTTGGGTCACGGCGTGTGCTGCCTGGCCACCTGCTGCGCCGCAGCCAAGTGTTGAGCACCCTGCGCCCCAGCCCCGATACTTTCCAGCAGCGCGTGGCGCTGACTGCCTGCGCGGGAGAGACCTCGGTTTTTGACTGGCTGCTGCAATGGCGCCCGGAAGTCAGCAAGTCTGCCAAAGCGGGAGGCAGCAGCTCGGGCAGCAGCGATGCAGCAGCAGCAGCGGCAGGCAGCGGCGGCGGCAGATGGGTGTTGGTGTCGGTGCGGCGGGATGCCAGCACAGATGTGCCACTGCCCACCACGCCACACCCGCAGTGAGTGTGTGTTTGGTGGTGGTGGCGGTTCCTATGTGGGTGGGTCCGTGTTTTTGGTGGTGACGGTGGTTCCTATGCTTGTATGTGTGTGTGTGTGTGTGCGCACGCGCGCGCGCGTTTGTGCGCACGCAGCAGCGGCTGTATCGTGGGGCATCAGCTGTGCACCTCGCGCATTGTGCAGGGCGGCGCCAGAGGCGGTTGTCAAGGCGCAGCTGGCGGCGCTGCAGGAGGGCGACGTGTTTGGGGCCAGCTGCTATAACATGTGGCACCGCAAGGGGCTCACCAGCCGCAAGACTAGTGAGCGCGGCGTGGGCGGGGCTGGCGGTGGTGGTGCACATGCTACGCTGGTGCTGCTGAGAGCGCCCGGCAGGTCTACCCTCCAGGGCGCCTGGCCATCCCCCAGCTGTGGCTGGCTGGCTGGCTGGCTGGCTCTGATACGCCTGCCGCTGCCTGCGTGCAGGCCTGGGGTTCCATCATGACGCGCTGCGCGCCAAGCTGCAGCAGCAGCCGTACAGCCTGCTGGTGGGGCACGCTGGCGTGCAGCTGGGCGGCGCGGCGCTGCCCACACAGCGCGAGCAGCTGCAGCACGTGTCAGTGCTGGCGCCAGACGGCACCAGCGCGCAGTTTGTGTGGCGGCTAGGCATGTCCACCCACGGCTGCTGGATGGCCTCTGGCATCTTTTCCGCAGAGGAGCTGGCCGGCGGCCCGCAGCAGGAGCGGCAGCAGTGACGTTTTGCTTTGCGCTAGCTTTCCTTCCCATGCATTCAGCTTCGGAACATTTTTTCTGTTGCAGTTCGGTTATGGTCTCATAGTACTTAAGCCAAATCGGTTGAACAAAGCAACAAAACGAGTTGAGGTCACAACAGCGAAGGGTTAGAGGTTATCGTAACTGGCAGTGCGGTCAGTAGTGGGTGATTGTACAGGAGGCCTTTATTTCGGGCAGGGCACTCATAGAATACAATAGATGCCCATAGCGGGCACAACTCAACACACAAGGGCGAAACACACAGCAGATGTTACATGGCGGCGAGGCGGACAGGGAGCACCCCCTCATGCCCCTCATCAGCCGTCGGAGCCGTAGCCTGACTGCTCGTCGGGGCCGCAGTCGAGCAGATACCGCACGAAGCCTGCGCAGCACACCGCCAGCATGAGCGCCATGCGCTCCCACTGCTCATCCGCGCTGCCGCTGCCGTCGCCTTGCAGCGGCGGCCGCGGGATGCCTGTCGGCAGCATGTAGGCCGGCACAGCCACCTCGCCCGCGTCCCTGCCGGTGAAGCCGCTGCTGCTGCCGCCACCGCCGGCCGTGGCGGCCGCCGCCACCCTGGCCGCCGATGGGCGCAGCGTGGGCAGCGCCAGCGCCACCTGGCTGCGCAGCTGGCGGTCGAGGGCGCTGGTGCTGCCGGGGCTCAGCAGTACCGCATCGGAGCAGTACATCAGGAAGTCGGAGAGGCAGCAGATGCGCTGCACGTACGAGGCGGGCTCGTTGGGGCGGTCAGCCGACACCGCCCGCAGCACCCCCGCCTGCACGCCGCTGTCCAGGCAGATCAGCAGGTCGAACCTGCCGAGGGGGAGGGAAAGAAGGGGAAGCGTGGGTCGGAAAGTGGGAGGTTACGGAGGGGTGGCCGCACGGTGGAGTGCACGGTGGAAGCTAACCCGCAACAACCCCCCCTCCCCCTCACCTGTCAATATCATCAGGCTCGAAGCGCATGCGGGCGCTGGTAAAGAGGTGGGGGCGCAGCTGCCAGGAGGCCGCCAGGCTGAACAGGCCTGCCTGCGTGCCGAGCCCGGGGCTGGAGCCTTCGGCGGCGTCCAGCCCGCAGGGCGTGCCCGCCAGCGACCGGCTGCAGCCGCTCCATGCCGAGATGCGCTCAAACATGCCCAGTGCAAACCGGCTCCGCACGGTGTCGCTCCTGTCGATGAAGAGCAGCTGCAGGCACTGCCCATGCTGCCACCGCACGACGGGCAGCTCGCCCGCCGACACTCGTGCCAGCCGCTGCTGGTGCCGCCGGCAGCGGCGGTGTCGTCCCCCCGCTGCAGCCACCCAAGTCGCCGGCCTTCCGCAAGGCCTCAAGCGGCATGCTGCGGGTTGCTGGGGTGCTGGGTCGCCTCCTCGTGAAGACAAGGCGCCGGCGACAGCTGGTCCTCGGACCGTCAGGCTGCAGAGGCTTGTCATGAGCTCTGATCGAATTCTGGACAGCCGTCAGAGGCTGTAGGGCCCTTGTGGTTGAAGCCAGCGCTGGCCAGCGCCGTCCGAGCTGGCAATTCCTCATGAAACTCAAACATGCGCGCCCCCTGCACGCCAGAGGAGCGATCCACGGACGGCCCGGGTCTGTTTCGTATTGCACAGGAGGGCTGGGGCCGCGCTGAGCTACCTGTCTGGGCGCGCTGGAGGGGGCCTAGTGGCCAGAGCGCACCATGCCGCGGGAGCTGGTCACGCTGCAAGTGGGGCAATGCGGCAACCAGGTGAGGCCTCGCGGCGCAGTGGCGGGGGCGTGGCGGCAGTGGTTCAGCTCCCAGGCCTCCCCAGGGCGTGGCTGAAGTGGCGATGAGCCGCAGATGGCAGGTCTGGCACCCCCGCCAGCTCCTGATCACTCCCTCCTGCCGCCGCCGCTCCTCCCGCCGCCCATGCACCCTCTCTCTGTCTGCTGCTCGCAGGTGGGCGCCGAGTTCTGGCGCAAGCTGTGCAGCGAGCACGGCATCAACAATGATGGGATCGTGGAGGAGTATGCGGCACAGGTGGGTGGGAGGTGGCCTCGAGGCGTTGGGGCACGACAGGCTAGCTGGCTTGTTGGCCGTCGGTAGCGTGGCGCGTTGCATCGTGCTTGCCTGCGTGCTCGGCAGAGTTGGTGCCTTTTTTAGCAGAGACGCGACGAACAGCCACCATCCAAGCCGCCCGACCATGCCGCCGCGGCACATATTGTGTATTACAGTTACGCTGACGCCGCGTCTGCGTGTTGTTGCTGCCGCTGCGCTCCAGAGCGGCGACCGCAAGGACGTTTTCTTCTACCAGGCCGACGACGAGCGCTACATCCCGCGCGCCTGCCTCATAGACCTGGAGCCGCGGTGGGTGCTGGCCCTGGGCCACGCCTTGCCTTGACTGGCGTCCGCCCATGTGCCCTGGGCACGCCCCCGTGCCGCCTCCCTCGACCTTCCTCCCTCACCATCTCTGCGCGCACAATACACACACACTCTCTTGACCTCCTTCCTCATCCCCACACCACCACCTCCTCACCTCTGCATCCCCGTGACCCTCGCGCAGCGTCATCAACGGCATCCAGAACTCCGACATCCGCAACCTGTTCAACCCGGAAAACATCTTCCTGTCAGACCACGGCGGCGGCGCAGGCAACAACTGGGCCAGCGGGTACAGCCAGGGGGAGGGGGTGCAGGAGGACATACTGGACATGATTGGTGAGCCGGCCGGCTGGTCAATGGGGAAGGAAGTGGAGGGTTGGTGGCAGGGAGGGCTGTCGGGGAGGCGGAAGCAGGGAAGGTGGCGTTGGGGCTGCCGGGGAGGATGGCGGGCAGTGCTGCCGGGCAAGGCGCCTGGCTGGTTGGCAAGAGGCGAGGCAGTACATGGTGCCGCTGCCCGGTACGGCTAGCTGAGGGGTCTCGCTGCTGCTGCCTCGACTTGATGCGAAGCCTGCTGCCTGCCTCATACTCCACCGACACGCAGACCGCGAGCTGGGGTACAGCGACAGCCTGGAGGGCTTCACCCTCTGCCACTCCATTGCCGGCGGCACCGGGTCGGGCATGGGATCCTGGCTGCTGGAGGCGCTGAACGATCGCTACCCCAAGAAGCTGGTGCAGACGTACAGGTGGGGCACACAGGGGCGGCGGTGCTGATGTGGCGGCAGGGCTGGCCAGGCCGTGGCGGCAGCGGTCGAGGGAGATGGAGCGTGGCGGTTGGGGAGGCGGCGCCGGCACGGTGGCAGAAGCTGCTGTGAATTGGCAAGGGAGTTGGTGGCTGGACAGGCGCTCAATGTCTGCCTGCGCCCTATGCTCCAAACTCCCCCCATCGTGCCTCAGGATCTAACCTGCACGCCGCCTGCTTGGCTGCCTGCGCGTCACGCCTGCCCGTCACGCAGCGTGTTCCCCAACCAGAGCGAGTCCAGCGATGTGGTGGTGCAGCCCTACAACTCCCTGCTCACCCTGAAGCGCCTCACGCTCAACGCAGACGCGGGTGGGTGCGGCCTTGCGGGGCGTGGGGCACGAGGATGGCAACAGGAGGCGGGTGGCAGGAGGGAGGCTGCAGCATGGCAGCTGAGCCTGGCTCATTGGTCCCTGCCCCTCAGCCCGTAACCTCCTGCGCCCATGCACACACTCACCCACACAGCCTCCTTCCCCTGCCCACAGTGGTGGTGCTGGACAACACGGCGCTCAACCGCATCGCCACCGAGCGGCTACACATCGCCAACCCCACCTTTGCCCAGGTCAGCTGAGCGGGAACGCGTATTCACCCTGGCGCCTACACGCTGTCCCCAGCGAGCCCGCTGCTGCGCGTTACCATCCTTGCTCTCCCAACCTCAACCAGCACATAACTTTCTGCCGTTCTTCCAAACGCACCTGTGTGCCCAGGTCAACTCCCTGGTGTCCACAGTGATGGCGGCTTCCACCGCAACCCTGCGGTACCCAGGTACCGCTGCTGCTGTACTGCTGCTGCTGCGTCGCTGCTGCCCCCCGCGGCTGCTGTTGCTGGTTCTCCTCCCCTCGTTGCCCTCTCCCTCCGCTGCCCCCGCCCCCCTCCCTCTCTGTCTGTCTCACACGCCACCCTGTCCCGCCCCCCCACGCTCTCCTCCAGGCTACATGAACAACGACCTGGTGGGCCTGCTGGCCTCCCTCATCCCCATCCCCCAGTGCCACTTCCTCATGTCCGGCTACACCCCGCTCACCCTCGACGCCGCCGACGACCGCGGCCACGGCGCCTCCTCCGCGGTCGCCTCCATCGTGCGCAAGACCACGGTGCTGGATGTGATGCGCCGCCTGCTGCAGGTCCGGCCACAGCTGGCTGGCTGCCGGGCAGCAAGCATGCTTGGCGGTGCAGGGTGTGGATCTGCGGGCCGGCAGGCTGCGGGCGGCAGGGCCGTGCATGTGCAGGCAGCGCTGAGAGGGCACCAGACGCGCTGCCTGCTCCGACTGTACTGCATGTACTGACTGTACCGCCGGTGCTGCAGCCCAAGAACCTGATGGTCAGCGCGGGGGCGCGGGCCAAGGAGTACGACAAGTCCCGCTACATCTCCATCCTCAACATCATCCAGGTGGGCCTGTTGATGGCGGCGGCTGGCGTGCGCGGAGGCGCGGGAAGGTTGGGCTGTGGGTGATGTGTGCATTGCATGCATGCATGCATGCGTGCGTGCGTGTGGCCATGTGTATGTGCAGGAGTGTGTGGAAGAATTTGGGTGTGGGTGGGAGGCAGAGTGCCTACCCGCCGGTGCCCCTCACGCCGTGCCTCCTGGCGCTGTGCTGCGCTGTGTGACCTCCTCCATGCAGGGCGATGTGGACCCCACGCAGCTGCACCAGAGCCTAATGCGCATCCGGGAGCGCAAGCTGGCAAACTTCATCGACTGGGGGCCCGCATCCATTCAGGCGTGTTGGCTTGTGTGTGTGTGTGTGTGTGTGTGTGTGTGTGTGGTGGTGGCTGGCAGGGGATTGCCGCTGGGAGCAGGAGGAAACGGGGCAGTATTGGCGGAGGGTAAAAGAGAGGGGGCTGGGCCCCTGCACGGGGTGGCACACCCGCGGCCCTCCCACCCCAGCCGCCACCCCGCCCCCGCTGCCGCTGCCTGCAGGTGGCGCTGTCCCGCAAGTCCCCATTTGTCAAGTCTGCTCACCGCGTGAGCGGGCTGATGCTGGCCAACCACACCTCCATCCGCCACCTCTTCAACCGCACCCTCAGCCAGTTTGACAAGCTGTTCAAGCGCAACGCCTTTGTGGAGAACTACAAGGTGGGGGCAGGTGGCTGGCTGGTGTGCTGGCGCCTTGTGGATGGCGGGGCACCGGAAGGGGCTCTGCCTGGCTGCTTGCAAAGGCTGGCGCGTCACGCCCAAGCGGCCGTTATACCCGCCAACCGCCTGCGCCTCTACTCCGCCTCGCATCCACCCACGCGCCCGTGCCGTGCACACACAGCCGTCCGCTCCGGGTGGCCTGCACACACCGACGCGTGCTTGCCTCACACACCGCCTGCCGTCCTGCTCCCCAACCCACCTCCTGCCCCTGCCTGCAGGAGTACCCCATGTTCCACCGCATGGTGGGCTCCAAGCTGGAGGCGGACCTGGAGGAGTTTGAGGATGCGCGGGAGGTGGTGGCCGCGCTGAGCGAGGAGTATGCGGCGGCAGAGTCCAGCGACTATGTGAGAGGGCCCTTGCTCCACCTGCCTGTGTGTTGCCTGCCTGCGGTGCTCAAGGGGCGGGGCAGTGCGGGGTGGGGAAGGGTGGCAGAGCGCAGCGACTACGTGAGAGGGGACCTGGCGCCCCCTGCCCCTGTGCTGCCTGCCGGGTTTGGGTTGGGAGGGGCTGAGGGAAGGGTGGGCTGAGGGAAGGGTGGAGCCTTGGTGTTCTGCATCGCTGCTGTGCAGCTGACGTGCGTGGCCGGCGCGATGCGTGCGCCGGCAGTTGGCGAGGCGACCATGCCGCTGCCCTGCACTGCCTACCTTTCCCTGCGCAGATTGACCGCGCGGATGGCAGCACGGCAGACATCTCCACACAGATGGCCTCCCAGCTCAACTTGGGCGGCGCTGCAGATGCGCGGGCGCCCATCCGGGCGTGACCCGCCCTGCTGCCCCCTGCTTCCCGCTGCCCCCTCGCTCCGCTCCGTCTGTTTTACATGCCTATTTCCTGAACTTATGAGCTCGCTCCCCGCACCCATCCGACCGGGATGGGTGCGCATCTCGATCGCAGCGGCCTTGCCGCAACGCAACTCAAATCAAATGATCGACAACACCGATCATAAAGAAGTGTAACAAAGCCCGTGCGGTGGCAGCCTGCCAGGCAGAAATAATGGGCCGCAAGCGTGTCGGAATAAATTACAACAATGGGATGGGAGAGGGTGTGTGCAGTTTTTGGCGGTACATGTGTCAGCAGTGGGTGTGGGTACGGGGAGTCACAAAGGTACTGGAATAACGGTGTTTGCTGGCAGCAAGCTCAGTCCCTGCCATACATGTTGTAAAGAGTGGCACCCCAGGAGGCCAAGGTAAGCACCTCCAGGGCGGCGCCCGCGGCAAACACGCCAAGCCTGCTCCACTGCTGGTGCTGCTCAAGCGCGGGGCGCTCTAGCGCCGCCTGCAGCAGCAGTGCCCCTGGGACGCCAAACATGAGCGCCGCGGCAGCTGTCCCGCCGATGAGCTGAAACAAGGCCCCAAGGTCCGTCACCGACACCGCCACGGCCGTCGCGGCGCCGCAGAACAGCAGGGTCTCAGCGGCATAGGCGCCGTCGCTCTGCATCGCCGCACGGTCCCGCTCGGTGCCACCGGCCAGCCGGGCCGCGAGGTCCAGGGCCGTTGATCGCGCAGGGACGTGGTTCACAGGGAAGGCAGCAACTACAATCGCGCCCACCGCCGCACGCGCAAACTGCGGGCGGGCAGATGAGATGCACGGCAGGCGGTCAGCGTGTGCGGCAGCGAGAACAAGGCTGCGAGCCACCCAACCGCAGCCCAGCCAGCAAGCCGGCCCAGCCCACCTGCATCAGCTGATAGTCAGGCGGGTAGCTGTTCATAATGTTGCTGTCCATGCCGCCGGGCAGGGCCAGGTAGCCGGCTAAGCCCATCACGCTGCAACAGGGCAGCGCGGAGCAGTTGGTGTCGAGCAGCTCAGGTGAGCACGGCATCGATAAGCCCATGGAGCAGCACGTCACGTCTGACACTTCCAATTGAGTGGACAGGAGCGTATTTAAGTTCTAAAGAGTATCTGCCTGGTCCGGGCAGGTAGCCGGCGGCAGGCTCACCAGTAAAAGGCGGCCATGGCGCCAAACGACGCCGCCCCCACCCCCGCCATGGACTGCAGCTTGGGGGACAGGCCTGCTCCTGCACCTCTGCTGCCGCCGCCGCTGCTGCTGCTCTGCTCCGCGGAGCTGGCTGAAGCAGCTGTTGGCGCAGGCGAGGGCACAGCCAGTTCGTTAAACACGTCAATCGCCGCTGTGTGGCACTGCACCGGCATGGGCAAGGCAGGAACAGCCGAGCAAGTTGGCAAGCATGGCATGCCAGTCAACCCCTACTGCACCTGGTGCAGTCTGCCAACACAGCATGCCCACCAATGGCAGAGAGAGCTTCACGTGCATCCCACCTGGAACCCAAAGGCCAGGATGGGCAGGGCCACACACAGCTCCTGTGGGCCGCCAACCGCGGCGTGCAGCGACTGCCAGGGGTAGCCTGGGTCGCCCAGCGCGCCCGCGCTGCCAGACACCACGGCGCCCACCACAAAGAGCACCGCCCAGACCTTGAACGTGCTGACGCCTGCGGGCGGCGGGAGCGGAGCGAGGCATGGGCGCGGCCAGGTGCACAAGGGCGGCAGGGGCGGCGTTTATCTCACAGGTGGGTGTGGCAGGCACCAGGCAGGCTGCTGCCCGCACACCGACACCAAGAAAGGCGGGAGCTCACCGGCGACGGCGCCCAGCGTGCGTGGCAGGCTGAGCGGCAGGGCCACGCCCAGCCCCACGGCGGACACCACGGCGCTGCGCGCCCCGCCCCACAGGCCCGGGCCGAAGGCCCCCGCCAGCAGCGGGCACAGGCAGTCGGCGGCGATCATGAGGTAGGCGGTACAGGAGAGGAGGAGGTAGATGTACAGCAGCACGCCCAGCACAGCCCCGGCACGCGGCCCAAGCGCCTTCTCCACCTGCAGCAGGACCGGGGTGGATCAACGAGGTCTGTTGGGCACATGGCAGGAGGCGCTTCCTGCACAGGCAGGCGTGCGCAGATGACTCCCTTGAGGATGAAAGCAGAGGCAGGCAACGCCTGCAGCTCGACCAGCATCTCCTCCAAGCAGACCAACCGCCGCCCAACCACCTCTGCACGCTCACGAGAGAGGAGTAGGAGGTGGCGCCGGTCTGCTCGGCAAAGAAGCAAAGCACGTTCATCGTCAGCGTCTCCACCGCCGCCAGGCACACTGAAGCAGCAAGGCAGAGGGGCAGGGGATGCGCTGGGGTCACTCGGGCGGCACAAGAGATGGATGCCCGCCAGTGAATGCTCGAGTGGGGCAAAACAGATGGGCTGCCGTCTTTACAAACCTGTGAGGCCTAGGCCCAGCTCCCAGCCTACCAGGCTGAAAGCGTATGGCATGGACAATATGCCAGCCCCCACGGCCACGTTGATCATCGCCGCAGTGGAGGTTGCAGGAGAGGAGCCCTGTGTATCAACCGGAGCCGGCGCCGTCGGTGCATCGGCAGACGGCACTGCTAGGGGCGCGCCCTTGGTCTCCCCCGTCTGGGCCGTCCCAGTGGTGCGTCCCCGCCGCAATCTATGTATTCTCGGCTGCTTGAAGGCCGCTGGGAGAGCGCCGCCGTTGCGCGGTACGGCCTGTGCAGTCCGCCCCTGGGATCCCCGCCTGCATGGTGCTGCTGCAGTGATGCCGAGGCATATGGGCAACGCCATGCCGCGCTGGAAGCAGACAGGAGGCAGTCCCACACCCGGCAGGGGCTGGGGGCAGCTAGACCCTAACACATGTGGCACTGGCAGCTTTCCAGAGCGATTGGCAATCGGGGTTGGGCTCCAGCGGTTTGAACGGCGCAGCCAGCAAGGCGGTGGTACATGCCAGCAGTACAACCTTCCTGGCTCTTGCTCAAGCAGCTCCCAAAGAGGACGGGGGCAATCCGACCCGGCTCTGACACATCCATACCACCCATCCCTGGCGCGTTGCCCCCAGCAACACTGCTCCCGCTCCCCGTGTGACGCTGGCTGGGCGGTGCTGCTGGCCGAGCTCCTTGCTGCACCCCAGGGTTGTAATTGGCAGCGGAACAGCCGCACCAGGACGCTAATCAGTCATGGAGGGCCAGGTCCTGCAACTGGCGGCAGCCCTGGTGCTGGCCGCCGTGGGCTGCCTGCTGGTGCGCAGAGTGGCCCGATGGGCTGCCACTCTGCGCGCCCTGTCCAAGCTGCCCCGCCCTGAAATGTCCATAGTAGGGTGCATGGACATGATGGCTGATCCCGACCATATATCGCATGTAAACCCGCCGCCTCCCGCCTCCCGCCGCCGCGTGCAGCCACTCCACCTCGAGCTGCCGAACCCCGATCGCCGCCTCACGCCGCCGACTTTTATTGTTCTCCGCCCTCAACACCCTGTGCAGACATTCACGCGGTTTGCCAACGAGCTGGGGGATATCTTCTATGTACGAGTGCTTCATGTCCCCATGGTGATCGTGGCCGACCCGGCGCTCTGGCAGGCGGCGCTGGCGCCCGGCATCGACCTGCCCAAAGGCAGGAGCGTGTATGGAATCATCGATCAGGTGCGGGCGCACACAGACTGGTGCCTGCAGTATCTGGCGCGGGGCCAGACCGAGCAGGGCGGGCAGCCTCATGATCCCCCAGCGGTCTGCTGTGCTGCGTCCCCTATGGCCACTCCTCTGCAGATGACCAGCCCCGGCGGGCGGCACCCCAACCTGCTGGGCCACCACACGCACACCGGCTACTGGCGGCTGGTCCGCAAGGGCGTGGCCCCGGCCTTTAATCCCAGGAACATCAGGTGAGCGGCAATTCCTCTGCTGCCGCTGCAGGGTTGAATCGGTGGCTGCCAGGTTTCCCGCCGCCGCATGCGCCAGCTGCTGGCTCACCCCCTCACCACCAGCCTGCCAGCACCGCCGCCGCCACCGCCACCGCCGCCTCCCCCGCAGGGGCGTGTTCCCGCACGTGCTGGACCTGACCGAGCAGCTGACTGCGGTACTGTACCGTGCGGGACCACAGCAGTACCTGGACGTCGACAACCTGCTGCAGCGGGAATCTCTGGACGTCATCGCCCGCATCGGCTTCGCCACCAACTTTGGAGCCATCCAGTCGTTCCAAATGCCCGGGGAGTCTGCCCAGCAGCAGCAGCAGCAGCAGCAGCAGCAGCAGCAGCAGCAGCAGGGGCAGGGAGGCGGCGGTGGCGGTGGCGTCACGACAGCGGCAACGCCGGCAGCAGCGGCGCAGCAGCAGCAGCGCGCCAGCAGCAGCGCGGCAGTGGGAGGGGCCGCCGGGATCGACAACGGCATATTTGGCGTCATGGCTGCGGCGGGGGCGGAAGTGGTGGCGCGCCTGTCCAACCCCATGCGCTTCCTGCTGCGGCATGTGACGCCGGTGAGGCAAGAGTGGGCGGCATTGTCGCCGCTGTGAGGGTGCGGGCTCACTGCTGCTGGACGAAAGGGCGGCACACTGCGCGCCGCCCTCTGCATGTTTGTGGGGTGGCTGTGTCTGTCGGCATGCTGTTTGGGATTAAGCCGTGCCCATCCCGCCCCGAGCCTGGCCATGCAGGGCTGCCGCAAGGGAGAGGCCAATCTGAGGGAGATGCAGGCGCGCATGCGGGCGTTGCTTGGCGACATCAAGGCGAGGGGGGCTCCTCAGGAGGGCGACACATCCATCGCCGCCCACCTGCTGCGCCTGCGCGACCCCGGCACAGGCAAGGCGGGAGGGCGCGTGAGGCTGGGGAGCGGGGTGGGCGGCTGACTGCCTGACCGGATTGCTGGGGGTTCAGGCTTGCTGTCCCGCGTCAGCCATACGCTGCCTCGCTTTGCTTCGGGAATGGTTTACCATATTTGGCATCTGGTGGTGCGCAAGGGATCAGCACACCGCATGGGCAGCCGTCCACTGAACTGGCGGCTGCCCTTCTTCCTAATCGGCTGCGCAGGCCAGCCCCTTCCGGACGAGCGCCTGGCTGCCGAGATCGGCCTGTTCTTCTTCGCCGGCTTTGAGACCACGGGGCACTCCATGGGATGGACCCTGTTCTGTGTGGCGCAGCACCCAGAGGTGGAGGGCAAGGTGCGCAGTGCAGCCCCGGCCTTCTGTGCGGCTTGCAGCGGGCGGAACCCGTCTGTTGTGGGTGGGTGCACCGGGCCCGCAGCGGGTCGCCCGAAATACACACACACCTGCGCACTGTTCACCCCTGCCAGACACTATGGACACTGCCCGCGCCTGCAGATCTGCGCAGAGCTGGATGGGCTGGGCCTGCTGGTGACCCCCAGCCGCCCCCGCCCGCGCCAGCTGGAGTATGCTGACCTGTCGCAGCTCAAGTACCTGGGCATGGTGGTCAAGGCGAGCGCTGCACAGCCCGCCAGCCTGGCTGTGCTTCCCTTGGCTTGGCCTTGCTGGCTCCGAGGGATGCCTGCTACCGCGTGGCCTGCCCTGCCCTGCCCTGCCTCTGCAGCGGTGGCGGGGCCAGCCTGGTCGGCAGCGCGGCTCTGCTGCCGGGACCCAACCTTGACCGCCGCCGCCCCCTGCCCCTGCCCTGCCTCCCGCAGGAGGCGATGCGGCTGGTGCCCGTCAGCGGCGGCACGGTGCGGGTGTCCCCGGACCGCCCGCTGCGGCTGGGCGGCCACACCATTCCCGCGGGGGTGGAGATTCTGCTGGCAGTGCATGGTGAGCTGGAGGTGCAGCTGGGCTGCCTCTTACTGCCATGCTGGCTTGCAGAGAGTGAGTGGGAGAACGGGCTGGCCCTTCCAGCCCACCCACCCCTTGAAGGGCCACCCCTCTCCCCTGCGCTGCCCCCTGCAGCCCTCATGAACTGTGAGCGCTACTGGGACCGCCCCTCCGAGTTCCTCCCAGAAAGGTGGGAAGAGGACCAGGCAGAGTACTGGCTGGGCGACGCCCCCGGCAAGGGGCCCGCCAAGCAGCAGGCGGGGGTGGCAGCGGCGGCAGGTGCAGCAGCAGACGGCTTCCAGCTGGTGGACGACGAGGAGGCTCTGCGGGTGAGCGGGAAGGAGGAGGCGCGCCGCTCGCCGCTCGCCGCGGGCCGCCTGCGGCAGGAGCAGGCGGCAGGAGGCCCATGCATGTTTGGCATGGCTTTTGGCCCACTCCCCTGCCAGAACCACGAGCAGCCTGTGGGCCGCTACCGCTGCTGGTGCTGCTGCCGCTGACATGCCGCTTCTGCTGTTTCGTTTGTGCGCCTCTAGGTGGACGCCGCCCGCCCTCCCAAGCGCTTCCTGCCTTTCAGCGCCGGCTTCCGCAACTGCATCGGGCAGGTGGGGTGGCTGGGTGGGTGCTGCTCGCCTGGGCGGCGTGCCACAGACGGCGCCTGTTCAGATGCTCCACACACACACCCAAACAGTGCAAGCTTGACCATCCACCAGCCCTGGGCTCATCTCGGTCTTGGATGCTGTGTCCTGTGCGTATCAAAACATTTGATACGTGCTCATCTCGGTCTTGGAGGTGTGGTCTGTGCAGAACCTGGCCAAGATGAACCTGCATGCCACGCTGGCAGTGCTGCTTTCGCGCTTCTCCTTCCAGCTGGGTGGGTGTGACCCTGGGGCGCCTGCCACCTGGCACTGCGCGCTGCCGCGCCTGTGGGTGGCAGCACATGTGGGGACAGCCACACTGCCACATGCACGGCACATTGCGCTGACCCCTGCCATGGCCGATGCCGGCTCTTGTGTGTGTGCGCCTGCGCAGCTACGGGGCCCCGGAGCGCTGTGGGAGATCCACGCCAATCGGCTGACGATGCAGCCAAAGGACGGGCTGCCCATGCGATGCATCCCCCGGGCCCGCGGCGACGGCCCAGCGGTATAGCACGAGAGCCGGCGGCGGGGCGGGGCCTATCCACCAGATACAAAAAACAGAGCACTGACGTTGTTTGGGGCCGGGTGCGCTCTGTCGCCGTCCAACATTTCCTGTGTGCGCCTTGTATCTCGTCTGTGCAATCAACCTTGCTTCTTGTTTGTTAAGATGGATTCGGCTGTGCCTTGCCAGCAGTTCGGAAAATGTAAAAATCAGCGTGCATGCCCGGGAAAGGAAGGGCCAACGCCAGATGCAAAACTGGGCGGTGGCAGCAAATGGCAGACTGGTCATGCCTTCCGCTGCTTGCGCCCGCGGGCACGCACTGAGAGCACACACAAAAACATGGCCAGGCTCAGCGCGATCCCTGCCACCACGCCTCCCGTCACGGTGGCGGCAATGTCCCGCAGGGGTGCCGCCGACCAGACCGCCGCCGAGGCGGCGGCCGCCGCCAGCCAGATGCCAGCCAGCATCGCCCAGAGGGACAGCGACAGCAGGCAGGCCGCGGCAGCGTCGCTGGGCTTCTGGCCGCCGGCGATGGCGCCCACGCCCAGGGTGCAGAAGAAGCTGAGCAGCTGCAGGATGAGCGCCAGCCGCAGGCAGATGCCGTAGCATGACAGCACTGCCAAGGCGGCAGCGTCCAGCCCCCACTGCGGCAGCACCGGCGGGCTCATCAGCGCCGCCAGCAGCGCCGCGGCCAGCAGGCCGGCCGCGAAGCTGACAGCGGTGGCCGCCTTGCCGCAGGCCTTGGCGGAGGCGCCCTGGAGCAGGGGCGGGCTGGCCAAGATGCGGCGCACAAAGCCGGGCCCGGGAGGTGGCGCAACCTGCGGCAGGGGAGCAGCGGCGGCGGGCACAGCTGGTGTTGGATTGGAGGCAGGGGAAGACCTTCAGCCAAAAAGGTGGGCAGCGCAAGATAGGTGCGCTCTGCCCTGTCTCGCAAGCAGCAATTGGGGTGTGGGTAGAGACGCGGCGCACATTGCTGCCGCCACCTCTGCCGCTGCCACCGCCGCTGGGCTGCACGCGACGCTTGATGCTCATGTTGGTTGGACGAATGTGATCGGGCGATTGCCAATTCAGACGCTGCAATAGGGATGTGCGAGGAAGTGCACCAAAGTGCCGCAGGCTGCGAGGCAAGAGGGCGGAGCGCAAGCTGGCGGCAAGCTACCGTGTCCAAGACCAAATTATAGCGCGAACAGGCGGGACTTCCTTCGCCCACAAACCCGCATACAGGTGTGTGAGAGTGCCTACCACAGCGGCCGCCAACCTGGCGCCGGCGCCGGTACTGCCACAACCCGCCGCATGATCATAATCGTGTCTGGAAGTTCAAGTCAACAATGGAAAACAGTTGTTTGGTCGAAACAAGTACAAATGTGCTGTCAGGAAACATGGCCTGTCAAGGGTGAGCGGCGATAGTACTCAAGAGTACAGATACAAAAGATACGAGTGCTTGGCTGTCATCGAAGTCAGCATTACAGATGGCAACAGGCGTGGAGCCCATGGCTACCCCAGCACCTGGCCCTGCACGCCCAGACGCGCCGCCACCGCCGCCCGCTTCTCCCGCAGCGGCGCCGCCAGCACATCTGCCGCGGGGGGCAGCGCCGCCCACTCTCGCTCCACCCGCTGCCGCAGCTTGTCGAAGCTCTCCCACTGCGGGCGGGCAGGCAGGACAGGCCATCCGTTTGATAGTGGGTGAAGCAGACAGCATGAGAGGGGCCGTGAAGCCTTTGCTGGGCAATGCCAGCTCCCACCCAGCACACTCCACCACCTCCACACACATGCCCACCACCCACCCACCTGCACCTCCACCGGCCGCTTGTCGTAAACCACCTGCAGCAGGTTGTCCTCTGGGGCCACCTGGTCTGCTGGGAACACGGTGGGCACGCCTGACACCTGCAGCACCACGGACGCGGGAGGAGGAGGATGGGCGCGGCAGGCGCAGACGCGGGGCAAACGATACAGGAGAGGCGGGGTACGGAGTGTGTGCGCTCGCCAGCAGGGGGCGGGGCAGCTGCAGCCAGGCAAGCAGGCGGGGCATCACGCGACGCCCCCTGCCCCGAAAGGGCTCCCTACCCGCTTGACTGCCAGCGGCCCGGGCAGGGAGCCCTTCTCCGGGCCAGTCTTGGGCGCCTTCATCACATCCACGGCTGCACGGCAGGCAGGAGAGCCCAGCAAGGAAGTCAGCTGCTGAAGCCCCGCACCAGGCGCTTGGCATGGGGGCAGGAAGAGCGGCGGGCAGGTGGCAATGCGGCGCGGGACAGGGTGTATCGCGCCTGCGCACGTGCCCCTTGCGCAGTAACCACGTGCCTGTGCCATCTTGGTATACAATATGGGACAGCTTGGTGGCCAGGCTGAGCGTGTCACGGTTGAGGCGCTGCAGCAGGCCGCCGCCCATGCCAAACGCCACGTTCTGCGGAGATTTCAAGAGGGCAAGACACCGGGCAGGGTAACAGGAACTGGCAACGCAACGGTGTGCATGCATGCCTCGAGCTCAGCCCACCACGGCTGCCACTTTGCATGTGCATGCGCCCGCACCTCTGCGCTGTACCCTGCTGCCAGCACCGCCTCTAGGATGGCCTCGATGTTGTGGTAGTCAATGCCGTCTCCCTGCAGGCCAGGGCGGGTGCAGGGAGGGCCAGGGTGTGTGTGAGTGCCACGTCAGCGCCACACGGGGCCCCGCTGCAAGGCGCAGCACGACAGGGTGCAGCACGGCAGGGCGCAGCACCGGGCAGCAGCCTGTACCGCAGAGCCACACCTGGATGACGCCGACGCCTCGCAGCACCTTGAACCCCTTGCCGTTGACGTCCGCCCCAAACGCGCGCTCCGCGCCCCGCAGGCCCTGAAGCACTGCCTCTGTTGGGTCCCCTGCAGCCAGGCGACACCAGCCCCAGCTCGGAGGCGTGTGATGACGGCAAGGGGGAAAGCTCTGTCACAGGTACGGTAGGAGGCAGGGATGTCTGCTGCCCCCACTGAATAAGTCAACTGGCATAGACCCGCAGCTCTGCCTGCCCCAACCTGAGTCTGGCCGCAGCACCCAGAAGCCGCCCTGCGCGTTCTTCTCCTCAGCCACCGCAGGCACCACCTCGTCCAGCGCCTGCAGCCGGGCGAGCGCAGTGCATCGCGCTCGGTGCACTCCCCCCTTCAGCCAGCCTGCGACTCTGATTGGCGAATGCTCCCCGCCAGCCCATCCGCCGTGCTCCCCACCAGCCCATTCGCAGTGCTGCCCACCACCGAATGCTGCCCACATGCCCACCCACCCACCCGCTGGTAGTCGTAAGAGTCCATGACGGTGGCAAACAGGCCGCGGCCAAAGTGGGACACCATGTTGGAGATGGCGGCACGCTCTGCGGGGCCCCACAGCGGGCACAGCGGGCGAAGCGGGGACAGTCGGGTGGCAGGGAGATTGCAGGAGACGTGTTTAGCCAGGGCACTACAACGACTACCCCTGCATTCAAGTCGGCTAACACCGCGGCCATGCAGCAGCCAGCCAGCGGGCCCAGCGCACCTGACGGCCAGCTGGTCATGACGCTGTGCTCGGTGGCGGGGATGCTCTGCCCCACCGGCCTGCCGCCGTTGAGCGCAAACTGGGCGTAGTAAGCCGCCGACAGCGTGTCTGCAAAGGGCGGGCAGCAGGCGCCGGGGGGGCCAGGAGCAATGGAGGGATCGGCGGCAGGGGAAAGTGAGGCTGCGTCTGGCTGTGCCACTTCATCGGCTTTGGACAGCAGTTGAAAGTGTGTGCAACAACTTTGAGCACGCCCCTGCGATGAATTCCCTCCTTTGCCTGGCCCTCACCTGTGCCATCAAAGTTGAGCAAGTGCGCCACCCCTCCCAGCACGCTCTGCTCCACGCAGGTGCAACCCCTGCACAGCGCAGCATCGCAATGTCTGCCATGGCAGGCCGAGTAGCAGGGGACACCAGCTGCCAATGCGCCAGCAACGAGGAAACTACTAGGCACACCGGCGCAGGGCAGGACCGGCAGGGTGCCAGCAGGCACCAGCCCACCTGAACCCAAAGTCGTGCAGCCGGCTGTTGAGGAGCGGGCTGGAACGGCCGGCATCCACGCTCTGCTCAAACGCTGCCGCTATCAGGTCCTTGCACCGCCGGCTGCGCACACACAGGGCAGGCAGGCAGGCAGTCGGCCAGGCAGGCCAGGACGACATAGGTGTGGAAGCGCCTGCTGCAGCAGGTGCATTCCACCCGACCAGCTGGCTCCCCCAGGCATGCAGGCCTTACGTCCCGCTGCCACGCGCTCCCCTCAGCCACCACACACTCACGCCACACCACACACTTGTGTACATCACACATGGCACCACACACGGCACCACATACGCACCACCACCACCCTGACCTAAGGGTGGCCACTGTGGTGGGGTACCACAGCTGGGTCAGCAGCGTCTCCAGGTAGGTGCAGAGCGGGGCGTAGGGCGCCTCAGCCGTCAGCTGGAAGACGGGCACATGGGCGTGCATGCACGTGCCCTCAGGCAGCGCCTCCACCCGCACCGGCATGTAGCCTGCGGTGCAGGGCAGGATGGATGGGTGGGTGGGTGGGTGGGTGGGACGCTGGCGTGCTGCACCGGCATGTGCGCGTTGTGCGGTTGGAACCGCCTGCGGCGACCGCAACGCCACGCGCCGCCTTCTTGAACATCCTCGCCCGCCCAGGCACCCGCCCAGCCAGCCTTCGCTCCCTCTGCCAGCAGCACGGCCCAGCCAGCCCACCGTCGTTCTCGGCGATGAACTTGAGGAAGAGGTCCTTTGGGTAGGGGAAGGCGGTGTATCCGGGGGCCATGTGCGAGCCGAAAAAGCGGTCTGCCAGCTCCACATCCTGTGTGTGTGCGCGCACGTGTGTGTGTGTGTGTGTGTGTGTGTTCACACCGGTGGCGGCGCACCGTGGCACATCTCGGTCGGGGGCAAGCGGGGGCAGCAGCAGCAGCGCCAACCCAACACCCAGCGCAGGCCTCTGGCACGCTCCGTCCGGCCGGGCAGCTTGCCCACTAGCCGCGTGGAGGCTTCAAGCTGCGCAGCTACCCTAGGCATCCCTCCACCCGCTTGCCGCACGACCACCGCCACAAACACCCGCCCAAACACACACCTGCAGGGTCCACCGCCGGGCCACAAAGTTTTCCAGGATGTATCGCAGGCCATAGAACACCGCCCGCGTGTCCCTCGTGTCCTTGTCATACCCCTGGCGGAACTCCCCATACTGCGGGGCAGGGGGCGAAGCGGACGGACGTCACAGGCTGGGTCGTGAGGGCGGCAGGCTAGCGGCAGCAGCGGGCAGGCGGCAGCTCACCGCCACCATCTTGGTGGAGGCCGGGTATTGGAGTTAGTGTGTGGTCTTGTAGCTGTCGGTGAGCACCGCGATGGGGAGGTAGCTGGTGAGCAAGTGGGGCGCTGCGGTGGTGGCCGGCGCGGCGGCAACGGCGACAGCGGCGGCTGCCTCCGCCTTGGCTGGCGCCGCCTGCTCCTGCCGCCGGTGCTTGCGTGAGAACATTCTGAGGAGGGGCGACATGCTGGAGAGAGGCGCTGGGCCCTGGAGGAGCGTTCTGGCGCTGACGGGTGGCAAGGAGTTCGCAGGAAGCACGGTTAACATGGGACTAGCTGGGTTGTTGCCGTCGACAGCCCCTGTCGCCCCTCTATACAATTTGCGGCAGCTGCACGGCAACTTCGGGATGCGACCAGGCCGGGACTCGGCTCCTGAGGCCGCGGGCTGTCCCTGCTGAGAGTGCTGCGCTGCGTGCTGCCATTCTAGCTGGTGTTGCGGGGGCCAGTGCGCTTGATTCAATCGTCGCTCCCCGCTCCACAGCACCAGCCACCCGGCATCCCCACGTGGTGAAGGTTCGGCTAGGCGCTGTGGAGCACCTGCTACCGCTGTGTCGTGTGGGAGGCGATCATGAGCGTGCGCACAGGCAGCGTGGCGGCGGCCCTGGCCCTGCTCACCGCGCTGGTGGTGGGCGGAGCGGCGGCGTCTCGACCGCTGGCACAGCAGGCCGCCCTGGCTGCATATGCCCGCCACGCCGGCGGCAAGGACAGGGAGGAGAAGCTGAACCTGCGGCCCCTGATTGGCGTTGTGTCCCAGGTCAGTTGGGGGGTCGCAGAGCGGGGTCTACTGCGGCCTGCAGCCAGCGCCGTATTGACCGCATGCGGTTGGCATGCTGCACGCACTGCCGCCACCGCAATGCATGCTGCCCATTTGGGCTGCACCTGCCTGCCCAAGAGGTTGCTACACGATGACAGGCGCGCAGGGCAGGCACGCAGGGCTTCCCTGGGGCTGCACTTTTCGTTTGGCTCAGAGCCCCGGGCCGCTCACCCGCTCTGTTCCCGCCGCCGCCGCAGGTGGGCGCGCCCGCCCCCAAGGGCCACTCCTACATCGCCAGCTCGTACGTCAAGATGGTGGAAAGCGCGGGGGCGCGGGTGGTGCCCATCTTTTGCGACATGAGCCCAGAAGAGGTGGAGCGGCGCTTCAAGGTGGGCTGGTGTAAATGGGTGGCGTGTAGGTTTGTCCCTGCGTCGCCCAGGTGGTGGGTGGGTGGCGGTCACAAAGCCTGCTTGCCACCTCCAGGCAGCACGGCTCTCGCCGCCGCGCTGCCCTCCAGCAGTTTTGTGTGCAGCAGCGCGCCTCCGTGCGCAATTCGATGTGCAACGGCCTGCCTGCCGCCGCGTCCCGCTGCAGGCTGTCAACGGCATCCTCATCCCGGGCGGCTCCCAGGACCTGCGCCCCGGCCAGCCCTTCTTTGACACCGTCAGCCAGCTGGTGCAGCTGGCGGTGGAGGCCAACGACAAGGGCAACTACTTCCCGGTGAGTGCCCTAAATGCTGAGGGAGGGTTGCGGAGAGTATTGGGCAGCGGGTTTGGGAGGAGGGAGGGTGGCAGGGTTGGTTGCGGAACAAGCCAGGCTGCTGAGCTTCCCAGCGCGATGCTGCTGCCGCGCGCCAACAGTCCCTGCACGCTGCCCGCCCCGCCCCGTCGCCGCAGGTGCACGGCACGTGCCTGGGGTTTGAGACGCTGGCCATCATCGCCTCTGGCAACCACTCCATCCTGTCGGAATTCGACTCTGAGAACCTGCCCTCCCCTCTCTTCCTCACAGGTGCGGCTGCCGGCCGCCGCTGCCCGCCCTGGTTTCGGAGCGCTGCTGCTTGTAGCGGCGACGCCCTCGCCCAGCCCAGCCCAGTCCATTTGTCACCACTCAGCGCCTGCCCGCCTGCCTGCCTGCCTGCCTGCCTGCCTCCTGCCTGCAGACACGGCCACCTCCGGCAAGAGCCGCTTCTTCAGCGCGCTGCCCGAGCAGGTGGTGCAGCACCTGCAGACGCGGCCGTACGCAATGGAGAACCACGCACACGGTGAGGGCAGGAGTGTGGTGCAGCCTCTCCTGCCAGCATGTGGTGGAGTTGACCCCTGGGCCGGCGCGCATGTGGGCAGGCGTCACGACAGCGCCGCTCCCTACGACGGCATGACCACTCTCTGCTGCTGCTCCTGCTCCCGCCGCCAGGCCTGGCCTGGACTGCGGTGGAGGAGAACCCGCGGCTCAAGGACTTTTTCGATGTGCTGTCTCTCAGCGTGGACCGCGCGGGGGCGGTGTATGTGAGCACGGTGGAGGCGCACCGGTATCCCATCACCGGCACGCAATGGTGAGGCTGCACGTGCACACCTGGTGCATGGTGTAGCACCTCACCAGCGTGTGTGTGGTGGATGTGGCCTGCTCTGCGTCGCTGCATCGTGGTGCCGACACCTGCCACCGATCCTTCCGGCCTCATGCGCCTGCACCCATCTATACCCGCTGCCGCCCGCTGCTGTGCCCCCTGCCCCACCGCCTGCAGGCACCCCGAGAAGAACGCCTTTGAGTGGACACCCGACAAGGATATCCCGCACCACCCAGACGCAATAGAGATCACGCAGGTGCGGCGCCTGGCTGGCGGGGCCAAGCTGGGCAGCATGAGCGCGCCTGCACCTGCCTGCATCTCTTTCCGTGATGTCAACAGCCTCCCCACAAGCCTCCAGCCCACTCACCCACGCAGCACACACCAGCCACACACACACACACACACACACACACACGCCCATCCACCTCCCTGCAGGAGGTTGCCAACTTCATTGTTGGCGAGGCGAGGCGCAACTTCCACGCCCCCTCCTCCCAGGAGGAGGAGGAGGACCTCCTGATCTACAACTGGGCCCCCTCGTACACCGGAAAGGCAAGGCCCGCGCCTGGGTGCTGCTACCCACCGTACCGCGTTGCGCGGCGTAGCGGTGGGGGTGGTGCATCCGAGCTGCTGTGTCGCCCTGCTGCTCTCACATTGGGTATCCGACACAGCGCAGGCCAGCCCGCTGCTCTCCATCCCCACCCGCCCGCCTCCCATCTCCTGCCTCCACCTCTTACCTCCCACCTCTGCCTGCAGCACCGCTACAAGGGGGAGGAGGTGGACTTTGTGGAGTCCTACTTCTTTCCTCTCGAGACTAGCACAAGGAAGAGCAGCAGCAGCGGCGGCGGCAGCGGCAGGCGCACCCAGGCTGCGGGGCTTGCCGCGTGAGTTGCAGAGCAGCCTGCCCACTGTTGGGTCCTGATCTCTGCTCTATTTCAAGAACACTTGCATACAGTGCTGGGATTTCCACGACATGAGTGAATGGGCAATGCAAAAGAGAGTACATTGTTTTTTTGAGCGTTTGCTTTTTGCTAAGGGGAAACATGTAGCGAGTGCATGTGGCGTTGATACATTTGCGCAGTTTTGATGCTTTGAGTTTGTTTGCATGGAATTCCATGACGTGCATTCCTTCTGCATGGCCTAGTTTCATTCGTGATGTGAAGGAGCAGGCCTGCCCAGGGAGCCCATCAGAGAGCCAGTCGGCCAGCGGTCATCAGCCAGGGCAGTGCGCCGCGATTGCGCATGCCACTGCCGCTGCTGCTGTCCTCCCGTCTCATGCTGCTGCTTTGTCGCCCCTGGTTCACTGCTGCTGCTGTGCCAATGACGGGCACCTACTGCAGCTGCTGGCGCTGCGGTGGTGGCGGATGCTGATGCCGCCGACACGTTGCTGCTGCATCCGCCCGGCCCCGGCCCCGGCGGCGGCGGCTCCGACAGCAGCTGTCGGCACAGCTGCAGCAGCGCGTCCTGGCGGCGCATCAGCGCCTGCTGCCGCACCTCGACGTCGTGGATGGCCTCGGCCACCTGGCGGGCCACAGCGCTGTGCATCTGGCGGGCGCCCTCAGCGCGCACCTCGTGGATGTCCACCAGCCGCTGCCGGCTCTCGGCCAGCTGCCGCACCAGCGTCACCTCCTGCAGCCAGGAGGGTCGACAGGTGGGAGAGGCAGGGTGAGGAGCGGGGCTCGGCTGCCGCCCGGCGGCGCAAGGCGGCGGGAACGGCAGCAGGCACCTGGGCCCTGCCAATCGGCGGCGGCCTCCCTGCCCTGGCGCGGGCTTCCTAACCGCGTGCTGACCTCGTGTGAGAAGAGGCGGAACTCCTTGCCCGCCTCTCGTATGAGCCCAACGTTGCTGGCGACCCGCTCCATGGCGGCAAAGAACCGCCGCAGCAGCCGCCTTCTTCGCAGGAAGGACATGGGTTGAAGTGGATGAGTGCCGATCAACGGTGTGCCCGAAGCAACAGCGCCGCCGCTGTTGGCCTTCAAGCCCCACGCCCAGCTCCCCGGCCAACCCTGAGCCTCCAGCAGAGCAGCCAATCCAAATAGAGGGGTGTAGAATTGCATGGGGGCCAGCAGAGGGGAGGGGTTCAACTTGCCGCCAGCGGGGCGAGGGCGCAGCGGCGGCAGCATGTGTGCGAAGACCTGCGCCACCTCGCCCCTGCCAGTGCAGCCATGCCTCAGATGGGAATTATGTTACAGTGGTGAGGCTGCATATGCTTGTGCTAACGCTCAAGCTCGTCATCTCCGCTTGCCAGCTGCCTTGCCGCCGCCGCCGCCGCCGCTGCCGCCGCTCGGGCTGGGCTGCCCCTTGCCCGCAGCCTCCAGCTCCGTCTCCACCCGCGCCTTCAACGCGTCTATGTGCTGCTGCAGCGTCTCCTCCTCCGCAAGCAGCATGTCCTGCGGGGACAGGACCAGCGGGGCTGCATCAGGGCGGCTGCGCTAGATCCTGCCTCACCTTTGGCAACACAGAGCCGGGCAGCACAACACAACGCTCATGCTCGTACCCACGCCCTGCACCCACCTGCACCCTCATGCCCTGCACCACGCTCATCGCCCGCGCCGTCATGTCCCGCTCCTGCTTCGCCTGCGCCTTGCGGGTGAGCACCTCGGCCGCCGCCTCCAGCTGCAGGGAGGAGGCAGGGCAGGGTCGGATGAGGCAGGAGGGGGCGTGCAGCCGCAGCGACAAGCGAGGCACGGCACCTCCCGACTGCCAGTCCGCAAGCGCTGCCCACCCGCTGGTCCTGCTCCGCCAGCAGCCCCTCCATCTTCTGCAGGTGCTCCACCGCCTTCCTCATCTCCAGCAGGGCCAGCGCCTCCTCACGCCGCTGCCGCTCCTGCAAGGGGGAGGGTTGGGTGGTGGAGTGGCCGGGATAGCTCATTGCTGCCACGTAACTTGTCTCAGGCCACAGCCTCGCATCATCCTCAGCCAGCACAACAGCATCCTCCGGCCCGATGATCAAGCAGCAGCACTATGCTCCCGACAGCAGCACCACCCCCTCTGGCGTCCCACCGCACCTGCCGCGCCGCCTTCAGCTGCTCCAGCTGCACCTTGTGCGCAGCCAGCTCCTTGCGCAGCGTAGCGATCTCCGCGTCGCCAAAGAACTTGACCTCACGGAACACCTGCGGGGAGATGGGAAGAGGCGGCTTAAGGGGGAGGTGGCATGAAGGCATGGGTTCAGCGGGCTTGACAAGCCGGCGGCGGCAGCAGGGGCGGGGCGGCGGGTGGCCGCTTGCTTCACCCCCGCCCGACCTGGCGCGGGTTATGGGTCTCTGTGCGCACCTCTTTGATGGCCTTGATCAGGCCAGTCCTGCCCCGCGACATTGGGTGGCCTGCTGCTGGGACGGGTTCAGGAGGGCGGCGCAGGCTACTGCTCTGGTCTCAGGCGGGCTCCCACGATCCTAGACACTGCGGCAGGGGCGAAAGCGAGCCCCAATTCTGCGCCTGCTCCGCCTGCTTTGACAGCGTAAGCGTGGGAGAACCACCTGTGAGGCTCAATGTAGGCAGCGTACCATTCTCGGAATCTAATTGAGGGGCTGATATACCTGATCTGAGGTCCAGGGGCGTTTTCATTGGCGGGCAAGAGGAGGAGAGATGAGCTTTGCTCAGGCTTCCCACCTTCGTGGCTGTGCTGCTGCTCGTCCATTCGTGGCCGCGACCCTGGCATCCAGGAAGATCTCGCCAAGCACGCAAATCAGAGCAGAGCGGCAGGGCGGCGGCGGCGGCAGCGGACGGCGCAGCCTTCTACAGAGCTTGCTCACGGGAGGCGTGATGCTGGCTGCGGGCTTCCCTGGTGCCCGCTCGGTGGCAGCGGCAGCAGCAGCAGACGACAAATCAGCGCAGGTGCTGCTGGATCCGCGCTGGCCGGAGGAGTTTCCGTTCAAGCCTGAATACTTCCAGCGGTGCGACACACGGGATGACCAGCTAGCCTGCCTGCATCACATGCAGGGGAATGTGGAGGCGCCGCCAGTGCCGCCCATGCCAGCAGTGTCACATGTGCCTCCACTCCTCCCACATATGCATGGCACAGGTATGACGAGTCAAGCGACGGCGACTTCTACTCGCAGCCCCGCTTCGTGACACACATTGACGATGCAGCCATCAAGGCACTTACGCAGTGAGTGAGCTGGCTGGCTGGCCTGGCTGGCTGAGCTGAGCCAGGCTGACTAGTGTTTGGGCCACACACCAGGCAGCCCTGTGGCTGATGTGGGCCGTCCCCTGCCTGCCTGTCTGCCCGCCCTGTTTGCAGGTTTTACGCCGAGAGCTTCCCCAAGAGCGGCAGCCAGGACGCGGCGCTGCTCGACATCTGCAGCAGCTGGATCAGCCACTACCCCCAGAACTATACGGCGGGCCGCATTGCAGGCGAGATGACTGGGGAGGCTGTCGTCGGGATTTGCTCAGCTGGCTGGTGTTGCCCTGGTGCGGGGAGGATGTGGAGAGGATCCCTGCACCGGTTTGTAGCACACCCAACCGCACCCCTCCCGTCCTGCAGGCCTGGGCATGAACGAGGCTGAGCTAGCCCGCAACACGCAGCTGACCGAGTTTGCTGTCAAGGATCTGAATGAGGACCCCACGCTGCCCTACGAGGCCGACTCGTTTGACGTCATCACCAATGCAGGTGTGCTGCCCTTGTGCACCTCGCCCGCCGGTGTTGCCAGGCCTGCCATGCCCGCTGCGGCTGGTTGGCTTGTGTGTGGCTTGCGGCTGGCTGTACGCTGCGCTGCAGCTGGCCGGGAGTCCTCTCACCTTCCCTTGCGTGCCCGCCCCAGCCAGCCTGTGCCTGCTGCTACATCGAGCCTCCTGCTGCTCTGGCCCTGGCCCCGGTGCATGCTGCAGTGAGTGTGGATTACCTGACCCGGCCGCTGGAGGTGTTTCGGGAGATGCACCGCTGCCTGAAGCCGGGGGGGCTGGCCATCATGAGCTTCAGCAACCGCTGCTTCCCAACAAAGGGTGGGTGAGGGAGTGGGTGGGGGACGCAGTTGGCTGGCTGGGCGTCCCCAGGTGGCTGCAAGGCCAGGGGAGATGGGCAGGCCGTTGATGCACACGCGGCCGGCGCACACGCTGCAACTTCTGCTTCACCTCACTGCACCGCCGCGGATACACACCACCCTCCCTCCCCTCCTCTGGCCCTGCTCTCTCCCAAACCCGCCCCACTGCACACACGCGCTCACACTCTCGTCCCTCCTGCCGGCCCCTGCAGCCATCTCCATGTGGACATCCACCGGGGACCTGGACCACATCTGGATTGTGGGCTCCTACTTCCACTACTCTGTGCCGGGAGGCTTTGCCGCGCCCCAGGCCAAGGAGATCACCCTGCAGCAGGGGCCCTTCGGGCAGCGCGGGGACCCCATGTACGTGGTCTATGCCCGCAAGCAGGCGTAGGAGGCGCATGGCACGGAGGCCGGCTGCAAGCGCGAGGTGGAAGTGTGAGGGAACCCCCCGTGGAGGAGCGGGCAGGAGGCGGCCCGCAGCTCTGACCAGGCTGCAGAGAGCGTGGGGAGGCGCGGGAGATGGCTAGGCACCCGCATTCTGCAACTAGCAGCGAAGCTGGCCAGCCCCTGCTGCATTCAACATAATTTACTTTCATGTGTCATCTGAGCTGAATGTGGAGGCATGCAAAAGGTAAAAATGCGCAACAGGATAGCAGCAAATGCGATGCGGACATCATGAACATGTTGGCAGATTGTTGGTGACCAAAGAATGCAGGAAGAGGGGAGCAGGCAAGTATAGAGCTCTCAAAACAAGCGTAAAACAGGCCAATCTCTGACGCACTCAAAAAATTGGGAAGGCGCATTCTCACAATGCACCGCTCCCCAAAACAACGCCTACAACGCCGCCGCCGCGCGCTTGCAAGCTGCCTCGCAGTTCTTGCGCTGCGCACAGCTGAACCGCTTGGGGATGACGTTGCACTTGAGGCAGGCTGCATTGGGGTAAACCTTGCCGTCATACCCACACACTTTCTTCCCTGCAGAGGCGCACTTGCACGTGGGCGCCTTGGCCGCCCGCTTGCAGTCGGAGGCACAGCTCTTGAGCCCGCCACAAGGGAAGCGTGCGCCCGTCTTGGCGCAGCCCGCGGAGCAAGCATTGGGGTACACCTTGCCTGCAGGCAGGCATAGTGGCTGGTTGGCAGAGGCGGGCAGCAGATACCGGCCTTTCATAGAGCAGGGGGAACGAAGCGTGAGGCAGGACGCAGCAGAGAGGGCCGGCTGGCGGCAGCTCAGCCCACCGTCTTTGCCGCAGACTGGGGCGAAGAGGGCGGGGCAGTAGCAGCCGCCGCCGGGTGCCGCGCACTGCTTCTTGCAAGTGGCATCAGGGCGCTTGCCGCACAGGAACTTGTTTGTGGTGCCGGCGCACTGCACCAGGGCGGGGGGGAATGGGGCGGGGAGGTCAGGGCCTGTGCTGGGAGTGCAGTGTGCAAGCCGACCAGGCGAGAGGGGACAACCCAGTGCCTGCTCCACTCCCAGCCTGCTGCCAGCCCAGCTGCCGTCGCTGCTGCTGCTGCTGGCAACATGCTGCTGCTGTGCTGGGTGCGGCAGCCAGCCAGCCATCACACCCACCCGGGCCAGGCACGCGTTCAGGTAAACCTTGCCGTTCTTGCCGCACATCGGCTTGCGCGCCTTGCTGCACATGCTGCATGCTGGCGGCTTCGTGGGCGGCTTGGCCACCGGCCCCTTGCAGGCCGCCTTGCAGCCGGCATCGCTGCACTCGCCGCAGGCGCACTTGGAGCTTGTCTTGGCGCTGTGGTGCAGGGCAGGGGGACGACAAAGGGGAAGCATAAGATGCGGAGTGGGTGAAGGGAGGGATTGGAGGCCCCTGAGGGCCAGCCAGGCATGGCAGCTGCCCGCCTGCCAAACAGCCAGCCTGCAACCCCCAGGCACGGGTGGTTTCCCCTCACTCACCACTTGGCATCGCACGCACTGGGGTACTTCTTGCCGTCCTTGCCACAGACCGGGGCCCACAGCTCGGGGCAGACGCAGGGCAGCGTGACGGGAGGCCTCACGCCGCTGGTCCCCTTGCAGGCCTTGGCGCAGCCCGCATCCGCCGCGCACGCCTTGCTGCCGCACGCACACTTGGCGCTCGTTTGGGCGCACTTGGCCTGGCAGGCGTTGCCGTAGCGCTTGCCGTCCCGGCCGCACACGGGGGCGACCGCGGCGCTGCACACGCACTTGGGCGGACGGGCCCCGGGCACCTTGCAGGCCGCCTTGCAGGCCACGTCACAGGCGGCGGCGCCGCACTTGCACTTGATGGGAGCCGCCTTGGCGCACTGGGCCTTGCACAGGTTGGAATACACCTTGCCTGCAGCCAGAGGGAGACGCATGCGGTAGGTAGGCTCTTCTAGGGACCCGGGGTGTGGGACAGGGCTTGCAGGCTGTTCCTTCAGGGAGCTTCTGTCAAGAATGGGTATGCAGCTGGATGGGCGGCTGCCCCACGCTGCCCGGGCCTCCCCCTGCCCCCACCCACCATCCTTGCCGCAGACTGGCTCGGAAGTGGTCGGGCACAGGCAGCCCGCGGAGCCTGCACGGGTGTAGCCAGAGAGGCAGTAGGGGGGCGGTTGAGTCCTGGCTGGGTCACAGGCGCGTTTGGCTCCACCTGCGAGCCGTCACTAGCAGACAAGGGCATGCAGCCAGCTGAGGCCAGGCGGCCCGCATCGGTTGCAGCGGTCCCCTTCAGCCACAGCTGGAGTCCCGCGCGCCACCGCCCACCTGCCCCCTTGACTGGGACCCCAGTGTTGCCATTTGCTCCCGCTGCAGAACAGTGGCAGCAGTAGAAGAGGAGGCAGATGGGCTGGCTGGCATCGCAATGCCATGCGCTCCGGGGGTGGCATGCAGTGCACGCGGCGCCTGCGCAGCAACCCCGCAGCAGCTTGCAGAGCGGCGGCTACAGTGCAGCTTCTAGGAGGCAGCAGCAGCAGCAGCGGCGGCAGCAGCTGCAGGCAAGGCGGGCTTACGCATGATTGCCGGCTTGTCAGTGTCGGTGCGCTCCTGGTAGATGGGACCGCTGCCGCCGCCGCCGCCGCCGCCGCCGCCGCCGCCGCCGCCGCCGCCAACACCGCCGCCGCTGCTTTGGCACCACTCTGCACGCACGCAGGCGTGTGCGGGGCAGGCATTCAGCCGCGCTTTCCAGCACAGCTGGTGAGGGCCATGCGTGAGTTGCCACCTGCCAGCACGCCAGCATGCAGTGCACAGCCAGGCGACAGCACTGATGTATCCCCGCAGAGGCCACTCAGCCCTCACACCTCCGTTGGGCCCGCAGCCGCTGCTCGACTTGCTGCACTCCTCTTCTGTCATGCCAGCGGGGCAGGGCAGGGTGCCGGGGACGGGCTCCGGCTTGGGGCGGCCCTCCCCAGCAGGGTCATCCTCGCAGGGCTGGGAGCCACCGCCATCGGTGGGCGCGCAGTCGGCGCCTTCCGGGCTGTCGGCGCAGGGGCTGGGATACCCGCCGCCGCCGCCGCCGCCGCCGTAGAAGTTCTGCGCCCGCCACTCGGCGCACTCCTGGGACTCTGGGAGGGTGGCGCAGGGCCCGTCCATGAGCATGCTGCAGCTCGCCGAATCCGGATCCCGGACGCAGGCGCAGGCGGACGCTCCGGTGCGCTCATCCAGTAGCTCCTTCAGGTCGGCATCGAAACACCAGCCGCACAGCGGCTGGCCGGTGAGCGAGTCGACGGCAGGGCTGCCATCGTCATCGAAGCAGGGCGTGTCGCCGCCGCCGGCCAGGCCCGCGTTGCCGCCGTCGGCCCACCACTGCTGGCAGGCCTCGGAGGCCTCGTCGGCGAGGCAGGGGCCCTGCGGCGGCGGCAGGCGGCAGGCAGCAGGCAAGGGTTAGGCGCAGGGGGCAGCGGGCGTGTGGCAGGGGCGGCCAGCGCCAGGCATGCCTCCCGCTGCGGCGAGGCGGGCACCAGGCTCTGCGCCAGAAGCGAAGTTACAAGAACCAAGCGGGGTTAGCTGCGAGGCAGCCTGCATGTGAAGCCAACCCTGATGGCTCTATCCCCTGCAGCGCCCGAGCGCTCAAAACACAGGGCTGCTAGCCGCAGCCAGCCAGCCAGCCACCAGCGCGCCCACCATGAACAGGTGGCGGCAGGCATCTGAGTCTGGATCCCTGGCGCAGGCGCACACGGCCTCCCCAGTGGCGGGGTCCACGGCCTCCGCCACCTGCCCGCCCTTGGTCATAAAGCAGTGCGGGCAGACGAGGCGCCCGCTGGCCTTGAGGGTCGCTGGGGAGCCGTCCAGGCGGTAGCAGATGCCGCAGGTGTAGCGCCCCTCCCAGTCGCGGCAGTTGGACTGCGGCGGCAGAATGAGCGGGCCCCCCGCCTGCGGCGCGCACACCCAGGCCCCGGCGGCATCCAGCAGAGGCTGGAGGGCATCGTCGAGGCAGCCCGCGCACACCCAGGCGCCCGTCTCGTCAGCCGCCTCGTTGCCCTCGCCGTCCCAGCACCAGCTGGTGTCCCACTCGCCGCCAGGCCCCTCGCTGCTGCTGGTCTCGCCGCCGGGGCAGCCGTCGTCGTCCCCCGGCACGCAGGGCGGCTCAGGGTCTGCGCCACCCTCCAGAGTGTCAGCCTGGGCGAGGTGCCGCTGGGCAGCGGAGGCTGCTTGGCCGGCCGCGGCGGCATTGCCCAATCCCCTGCAGAGAAGCACAGGAAGCAGCAAAGGTGTGGAACGAGGAGGGGAGGCGGGAGCAGAGCTGCCGAAGGGCCGGTTTCAGCGGGAGGGCGGTGCTGCCGAGCGACGCCCTTAGAGGCCACTCGCCCCCATGCCCCCGCCTGCGTCAAGCCTTCCCCGCTTCGCGAGCAGCGCCAGCCCTCGAAAATGTGCGTCACACGACCAGTGGCTCGAGGAGAAGCTCACCCAGTTGCCAGGAGCAGGGCGGCGGCCAGTAGCAGCAGGGTACAGGGCCTCATGGCCGCTGCACTCGCTGATGAGTGTGGCTCAGCTCAGCAGAAGGCCCCGAAACCCAAGCTGGAGGGACCCGCAAGTGTTGAAGAACGAGTGAGAGCTCTTGAATGCTGGTTTGTTTGCGCGCCTATGTTCAAACGCTGGCGCTGCATTCAGTGCGCAACCTGGCAAGCGCCACCAGAGATCTCTGTGACAGCGCCACCTGTACCCGACGAGCAAAGAGGGGGAGAAGCCCCCCCTGTGTTGAAGAACACATTCTGCTCGGCTTCTAGAAGCTTCTGGTGCAAAAGGAGCAGGATATATTTTGTGACCCAGTTCACGCCCCATTTTCTGGCACACAACGGATCTAACAAACCTCAACGAGCGCTACCCCCCTTTGCGGCGGAAGAGGCTTGCCTGGTTTTTTTTTGTAAGATCGCAGATTGCAGAGCTCTGGCAATCTGCACATCTAGGTGGCAGACATCAGCAGGCTGCCCCCCCTGGGGTCGCCGCCAGCTGCACAAGAGTGTTGCGGTGGTGGCAGCGCCAGCAGGGGCTGCAGCAGCGGTGCCGTCGCGGGTGGCGGGGAGGCGGCAGCGGCGGCCTCTTGGCGGCGGCTGATCGATCCAGGCTGAACTGCACCAAGACTGCGTGCAACAGCCAGCCAGATGCCGGGAATGCAGGCTGAAGGAGGGGGCTGAGCAGCGCGCAGCACAGCAGGGTCGGGAACAATTGATTCCACAGGAAATCACCCCAGCGCCCGCTCTCAATGTTTATATACTGTCATTTATTACCGTGAGCGCTCGCGAACATTAAGCTCGCGAAAATTTTAGGTGTCCTCCAGTACTGGCCGAAGTAAATCACGCGGCCCGTGCATTTTCTTTTTAAGATCTCTCCTCGTCTTCTCTGTGCCAGCAGTCGATTACAGAGTGGAGCCGGGCGCGCGCTAGGCAGAGAGCGCCGCCTGTGTGAGAGACCATGGTTGAGCGGCTGCAGCGCGGAGGAGTACGTGCTCTAGCGGTCCTGCTGCTGCTGGCTTTGGCATCCGACGTTGTGCTAGCAGGACGGGGCGGTCTCGACGAGGTGAGCGCGCGATGGCGCACTCGGCCCCCCCCCACCTGCTGGCTGGCTTGTGCTTGTGCTTGCTTGTGTGGGCTTAAAGTCTGGTAAAGCAAGAACTAGCTTGCAACATAGACTCCCCGCCGAAACGGGACGGGAACCGGGCGAAAGCAGAGAAAGCAATAAAACAGGGGTGGAGCAAGGCGACATGCAACGCAAGCAGCTGACAGGGCACGCATCGAAACGTGTGTATGACTGGCAAAGTGGCATGGCGCATTGGGGAGAAACGCAACGGTACGGGAGCATGGGCTGGCCAAACGGCAGTGCGGAACGCTAGGTCACTAGAAAAGCAGGGAAAGGCGCACTATGTATGCAATGAGGGCAGCCCCGGCTCGGGGCCGTTGAGAAAGCAGTGGGCGGGAGGGGGGAGGCCCCGGTGTGGGCGGGCCCCATCGAGGGGGGATGGGGCGCGCAAGCGGCCAGATGGGGCGGGGCGCGGGCGGCAGTGGAGTCCTGCGGCTGGGTGGGATATAGGGCAATGAGCGTTGAGCAGTGTGCGATGAGCAATGAGCAATGAGCAGTGAGCAGCCCCTCCCTAAACAAAGTGAAGCGCAGGACGGGGTCCGGTGGATGGGAGGCAAGGAAACGCGGGGGGTTGCCACGTGCGCTACCGCCGCCGCCGCAGGCAGCACCCCTGCGGCGGCGGCA